CGACTTCGTGGTAGATGCTGCTGCTCGTGGTCACCGAGGTCCAGTTCACAGGGCTGGTCAGGTTGGGCGACAGCCATTCTTCAAACACAGCATATCAGCAAACATCCGTGTGGCGATGTCGAAGGGACGCACGGACGGCTGTGATATCGCTGTATACTTGCACGGTGTGGACCGCGTTGTCGTTCGCGGTCGCCTCCAAGGCAACGTATGACAGAGGAATGGACTGCTTAACCCAGTCGGAGGGCTTGCGAGGACGCGTAAGAAGAGTGAGACGCGTGAATGACGATAGCAGCGTACCTCGAGAGGGGATAGGAAAGTGATTGTGAGGGTCATCGGGCCCACCTGCATGGAGTAGATACTTCTTGTTGGGGTGACTTGCACAGCGGTGATGTTTGCCGTAGGTGGGATGAGGTCACCGCCCATCCAGTTGTACACCGTCCCGTCAATTCGAATCTTGCCTCTCCAGCCCAGGTCCGGAACCTGCCCTCATGCTCGAGAAGACAATAGCTGCGAAAAAACAACGGGGCGTACCGTTTGAGACCAGAAGTTGGCCCACGAATTGGAGAGTGGTGCTGATCCATTCGTCGAGATCTGCCAGGCGTTGACATAGGGGGAGCGGACTGCAAGAGGGATGCTAGCAGGAGTGAAGGAAGCAGCGCGTACTTGAGAGCAAACCAAGAGGGGAAGGACGGCGAGAAGGAGAAGAGGCAGCATACTGAGCACAGCTTGCCCAGTAGCTGGAGGAGAGAAGGGATGTCGGCGTGAGCAGGAGATCCTCCTCACGGCACGGCATCTAAGTTCCAACTCTATTATGTCCGGAGCAACCGGAGTCTGGGTTTGATGTCGGATGTCAAGATCCTGGAGGTTTGGGCTTGACCAGAGCGGACCAATCAAAGTAAAGCATGCCGGCTATGAGGCACTTGGTACGCCTTCAAGTTGGTCGACGTTGACGTATTCTTTCTAGGACGAAGACCTTAGCCAGTGCAAGGACGAGAGAAGGGTGGAGACGACGCGCCTGCAAAACTTTACAACATCGTCACTGGCGCATGACTGATGCGGCTCTCTCACAGCTGTCACATGTCAACGTTTCAACGTTAACAGTGTACTACATAAGTTCATGATGGCGGCTGTGCTCAAGTGCTGGTGGCCACAATTGGCAGAGGAATCACCGGCGCAGGTGTCTAACTATGTACGCGGGGCGGACTCGGATCTCTCGGTGGGACGCGCGATATGGCAGGGAAGCCGACCATTGAATATCGAAAACTATTGTGTGGGATTTCAGGCCGCGATCGGGAGAGGTCGGGGATGATGGCGTCGCGCCTGGTCTCCTCTGGCACCTGGGACAGGCGAATGGACGGGGGATGTGTGGTAGATGGTGGTGGATAAGAAGGAGCAAACGCGTAGCGTACAATTAGTAATACAGGCGGTGGCGAGCACGATCGGTACACGGTTACCTAAGCGAGCGGCCCGAGGTTGCACATTTAGCGCCCAAGTTCCAACTTCAACATACTTATTGGTATACACTGTACATTTGGATGGGATAAGATCAGAGAAAGTAGAGCCTAGTGAAGACAAGGATCGAGAACGTACCCGCTGCGGGAATCTGACACAGAGGCGAGACGTAGTGAGAAGTTCGAGTCAAAAGCACCCGGATCCAACCCGGATCCGTGTCCGCCCCACCATCTGGCGCCTGTGACACACGGCCGTACACTCAACTCAAGTACTGAGCAACGTCAGCGTTAACGCCAGCCGCTCTGATTCCTACTAACGCTGCCACAAAGCACTGAGGGTATGTCATCGATATTTTCCCTTTTCTTAAAAAGTCGGGGCACATGGACGCGGCAAACGATGTACCCTAGCCTTGGTTGTCGGGCACAACTTTGGAACCAGGATAAATGACCTCACTTTTATCCCTTGTCTACCGCTATATCTACAAACACTGTGAGTCCCACGTAATTCTTCCTTTCTTCCCTTCTGTTTCTCTCATCTAGTCATACCCTCACATCACTTCCCGCACCACTTCAGGCTCGCGCCGCTGCGGAACAGCTGGAACCACGGCCCAACACCCTTCCACACCTCCGCCAGCTCTGGCGGATACCGGCTGTTGCTCTCCATCGTCACAACACGCTCCGTGTGCGGCAGGAGCGCGAGCACCCGCCCGTCAGCCGTCTACACGCCCGTGATGCTCCCATGGACTCCCGTTCAAGTTGAGCGGGTACGCCGTCGCCGCCGCCGCGCCCTTCCCATCGACGTACCGCACCGCGACGAGCCCACACGCCTCTAATGCAGCGCGCTGTCCCTCACGCGCGAACACCGGGCGGCCCTCCCCGTGCGCGACCGCGACAGGCAGGCGCGCGCCCGCTGGCATATCGCGCAGGAAGACGGAACGTGCGGTCGCGGGCCCAGACACGATCTCGACGACGGCGACGCGCGCCTCGAGGCGCTCGGAGCGGTTTGCGCGGAACGCGGGCCAGTCCGCCGCGCTGGGGATCACCTCCGCGAGCGCGGCAAGGAGCTGGCAGCCGTTGCAGACCACGAGCGTGAAGTTGTCGGCGCGCGCGATCGAAGAAGGCGGAGAACGCGGCGTGCGCGGTCGCGTTGAGGAGCACGGAGGACGCCCAGCCGTGCCCCGCGCCGAGCATGTCGCCGTACGAGAAGCCGCCACAGGCCGTGAGCCTGCGGAAGGAGGAGAGCGGGACTGCGCCGGAGAGAATGTCGGACATGTGCACGTCGACGGCGTCGAAGGCCCGGGCCATCTCGATGTGCCCGTTCACGCTCTGCTCGCGCAGGATGGTGACATTGGGGCGGCGGAAGAGGCTCAGAGACTGGTGCGGGAGAAGGTCAGATCGTATTAGAGCCCGCGGTGGTCGGGGGATGATATGAGCGCGAACTCTTCTTTTGAACAGTCAGGGTTGTCGCGGAGGGATTGCATCTGGTAGGACGTTTCGGTCCATGTCGGCTGCAACTGCGCGCGTGTGCTGGAGAACACGTCGCCGGAAGACGTCGGGAACTTGACGGTCTCCTCACGAGTCACGCTGCCCAGAACGTGGATGGAAGACGATGAGAAACTTTGCTGGACGAAGACTTCGGGCCCGTGTACGCTTAATGTCCTGGGTCTCCACCACATCCGGGGCCTCCGAGCCGACCTGCTTGAACACCTGCGCGACAGCCGAGCCTCCAAGGCGCTGCTTCCCGCGCGCAAGGTCGAAGAACAGCAGCACCATCGGCCCGTCCACGTCGGTGCGCAACCGCGGCGTCCACGTCTTCCCCACATCCTCGACCGCCGCGAACGCCGTGACGACGAGCGAGAGCGGCGCGCTCACCTCCTTCCGCTCCCCATCGCGCTCCTGCCACCGCATCGACATCGACATCGAGTCCTTCCCGACCGGGATCCCGACTCCGAGCGCCGGGCAGAGCTCCAGATCTCCATCGGGGACATGCTCGAATCCGCGACGAGCACGTCCCGGATCTCGAATGCTGCCCCCAGCCCAGAGTCGTGCACGAGCTCCGGGAGCGCGTTCGAGAGCCCGCCGGCGCCGACGTCGTGGATGGACTCGATCGGGCTCGCATCGTAGAGCGCGATGCAAGCATCTCCGTGTTGTCCCGCTACACGCTCGCAAAGTCGAGCTCCGCCCACCCCGCGCTCGACAGCTGGCGGGCGGGCAGTGACTGGCTGCTCGCCGCGCCGCCACCCAGTCCGATTCGGAGGAGCCCTGGTACGCCGAGGATGACGATCTTCGACCCTTTAGAGATCTTCGACTTGTGCGCGAATGCCGCGCGTGTTGGTTTCTAGTGTTCCGGTGTACGCCCTCATCCGAGGCACGACCAGTACGCTTAGTCATGTATACTACGTTCCCACGCATTGTACAGTACTATGCCGCCGTATCGTCCTAGTAGATCGATCATATCCATTCTATCATCCTATCCACCATCGTCGTCCTATCCGACACCCTGTCCGTCATCCGGCGTCCTTTCGCCTCTACGGCTCTCTTCGTCCACTGCTCGATTCTTCACAGCGCGGACGTTCCCGAGTCCTCTAGCGAGCGTCCGGCGCTCGCTCCCGCAGCGTTGTCGCAGCTCAGCTCATTCGCCCTCTTGCACGCCTGCCGCGCTCAGAAACTTTGTCATCACTGGACATTTAGAAATGCCATTACGTCGCGTGTAGATGTACCAAAGGCCGATGTGGGTGCGTATAAAGCTCCTGGCATGACCTGACAGTAGCAGCAACTTCAACACAACCCACCCAACCACCCTCCAGCACCACTCAGCATGTCTACCGAGGCTTCCACCTCTGCACTTTTCAGCCCATTCGCATCTGCGACATCACTCTCGCCCATCGCGTGGTAATGTCCACGAGAAGACAGGCGGGCAGCCGAATGCCCCGGGTATCTACAACGACGCACAGGTCGCAGCGTGGAGAAAGGTGAGCACGTATTCCAGCGCTTCCAGTGAACGTTCGCTGATAATCAAAGCGCAGATCGTCGACGCAGTCCACGCCAAGGGCTCTCACATCTACCTGCAGCCTTGGGCTCTCGGGCGCGCGGCGCGCCCAGAACTATTTAACAAGGAGTTCCCCAACTGCCCCTACGTTGCGCCTTCGCCGATCGCGCTCAAAGAGCACGCCGAGGACACTTCTTGCCCCTTGACTGTCGACGGTATGCTGTTTCGTAGGACGGCATGATGTGGATATCCCGTCATGCTCACCATTTCGCCCACAGAGATCAAGTAGTGGGTCCAGTAGTAGTAGTATGGCCAGGCCGCGAAGGACACCGTCGAGGTGCACGGCGCGAACGGGTACCTTGTCGACGAGTTCCTCCAGGACGTCCCGAACACCTGCACGGACGAGTACGGTGGCTCGATCGAGGACCGTGCGCGCTTCGCTCGTCATGGACGCCATCGTTGGCGCCGTCGGTGAAAGCAAATTAGCGATCCGTCTGAGCCCATGGAGCACACTTACCAGGACATGCGCATGGAGGACCCGGTGGCGCAGTTCACGTACCTCGTCGACCAGTTCAAGCAGCGCTTCCCAAAGTTGGCGTACCTCCATGTCGTCGCGCCCAAAACGCTGGCCAACGTAGGGCCGAAGGACCCTTCGGTGTGTGCTGCGGCGTTTCTGGCGATGGTATCGAGGCTGACAAGGCATGCAGCAAGCGAACTTCATTTACGACCTCTGGGCCCCCCGGCATGTGATCTCCACCGGTAGGTACGACCACGAGTCTGGTGTGAAGACCGCGGAGGTCATCGGATACGGAATGATGTTCCTCGCGAACCCTGACCTGCCCTTCCGCCTGAAGAAGAACCTGGCGCTCAACGCACGGGACTACAGCACGCTCTTCACCGCGAAGTCCGCGGAAGGTTACACAACGTACACGTTCTCGGAGGAGTTCTTGAAGACGCAGATTGGATGAGCTCGGGCGATGTAACTTACAGCGACCTCCTGATGGTCGTGGATTGACGGCATTATTGGCGCGTGTTGATTGATGAATGTTCTTGCACTTTCTGGTCGTTAACGCATTGAATACGGTCCACCTTCCATCCCGCCCTTCCCGTGCGCGCTTCGCAAGGGCCCGTGTTCTCCGTGTCCCGGAGGCGTCAAATTTTCAAATTTCAAGGTCACCTGTGCTCTAGGACAGGCAGATGGCAGCGGACCAGTGCCATGTCTGTGCGCGACAGCAAAGTGCTTATGTCGAAGGTGTGGCACATTGGCTCAGCGGAGCCGTGTCCGACCCCGAAGTGCTGCGGCCACCGCCGCGGTGGTAGGTAAAGCAAGTGGGAAAATATCGATCAGAATATACGGACGCTCGAAGTAACTCAATCTGAGAGTCCATTTCAGAGGGCTCCTCCCGTTTGCTGGTCTCATCGCCAGCCGCTCCTGTGCCGCACCGCGCCGCCGCCTCGTCTGGCGTATTTCGACAGAGACCCTGCTTTTCTCCCTCCAGTCCCAAATGGTGTGACCGACTCGGCCCTCCTAATGCCGTCGGCGGCCCAGCGCGCAGATTGCGTTGCCCGATCGCGCGTCGCGTACCGCCGCGCTCTTCCTCCCTCCGCGTCCTCTGCCCTCCGGCTCCCTTCCTCAGCATCCACTACTTCCTGTGTAGCTTTCGGGAATATGTCTTTGGGTCCGTGGAGATGCGATCTCGTCGGGTCATGGCACTCGAGCGCCGGTATGAATCCAACTCTAGATTCAGACAAGGCGGCCATCTGCGCGGGCGGTCCGTGGAGGGCCGAGTCCGAGAGCATACCATTTGGAATCGGGGGCTCTGTCGAATTTGCCAGACGCTCGTCCAGGCGGTGGGGTTAGAACTGAGTACTGAGTCAGTACTGGTTGGTCGCGGTGTGGGCTCCGCGGCTGTGGACCCGACGCCCGCCTTAGTATGGCGTGCCCGCTCAAGCGCCAGCGAATGCGCAGCGGCACTGCAAGTTGGCCCAGCTCCCTCCTCCTCCTCCTCCTCCTCCTCCTCACCGTTGTATTGTGCTATCCCGTCGCCGTTTCAGTGCCTGCCTGCATCCACTGCCCCTCAGTCGTCCCTCCATCACTTGCACTGGTTCAGGGCATGGGTGCCGGGGGCCGAGCAGCGCGGACTCGTCAAGCACGCGCTTATCTCTGGTGTCAGACGTCCGCCACTATCAGTAAGGATTGTTCTTATGGATGGTTCCCAGTACGTCGCGCCTTCAGAGAGGCTCCTGTTCTGCTTCACTGACAGTGAAAACTGATCACGGTCGCCATACTATGTATAAAGAGCTGAGAGGAAATGCTCCCCCCACGCTCATAGCCAGGCGGCCCCTCACTCCTTTCACCGTACCTGGCCCGCATACTGTCCTGGTACGTATCCCGCTCACCATATCCCCTTCTTCTCTGACGACACACCCCTTTGCAGCTCAGTAGCGTGAAAAATGCGCCTCCTTGCCACCGACACCGGGTTCATGTCCGAGTTCGCGGACCCGACCGAAGTCAAGTACGCTATCCTCTCTCACGTATGGGCCAGGAAAACGGCCGAAAACGACAAGCCCTACGAACCAGAACTCACGTATGACGACTACATCCGCCTTCGCACCGAGCATGGAGACGGATCCGATGATCTCTTCCTCGACAAACTCCCTTTGAAGGTACGACGCTCTTGCGAAGTCGCCAAACACCACGGCATCTCCTTCATCTGGATCGACACCTGCTGCATCAACAAGTCAAATAGCTCCGAGCTTTCGGAAGCGATCAACTCCATGTACCGATGGTACAGCCTCGCGCAAGTCTGCTACGCCTATCTCTACGACGTCGATCACGCCAAGACCAAGTTCCACGACAGCGAATGGTTCAAACGCGGGTGGACGCTGCAAGAGCTCATTGCGCCCCCAGAAGTTCTCTTCTTTGACAGCGACTGGCAGATGATCGGCTCGCGCTATGACCTCTCGGACGAAATCCGGGCGATCACCAACATAGACCGTGCCGTCCTCCGGAAGGAGCGCCAGATCTCCGACGTCTGTGTCGCTCAGCGCATGTCGTGGGCGGCATCCCGGAAGACGACACGCGAGGAGGACATGGCCTACTGCTTGATAGGGATCTTCGATGTCCATCTTCCCCCCCTCTACGGCGAGCGCGACTACGCGTTTATCCGCCTCCAAGAGGCCATCCTTGCAAAGATACCGGATCAGAGCATCCTAGCCTGGGGCTCGAACCAATACGACGAGGGGCTCACACTCGACAGGCCCTCTTCATGCGCTCTTCCGCCAAACGTATCTGTCAAACATAGTCGTCAGTCCTTCCTTCTCGCTGGGTCTCCCAAGGACTTCGCGAACTGCCACGAAACCGTCAACATCACCTCCGACATGCTCGCCCGCGCTCTCGACTGGCCCAACATCCCCTACGCTCGCTTCACGGTGACTGCGAACGGGATCTACGTCAAACTCCCTCTAATACCCTGCTACGATCTCTCGGGAGCTCAGCATCGTCTCGCTATCCTCACCTGCCAGGTGCCCCTACCGCGGAGAAACAAAAGCCAGGTCCATCATCCGCATCGCTTCGAACAGCACAATCCTCAAGTCGTATGCTTGGTTCTCCGTTCGTATGGCGAAGCACGATCGAGCAAGAGCACGGAAATGTTCGTAGGACTCGCGTCCATGGCCGACAGGTTACAGATCGACGCCCGGATTCCTATCAAAGCCGCGCTCGACAAGATGGCGAGCTACTTCCGCCTGGCAACGCTTCCTCTCGAAAGCCTCAAGGCGTCTAGGGGTAACGCTAAGGTGGAGTCCATCTACATCCACCATCTCCTTTCCGCCGGTCACCACGACCAAGACGGCCCCGAGTCCGACGTCCTCTTCCAAGCGCTTGCACGAGAAGGCTTGAACGATCCCAAGTTCGAGCTGACGAAATGGTGCTCGGACGTTCTCAAGAAGCGGGGTTTCGCCGTCAGCCAACCCCGCACTCAGACAATCACGATTTCCGACGACGCAACGAAGCTGGATGAGCTCACCATCGAGGTCACCCGCTGCAACTGCGTGGGCCATCGGTACTGCATCGTTCCTCGCTCCAACAGCGCCGACTCAGTGTCCCCGCAGCAGCACTGGTCGTGGGACACCGCCGTACACTACGGCGACGCCGGCTCGCGCACGAACTCGAACTGCTCCAGCTACCACATCTACTCGTGGGACATCAAGGACGGCGTCGCGCACCGTTCGTTCAAGCCACCTAGCCGACGGTCTGCCGGCGGGATCGAGCACATCAGCATCCTTGTCAAGCACGTCCCGCAGCCGGAGCGCTTCGTCGTCGACCTCAAGGTCGTCCGGTTCCGGCCTGACGAGTTGGCGTCCCAGCCGACGTGGCCCGCGGAGGACTTCCCGCCCTGGCCGCCGTCACCCTCATCCTCGTCTGCCACTGAAACACCTACTCGGGCCCGCACGGCCCTTCACGTCGAGACGAATGGGCCTCCGAGGAAGCCCGGGGGTGTCCGCTCGCACTCGTTGGCGCCCGCACCTATGATGATGGCGCAGCCCTCGGGGGTCAATGGCAGCGGCCGAAGCAGAAACGCCAGCTCTCCGCTGCGCCATTATCTTCATCTCCACATCAGCCGACGCGGCCTGCATGGTTTTGTAAGTCTTCAATCCGCGCTCCAAGGAAGCGTGGAAGCTCATAGTCCAGTAGCGCCGAACGATGGCCAGCCGCTGTCTACCATCTCCGACGAGCCCGAGCCCTTCGATGAATCAAGTCCTCGAACGCCTGCCACGGCGGTCAGCCCAGATACGGGAGAGGCTAGGTATGAATCCTCGTGTTATTGGGCATGGCTGGTTCTTACGTCTCTACGCAGAACTTCGGTCTCGTGGACCCGGGAGCTGGAAGTTTCCGGTTTACCCCCAAATCACGGAACGCTACCTGTGGTGACCAAGCTGCCGCCGCCGCCACCGAAGATTCGTGAGAAGAACAGCGAGCTCAAGAAGCGTCACCCTGCCAATGATGCTGCAAGTCGAGGTGAGTATGGGATTAAGTACCTTCGCGCTGCCCACCGTTTAAAGCTGGGTATATCAGACCCGAGAAGTCCTCGACTCTTCGACATGTTCAAGAGACTGGCCCGACACATCTCCCGTAAAGCAGCCCGTAGTGCCGACCAACGCAGAAATGCACAGTTCCGCTGGTATTAGACGGTTTGAATGGATGATGGTGGCGATGATGGTGTGTATGGTGATGATGATGGCGCTCCTTGTACTACGTGCTCCGCCCGTACACTAGCCATGACCGTAGTATAGTTTCATGCCATTCTCACGAACGAGTTACAACTCAAGCACTTCTTACGGCGTCCGTAACGCGAGGAAATGCGTCTCGAAGGGGTACGTGGCGTGTCCCTTTTCTCAGCATACTAGTAGTTGGAGTAAGTAGTCGGGATCGCTGGCCAGAATGTTGGTTTTAGCCGGAACACTAAGTTAGGCAGCAGCCCTTGACGTCAGACCTCCTCTCCGCGCATACGGTCTCAATGGGACTCACCATCGACAGGAACATCTGTCCTCGATATTTTCTCTGTCTGCTACGCTTTCTTCAACGCCATCTCCCGCGTGTATGCGCCCGTGGAGATCAGTGATTGCGGTGTCCATGGCTGGTGGATGAAGTCCGCCTGCCTCGGATCCTTGGACGAGCCTCCGCCGAGCGCGTTCGCGTTCACAAAGATCGGGGTGACGTGCTAGGTTGTCTGATACTTATGACAAAGCGTACAGAATACCGACTGGAGCTGTCGCTTGCGTGGTCACGGAAGCCGCGCAGAACTTGTCATTTGAGACAATGGAACGATTGAAGTCCCGGCCGCCCTTATCAGTACTACTCACATCTGTGCATCGTCGTGGTCATCCACAAGCACTCGGCAAGTTAAATCAAGGAACGTACCACCACTGCAGTCTTCTGTGTGAGTTCACACACCCCTAAACTCGTCGCGTTCATTCTTTCCGACGACCTTCTCACCGCCTCGGCCAACTCTCTGTCTTCTTCCGAGAGGGCGTCCATCCTTCCATCGCGTTCTCCCACGACCGGAAGTACGTCCACCTCGCATGTCGCCCCTTCCTCCGGCGGAACCTTCTCGTCAAAGTACCGCCACACCACCTTCGCCGTGCACACCGACGAGCCGCTCGTCGAGCATTGCGGCCACGCGCTCTCCTGCACCAACAGCCCCGCGGCCCCGAAGCGCGCTGGCCCGTCCTCCTCGCCTGAGCGAGCGGCGTGACCGGGTCGAACCTGTTCGACGGCGGCGACGGCGGGTGCGCCGCGCGCTCCGCCGCGACCGGCGCCGTGAGCCTCGCCTTCGCGCGGAGTGGCCACCCCGCGCACTGGACCCACGACGTGCCCCACACAGGCGCGAGCAGCGGCGAGGTCTCGACGAGGGCATCCCAGACGCGCGCGAACGCGGTCGCGTTGTACATACGCGTGCGCGTCCCCGTCCGCGCACTCCACCGCCCAGCGCGCCGTGCTTCTTGACTCTGGGATGGGACTGGCGGAGGAAGCATGCGTCGTGGCCAGTCACTGGATGACTAGATAGGCCGGCGAGGCGAAGACGGGAGTGGGGTACCGAGCCGGTGCCGACGCCGGAAGAAGCTTTGTTGGATGATGAGGACTACTGAGGCGGAACAGGATCTTGCGAGCTTCCGAGGACGGTGTCGAAGAATCTTGACGCGGAAGGATGGCGAGACAGAGTAGGCGTCGGGATCGGGTCCGAGGGGGGCAAGTCAGAAGACGGGTAGTCGGCGAAAGCAGATGACGGGCGAGATCCGGAGCTGCGCGCATTGGATTTGTTGGCCTGCCGCTGTTCCGGTGCCTTGATAGAAAGCAAGTCGTCCCAAGAAAGCGTGCGTTTCGGAATCCCCCACGAAGACGGTGTCGTCATCGGACGCAGCGAGAACGAAGGAGTAGGAGTAGGGACGCGTCGCCGCGCACCCCGAGGCGCACCCGAGACTGGTTGCACCAATGAGGGCGCTGGGGTATGAGAAGAAGCAGAAGTGCGCTTTTGAGCCTTGGCTGTATGCACGATATCCGAGCTTTGGCCAGAGTCGAGAGGCCTCTTCCGGCCCTTGGCCGCCGGTGGGGGACGCTGAGTAGTGGGGTTTTGGACGCAGACGCAAATGAAGCGGATCGAGTTCACAAAAGTGGTCGCGGCTCCTTCGTCTTGAAAAGTGACCTGAAACCTGCGATACTGCTGCTCAGGACGAATTTAGCAACGCGTATAGTCAAGGAAGATAGGCGTGGGTCCTCACTGGAGCTTTTCAGACAGAGACGTCGCGTGAAATGGGGCGCTGATAACGGAAGCCGACCATAACACCTTCGTAGACCGCTTTGAGGGGTGGCGTGAGGGGCGCCTGCATATCGGGCAGGGACCAGCGGCGCCTACACGACAAAGTCCAAGTCTTCCTGCAAGGTGCATTCAGCATACACAGCAAGGAGCAGTAATATTAGGGCACACACAAATCCGATCTCTTGCTGATCTGCGTCCATCGCATCTCGTCCGAGAGGGCATATCCACATGATTTTGACTCTGAAAGAGTGAAGACGGCCGTCGGGTGCCTTGGTGTCTTCAATCGTCAGGCGTATGATCGGGGTACTGAACGTCTGCCGGCCTCGCTGGGTCCCGCGTTGCGCGCGCGTGAGTACTTGAACAGCTCGTGAGAATCCGTCGTCGTCGTGGAAAGCGACATCGCCAAACGATTGAGTGATGAAAGCACCCAGGAAGGAATTCATGCGAGGATAGTGCCGCGCGGTCATGTGACTGAGTTCGATGTTCGAATCCCGCATCGTCCAGACATGCCGATTCGAAGATTTTTGCGGGGAGGGGGACAACGACATACATAGAATGCAACTCAGAAATAAATCAAAGTTGTCACTGCTGGCGCGTCCGAGGGACCTGGGCCTGAGCCGCGATCCACTGGCCCAGGACTTCAGGGTTCCTCGAGTTGTATGTACACCATTTCGGGCCCAGTGGATCTGGATCGCGTTAGCACGCTTCCCTCACGAAGAATATGAGCGGGATAAAAGACACCGGTACACAATGCCCTCGTCTGTATGCGATCTCAAGAGGAAGCCCTGGGAGATGAGCTCAACCTTGGATTGCGCGGTCCAAGCAAGGCCGTTGTCGGCTGCAGCACCGCATCGTCAGCCGTCTCCAGGGCGAGCATAAGGATGCAATGAAATGCCAATGACGCACCAATCCACCGCTCACCTGGCTGGATCGTGCGCGACGTGACGCCACCCTGGCCCGTGGCATGGTAGACGAACAGGCCGTCCTTGGAGAAGGCTGATCGTGGGTTAGCATGCAGCCCGTGCGGTGAGGAGCGAGGGGAGCAGAAGCAAGGTCGGATCGGACAGCGCTAGGTACGCACAGACAACCTTGCCAAAGCCTTAGCTCATGGCGGTGCGCGCGACGCCGCCGCCGGTGCAGGCGAGGAACGCGTCCCTGCAATCACCCACGGAGTCTCAGTCTGGCGGTCGAGGTGGATGGGGACGAGACCAGGGACGGTAGTATCGCCCCGGTCTCAAGTGTGAGCATGGCCCCGCCCGGGCCGGTGAACGCCCGAGACCCAGACATCTGCGCAGGCCGCCGTGCTCGTGCTGACCAGGCCCCAGGGTAGCCACGCTGCTTCTAAGACATAAGTACCGACGAGAATATGTAGATGCTGTTAGTGGGGGATGGGACGGAGAGGGTGATAGCAATCGAGCAGTGAGCTTGGCCAATCGCTATCCCAGATGGACCTGAAGGCTGAAAGATGCGCACGGTCTGGATCCGTGCGAAGGCAAAATGCTTAAGGCTACAGCGACAATGAAAAAGTACAAAAATGGTATGGTCTAGGGTCCCTATGTCACAGGGACGGTGCGAGCAAATGCATCCAGAGCCAGCCAGAGCCCCGCGGCGAGGTCATGAGTTGCTCCGTGGCGGCGATGGCGTCCCGCGCCTTTTCCGCACTCGTCAGCACTGTACGCGCCCAAACGCAGAGTTCCGTCGTCGTGTTTGCGAGAGAAGCGGCTGATCAACGAGGAAGGTAGGGGGTGCGGGGATCAGCGAGATTAACGGGAGATAGGCTTAGCACACACTTCCGGGGAAGGCCGAGGAAAGCGTACCTGACGACGCCGACGCTCATCGACGTGGATCCGGAGTCGGCGGCTTTCGATTTCGGCGGCAAATTCGAGCAGGGGTTTGTGCGCGCGGCGGCTCATTTGTCTGAACTTGCGGAGCTTAAGGCTCGTTGTGCTGTTTTCGTCGTGCTCCCGGGGTCGCCTCCGATGCCGCGTTGAGCTCATTTTCCTCGACAAGGAGTGGAGCCCCGGCTTTCCCGAGCACCGCGGGCTTTTCCTCGACAAGAGAGGAACACAGAGTAGCGCCTGTTACGAAAGGGGACGAAAGTGAGGATCCGAATACCTTGGGATTGACCAGGAATACTCACAGAAGGTGCAATCGTAGACGCGACGGAACTTGATCCTTCCACATGGGATCCCAAAGACAGACGGAAGGGGTCGGTATTCAAATATTCGTCCTCGGAAACGAGCAGATCCATCTTGAGGTCGGCGAGTTCCGGAGAGTTGTACAGAGGACAGAAGAAGATATTGGGATTGCTCCGGCTCTGCATATTGGGTATCGGGTGGCAGTCGGCGGCTGAAGTCCAGGGGCGATACTACAACGCTCTGTGCCCAGCGTTAAGAATATATGTACAAGCTCTTGCTTTGAAGAGAGCCACATCCTGAAGCGGGCTTTCGGCGAACAAAGAGTCGTCATTGTGGTCTGAAAGTGAGATTGAGTGGTCTAGTGAGCCGCCCAGGAACCAACAAAGAGCCTTGAATATGTCCACACGAACTTACGTGCTTCTTCACAGTTTGATGATACCAAATGTCAGCGCCTTTACGTCAAGAACACAATTTCTGACCAAGTACTTATGGCGCAGCGCTTGGTCAACTGGTTGTGACTTGGTCCGTGCCAACAAGTAGAACAAATAGAGACTCAATGGCGTGTAATTATTGGTCTTCATCGGGGATTTCCAGCCTGTGGCCTCCGTGACGGAACCCGTGGGACGGTGCAAAAGTGGACCGAACGACCCACCACGAGAGTACCAATAATTACGGCAACGTAGTGTAATCTTGCGGCAGCGTATGTACCATTTCAACTGCATGTATGCAATTTTGCAAAGGATCGGTGGTCCCGGCGTGGTGCACTGCAGTACTACGGCCTGTTAGCAACCATCGACACTCTATTCGACAGTCGCGAGCACATGGTTGGCTAGACCAACAATCGATGTGGATTGTGGTCGGCGTGAGAAGACGTGGGCTGATCGTCTGTCTTTACCATCGAGTGATGTGCTGGTCCGGAGATGTTCCTCAAAAGTGGACGGATCCAAGCCGCGATACAGGTTTCATTTGTAAGTACGAGGGGAAGCGGCTGAGACAAGGCGGTCTTAAGCACCGCTTGGGGCGGGGGAAAATAACGGCCGACGCACTCAAAGAGGCAAGATGCGGGGCAGGGCGGGGGCGGTGATATGGCGCTGCGACGCTCGGGCGCAAGCCTCGGCGATGAAGCTTGGAGATGGGTCTAAAAGCGGGGCAGCGGCTATCTGCCACAGCAGACGGGTGAGCAGGAAGCGGAGGTGCAGGTGCGATCATGGAGGCAGGGGCGCGGCACATTGCACCGGTTTAGCGCGAGGGAACGAACGGTCCGCCCGCGCCCAACGCGCTCGGAAGATTGAAGGCCGTCTTCCAACCCCTCCTCCTCCTCCTCCTTCGTCTGCCAACCTCGATCCGCCCTCCATGCGCTCTGGCTCTCGCTGAAACCCCCAGGTCCTCTGACTGTCCACGCTCGACGCGACCTCTTGGCTCTGGAAACACGCTCACCACTCTCTGCTGCGCACCTTTCGTCGCGCGAATGCACCCCCTCACCGTCCTCCCCTTCGAACTCATCCTTGCTGGCTTTGTTGTCGCTCGAGACATTGTGCGCTCTTCGGTTCGCATCGCGTCCCCCCGACTGACTCTCTGGTGTACGTTCAGCGGCTCCGAGGTGCACCTCCGCAGTCAACATGTCGGGACGGGCTTGACAAGGTGAGCATATGTTCTGTGGCATGCGCGTTCAGAGGGAGGGCAATGGAGGGAGATGGTAGGGGAAGGAAAGCAGATGAGGTGGGCGAGGCGATCGGCAATGCCTCAGGGTCAGGTTCGATCGCTTGCAGACCGTGCCGTCTCGGCCGCGGGGCCGTCTCAAGCGGTGGCGGCGACTCGGCGACTCGGCTCAATGGATGCAACAGTACCTGAGGAGAGACAGGCTAATCCACTGGAGGTCACTGTGCCGGATTTCCCCCTCGTTTTTCTTCGCATACACCCACTATGGCAGCGGTTGACGATGTTCCTACAGCTGAACAACAAGTACGGACATAGTCCATGCACCCTGCAAGACCAGCTCAACCAAGCTTGCTCTGACGACCCTGGTATGTTCTCTTCTCTCTTGAACACGTCTGCCCTGCCGCTCAATGTATTATCCTAGACGACGATACTTGTACATGGTGCGTTGTCAAGGACCTTGTGCTAGTCGCCCTTCTCACTGCGGACGCATGCTCAGCAATACCATGATGTATAATGTCGGTGCAGCATGTCAAGCTTGCTCAGGCAACGCTACCTCTACCTGGTCGCAATGGGCAAGCGCACACTCCTGTGGGTCTACACCTGGTCCACCCCCCTCTCATCTTCAAGTCCAAAAAGACACTGTCCCGGACTGGGCCTACCAGAACCTCTCGTCATCCAGCGACTTCAACTTGGCAGCTGCTCTTGCGCAGTCTCGTACGTTGCGTGACTTCCCGTGACCACTGACTCTAGCTAATTTTATACTCGACACCCTTCCTCAGCGCCGAATCAAGGTCTATCAAAGGGCGCAGAAGTGGCTGTGATCATCTCCGTAGCGATGGGCGCGCTGCTGCTGTCGTCGCTCGGCTTCTGGTGGTATTGGCGACGGAAGTGGGCACGCCAGCGGAATTCGCGACAGAAGACACTCCCGCTCCTCCCAGGACAGAACTCACCATTCCACCCTGCGAAGTGGTTGCGGTGGGTCGGCTTATTCCGTGGGTCGCAACGCCTTCGCCCGACAAAGAAGAACTCCGAGTGGGAGATCGACGATGACGACGATGACGACGACGACGGCACGGAACTCCTCTCGCAGTCTAGCGGAAAGCGGAACAGCTACCACAGCCCGTACTCTGCGCTGTCTCCGCAACGTGCGTACGGACACAACGTCAGCCCAAGCACGTCGGGCCACGTGCAGTCTCCGTCGGGCTCAAGCTTGCTCTCGCGCTTACCAAGCGTCAGGTTGCCGTCCTTCTTGGAGCGCTTCTCCAAGTTCAAGGACGGGGTGCCCAAGAGCACGTCATACAAGTCCAAGTACGTGTCGCCCTCGTCTGCGGACGTCAACTTCCAGATCGACGGGCCCATTCCCGAATCTGGCGAACTCCTCGGACGCAAAGGGACGACGCGCACCGTGGCAGACTTCCGCCCTCGACTTTCGGGTTCGCTCCCCGGCGACAATAATGCCCACCGACTTTCAAGACCCGTAACGGATCCCGGTGCGGCGCGACCGGACCACATGGACGAAGGTTTTGTTCTGGTCCCAGAACCGGCCCCGGTTCCAGAGTCGGTTCTGATCATCTCGAAGGACGGACGGGATTTCTCACTGGACGACACGACGACTGTCGCAGGCATGTCGGGAGGCAGCTCGGCTCTTTCCCATCCCGTACGTGGTTTTACTCACGTACCATCGCCCATCGCTCACTCACACGTTTTACGCATCAGCCCTCCGCCTTCGGTGGGCGATTAACGACGTCCTCCGGGTCGGGCTCGTTCTCCCGCACCGGCACCGCCAGCATGATCGTCAGCCCCGTCTCCGCCTGGCAGTCAAGCACGGGCAGCTCCTCCTGGCTGCCCTCCCGCAGCCACCGCGCGGAGACCTCCTCGACCGTCTCGGGCGCGTACCCGCACGAGCTGCGCCGCGATCCGGACCTCGCGGCGCCGCCCAGCTGGGCGAACAAGTTCCCCCTCCCCCCCACCATCGTCCCGCCGGTCCCGCCGCTGCCCCCTCTCCCGGACTTGCCGCCGGTGGCACCGCTGGCGGTGCGGCCGCGGCCGTTGCCGCGGATGCCGGTGGAGGACCTGGAGCCTCCGCGCGTGCTCCCGGAGGACAGGGAGCGGGAGTCGCCGACGGCGATGACCCCCGCGGACATTGGCGCGCGGACATTTCGATGACGGAGTCAGAGGCAGCCGTTGATTCGCGCGTTGTATGCGCCCGTGCGGTCGTATATACACAGCGGCCTGCGGTCGTGTTGCGTCATGCTCCGCCGTGCCGCGCTCTCGTCGGCGGAGCGGCGTCGGAGATGGCGTCTGCGTATATGGTTGCTTGTACGTATTTACCAAGGACTCTATCCATATCACGCGATGACACTTGTACATATTCCACTAACATGCGGACAGTGCTCTTTGCTGTACTTAGTATCGAACGGGGCTCGCCTCTCAAGGTAAAACGACCTCGATGGACGTCTAGACTCGCTGGAATGGATCCATAACCACGGCATTGAGGTCCCCAGCGACGGACCCTCCTATGTACACGAGTATAAAACTAGAAACAGATGTACTTGTTGTTTGAGTTGCTCTCAGATCAAAGTGGCATCAATGGAGACCAGTCACCCGCGCAAGCGGGTAGATGCGCTCAGACCACCAGAGCGTCTGCCCAGACAATACAGACGGGATTCCGGCTGGGTGGGGCCCGGATAAGTTGACACAACTAGCCAGACTCCAGAGGGTGTGCTAGGACCAGTGGTATTAGTAGTCGCGTGCTTGCATACGTCGACCGCACTGATGGCCGATCATTCCCACTCGCATGGGCGCCTACCCCGGGATCATGATGCCCGGCGGGATTTTGCCTTCTGTCCACTCCGAGCACGCGGCATGCAGGTCCATCAGCGCGCACACCACTCGTCGCACATGGCCATTGATCTTCTCCTTGACGACTTTTCTCCGTGGCCTCTGTGCCTTGTTGCTGGTGCTCCACCTCAGACCTGCGTCCTAGCTAGTAGCTAGTACCCAGGTCATGGGAGAGGCGCAAAGGTAGGAGACCTACTTGTTACCGTTCAAGTCGCAGCCGACTAACTTGGTCGAATTTCAAGTCCTACCCGCGAATCCGTGCCGTCAGGATGGTCATCCGGGATTGCTGCAGTCGGAAAGAACACATGTCGACATCGCCTATGCCCAGAGGCGAACCCCCGGTCTCCACCCTTTTTCTTTACGACGCACGCCGGGACCCGTTCCCGCGGAACGTCAGAGGGAAACGCGTCCCTATATACCCTTCAGCAACGCGGCGCAGCCCCTGCTTTGCGCCTTCCCGCTCCTTCCGCTCGTTGCTCCCTGTCCCGGCGTCCCCTTGCTCATGTCCCATGTGTCGCTCCTTGGTCGCAGCCTGGCTTGTTTCGACGTACGTTGCCTCTACCTTCAGCCTGCCCCTCCCTTTACTCGCCGCCTCCCATGGTCTTTCCCCGCTCTCGGAACTCTTCCGGCATCCGAACCCGGGGCCCGAAGACTCTGGCAAGACCCATGATCTGGAGCGGAGAGGATTAGCGCGGTTTGACGGAGAGGTCGCTCAAGGGCAGGAAGATGGAGTCCCCAAAGTCAGAACTACCTCTTCCTCTGCGGCGTTCATCGACACACCCCTTGAGGTATGGAAATGCTGTTCAGTTCTTTTCTCTCAATGCGAGCTCAAGGCACGATAGCTCTCCACCCGGGCTCGCCTGTCTTTACCGCTCTCCTTTTCAATATTTCTCGACAACCCTTCACATGAAACCCATGCGTATCATGTGCAAGGAGATTCATTCGTTGCTGTCGCACGTGAGTATGGAGCTTACCCAAGTTGTAAACTGATACTGAGGGACCGGCTCGCAGAGCGATTCCCAGCACGTACATTAAGCCCTATTCGAACAGTAGACATCCACGCGCAGGTCACCGCGCTCTCGACCGACACTCAAGCCCTCGTGTCTTCTAGGTTCGATGTCTTCTTGTGCCATCCGTTGTGCATACGCACTAACGACCGATTCAGAGCACAGCACGCTTCCGGGAACGTCCGTCGTGATGGAAGCGACGATAGCCAACCAAAGACTGTGTCCACGGGGCCGTACTGGGCGGCACTATTCCAACCGTAGCCTTCTTGGTGATCGCGGTTGGAGCGACGTCCTTCTTGCGGCGCCGCAAACGCAGGAGGGGTCGCAAAGGACCCCGGGACGACAACCAGAGCGAGATCATCGAGTATTTGGACTCACCCCGAGAAGCGCCTGGTCGCCTCTACCCTTACTACTACTCCAAAGACGCCAGCACCTTTCACGAAGATCACGAAGCCTCAATGCCTTCCTCTGCCACATATCCTATTTCCGCTCCCCCCAGCCCCAGTCCTTCAATCACCCCGCCTCCCCCCGCCATCGTGCACCAGCACCACTGCCTCGTCCGCGACAAGCTCCCCTCCACGGACAGCACGCCCACCTCCTCCACCCGCTTCAACTCCACCCCCCACTCCCGCTCCAACTCCCGCCCCACGATCGCCCGCACTGCCACCCTCCCTCCTCCCCTCCTCCTCCTCCCGACCGACCCGCGGCGCCCCCTGTCGGCGGCGTCGGACACCGCGATGCACCCGCTCTCCGCCGTCACCGCCGCGCACCCGAAGATGCACCGCGGCCCCGCGCGCCTCGTCGCCGTCAACGCGACCGCGGCGGACATCATCAGCCCCGTGTCGCCCGGGCCCCGCGCGCGGCCGCCGTCGATGATGATGGACGTGGACGGGGACGGGGACCCGTTCCGAAGGATGCCGAGCCCGGTGGTGGCGCCGCTGAGGAGCGGGTCGTCGCTCGGCGCGCGCGCGGAATGCGGGGCGGGCCCAGAGGCGACTTCGCCGGTGGCGACGGTCGAGGTGTTGCGAGCGAGGACGCTGGAGGAAAAGGCAAAGCCCGAGAAGGGTGGCGCGGGCGGAGGTGCCAGGGCACATAAGGAGATGGTGACGGGACTGAAGACTGAGATCCAGATGCTGATCCAGGAGGTAAGGGCGCTGAAGAGCGACCAGGACGTCCTGGACAGGGAGCGCGAGAAAAAGTACGGGATTGGGTCGGGGATGTGAAGAGGTGTAGTAGGTATATACGCGACCGCCGGTCGCTTCGTGCGTTTCACCGAATTTGCGTCTGGACATATACGTGTGTATCGAGTAGTTGATAATCTGGATCACTCTTACTTTGTACGTATGCCTCTATTCTACCTTGCGCCTGCGCACGTATTTGTATCATCATCTGGGTAAAGTGCACTTGCTTTTGTCATCGCAGTGCGCGAAATGGCCCAAACGAACCCCACAGCGACGGAGATAGCTTGCTCACGCATCCATCCAGTTCTTGCACTGGATAATAGCCCCATCAGTCGCGTAGAGGCTTTGGAACATAAATTGCTTACGAAGAATCGGCGATGGACTGTGGATCCAGCATCATCTATTGTTTTCACCTCCGCCGATGTCAAGTCGGGAAGGCGCAAAATATCGAGGTACTCCTGCATGCGCTCTGCCTTGGAGCTAGTCCTGTGAGTAAGGTCAATCAGATTGTAGTCCCGACGGAAGTAAAGCAACCATACGTGATCTCTATCACCCCGTGTGCGCGATGCCACAAGAGAAGCACCTGAGCCTCAGTCACTGGTGCTCCTGCCTCCTTCTCCAAACGCCGACGAATGGGAGCCAGCAGCGCTGAGTCGACGGGGCCGTCCGGGAACCGAGTCAACGTCGCAAGCCCGGAGTAGCCAGCGGTCGCGATGCCGTGCCGCTCGTGGATGGCGACGAGGGTCTTGTTCGTGTCGTACACGTACGGATGATACTCGACCTGCGCCATAGTCAGAAGTCAGCACGCGCCGCACATCCGTTATCATGGTCTTGAGGGCATCACCTGGTTGACCGCGGGAATGACCTTCGCGTCTTCCAGGATCGTGTGCAGCTGGGTCGCGTTGAAGTTTGACAGCCCGATCGTCCGCGCGAGCCCCGCCTCCTTCACGCCCTCCATCTCGCGCCACGTCGCCTTGAGGTCCGCGAAGAATATGGGCACGTGGATGAGGAACATGTCGACGTAGTCGACCCGCAGCTTCCGGAGCGACTCTTCGAGCGCGCCGCGTACGCTCTGGCCCTCGGGGAGTTTGTTGAGCTTGGTAGTGATATAGAGATCCGCGCGCGGCCGGCCGCACGTCGCGATCGCGGCGCCCAGGAACTCTTCGTTCTTGTACAACTGCGCGCCGTCGAGGTGGGTGAACCCGGCGGAGATCGCGGAGAGGATGGTGGAGGTGGTGTCGTGCTCGCGGTGGATGGTGCCGGTGCCGTATCCGAGGGCGGGGACACGTGTGCCGTCGTTGAGAAGTACCATCGGCATTGGTGGAAGCTGGGAGGCACCCATGGCAGTGGAGGATGACGGAGGTCGATTGTGAAACGAGAGACTGCAACAGCGGATTTCCCGTTGGTCCAGCGCAGATCGGGCACGTGTCCTGGCTGTTGAGGCTGATGGTTTACCGTCGGTGCCGAGTTTCGAGATTATGGATTGGCAGGTAGGACGACGGACCTTTTGCAGAACGAACATGACGATAGCGTTGAGGCGATAGAATGATATACATACTGGATTTGGAAGTGTGCACATGTGCCAAGTTGTCGGGCGTCTGCTCAAGTGCGCGCACGAGAGACATCGCGCGTGTCCTGGTTCGATACGTTCTTAGCTGTGTAGTTACACGCGCATATGTGACACATAGGGATAGAATGAGAATAATAATAATAATAAAAGCGTGTCCTGGTTCCCTGTTCTGCTCCATCTACCCGCTACACCCAGTCTCCTCCCATATCGCCCGCCCTGGCTACTCCTCGGCACGTTCAAAGATCGGTGCCATAGACTGGGGTGCCTATTCACAACGTCGCATCTGTCCATGAGAACCCCAGGTATGTACCTACCAAACCTAATCCTCGCCCCTTCATTCTCGCTCGGTCTCCCAAGGACTTCGAGAACTGCCACGAAACCGTCAATATTACCTCCGGCACGCTCGCCCGCGCTCTCGACTGGCCAGCATCCCATACGCTCGCGTCACAGTGACTACGAACGGAATCTACGTCAAACTCCCTCTGATACCCTGCTACGATCGCTCGGGGGTCCAGCATTGTCTCGCCATCCTCACTTGCCAGGTGCCTCTACCGCGGAGGGACGAAAACCAGGATCGCCCGCGTCACTTCGAACAGCGCAAGCTTCAAGTCGTCTGTTTGGTTCTCCACTCGCATGGCGAAGGGCAATTGTGCAAGAGCACCGAGATGTTCGTAGGATTCGCGCCCATAGCTGAAAGGCTGCAGATCGACCCCTGGAATCCGATCAAAGCCGCGCTCGACAACATGGCGAGCTACTTCCGCCTGGCGACGCTTCCTCTCGAAAGCCTCAAGGCGTTTAAGGATAACGCCAAGGTCGAGTCCATCTACATCCACCATCCCACTTCCGATGAGGACGGTCCCTCGGGGTCCACCTTCCTCCTCCAGGCGCTTGCGCGAGAAGGCTTGGACGACCCCAAGTTCGAGCTGACGACATGGTGCTCGGATGTTCTCACCCTCTCTCTCTCTCTCTCACCAAGCAGGGCTTCGCCGTCAGCCGATCCCGCACTCAGATGATCACGATTTCCGACGTCGCGTCGAAGTCGGACGGGCTCACTATCGAGGTCACCCGCTGCGACTGCGCGGGCCATCATCCTTCCCCGCTCCAACAGCAGCGACTCGGTGTCCCCGCCGCAGTACTGGTCGTGGGACATCGCCGCGGACTATTACGGCGATGCCGGCTCGCGCGCGAACTGGAATTGCTCCAGCTACCACATCTACTCGTGGGACATCAAGGACGGCGTCGCGCACCGCTCGTTCAAGCCACCGGGCCGACAGTCTGCCGGCGGGATCGAGCACATCAGCATCCTGGTCAAGCACGTCCCGCAGCCGGAGCGCTTCGTCGTCGACCTCAAGGTCGTCCGGTTCCGGCCTGACGAGTTGGCGTCCCAGCCGACGTGGCCCGCGGAGGACTTTCCGCCCTTGCCGCCGTCTACCATCTCCGGCTAGCCCGAGCCCTCTGATGGACCAAGTCCGAGTCAAACGCCTGCTACGGGGGTCATCCCGTATACGGGAGAGTCTAGGCTGGGTCTGACGTCCCTACGCAGAACGGCCTCGTGGACCGAGCTGGAAGTTTACCGTTTATCCCCAGATCACGGAGCACTACCCGTGGTGACCGCGCTACCACCGAAGATTTGTGAGAAGAAGCTCAAGAAGCGTCGCACTGCCAATGATGCTGCAAGTCGAGGTGAGTATGGCATTAAGTACCTCTGCGCTGCCCCCCGTTTACAGCTGAATATGTCAGACTCCGAGAAGCCCTCAACTCCTCAACCTGCTCAAGAAACTCCCGACGCATCTCCTGTAAAGCACCAAACGAATTCTGCTGGTATTAGACCGTTTGGTTGGATGATGGCGGCGATGATGATGATGATAATTGTGCTTTTGCTCCTTGTACTATCACGACCCCAGTGTTCGGACAGACCCTAGTGTTCAGACAAACGTGAATTGGGCTCCAGTACCTCTACCGACAATCATGAAATCTTATATTTGGCTAGGATATCTTCTCACACAGCTATGTTCGAAGTTTCGCGTCCTCCCAGTCCAAGCTGGGTCCGATCTCGAGGATGCACTCATTTTGCAAAGTGCCGATCACACGCCCAGCCCAGCGCTATTTCTCTTCCCCCTCAATCCACGACGTCCGCCCGTCATCCACCGTGGATGGCTGTTGCATTCGACGTTATCAAGAGATGACATTGCTGGATTTCGGGGGCAGTTGGTTCGGAAAGACAAAAAGGGGAGGCCAGGGGAGGGCAGCATCAAGAGACACACACTTCATCACGTGCAAAAACGCGCCTGTCACATCGTGTTACGGGAACGCGACGCGGGACCGACGCGCTGAGTTTCGACTCTTTCTCTCCCCCACTGGCTCAAGCTGCTGCCGCTCATCCCGTTCAACGGTGATGTCGGACATCGTCTTTGAACAGGTTGTTTATCACATCTCCGAAACCCTCGACGTCCAGAAACGCGAGCAGCTCTCCCAGGTCCTCGACGCGCGCGGGGCACAGAAAGCCGAAGATGTCACCGACCCTGACCTCACCCACTTCATAACATCGTCTTTGCCCCTCGAAGACTTCGTGGAACAGCTCCCCCCACATTCTCGTGCGCATACAGTCACCCCACTATGGGTCGAACGCTCCTTTGTCCTCGGCTCCCAGCAAGACCCCGAGTTCTTCTCCGCCGACCCCGCCTACCTCTTCTCTGGCGTCACCGCGACTGCGACAGACCTCTCGGCGGCCGACTGCGAGCTCATGTCGGCCGCGATCACCGCCATGGGTGGCCAATGGCGCACGGCCCTCACCCGCGACGTCACCCACCTCTTCGCGCTCGCAAAGGGGAGCGCAAAGTACGAAACGGCGATGCACTACCGCGAACAGATGAACGTTTGTGTCCTCGTCCCCCACTGGTTCGACGACACCGTCCGGCTCGGCATCCGCGACCTCCCCACGCGCAAATACGAGTGGCCCGAGCCTGCGGTCTTCGGCCAGCGACTGGAGGGCCGAACTTCTCAAGAGGACGTCGACTACGAGCCTACGAAGGAGCGGATGATGCTGTACGACACGGCGTCGATGTCGGCCGACGACCACAAGAAGATGCGGCCGGCGGAAGGGAAGGTGTGGGAAGGGAAGCGGATCCTCTTGGGCCTCTCGCTGGACCTCTCCGACCGTCAACGCGACGCGCTTTGCGTGGACATCCGACGACAAGGCGGAATACCCATCGTGCTCCCCTCTGAGAAGTCGACGAAGGCGGCGGGACGCGTGCAAGAGGAGTTGGCGAAGATGGAGGAGACGGACATATATGTGACGCGGTATCGGACAGGAGCGGCGTATGCTAAGGTGCGTCTCTTCCTCGTTCTGCGCCATTTTCCATCTCCAATGGGGGCTATAGGCATACAAGCTCGAGAAGACGATCGGCACGCTCGCGTGGTTGTGGTATGTCCGTGCCTCTGGCAAGCTATCGAGGCCGGCAGACCAGCTTCTGCACTATCCTATCCCCGACTCGCCGGCAAGCGGCTTCGAGAAAGAGGTGAGAGGCTCGAAGTACATAGAAGGCTGTTTTGACGCATAGATTCAGGTGGTCACCGTCACCAACTACACAGGGAAGGACCGGGAATATCTGAAGAAGCTCATTACTCTCATGGGGGGAGAGTTCACGGCGTCCATGTCAGCGGAGAAGAACAGTATCGTCGTGGCTGCATAGTGCGTGTCTTGACTGTTCGAGCGAATGTTTGGCTCAATCAAAGCAGTTTGCAGGGGACGAAAACGGACAAGGCGGCATCATGGTCCATCCCTATCGTCAACCACACCTGGGTTGAAGATTGCTTCATCCAATGGCGACGCTCACTCCTGCTTGCGACAAGTACATCCTGTTTCCTCCCGGCGTCGACTTCAGCGTCGTTTTGGCACAACGGGGCCTAGGCAAGATCGCATGGGAGCCAGGTCAGTTGGAGGAGATGGAGGCCGAAGTGGAGGCTGAGGAAGAGGCTATGGACACATCGCCGAGGAAACGCACGAATACCAAGACCCCTACCACGAGTCCACGAAAGCAGAAGAACCACAAGGCCCGAGACGACTTGCGACCAGTCGGAACGCTACAGAGCGTGGGTGAGGTTGAAGATGCAATCGCGATGGACGAAGGCGCGGACATGGACGTGGACCCCGACCACTCGGCGATGGATGTGACGACGAGCCGAGCCCCAGCAAACCGTCACCGAAGAAGTCGCCAGCGAAACCTCTGGTGAAGAGGAAGCTTGTCCGGAGGGTCTCCCGAAAGCCTGAGAACGACTCAGAAGAGCAACGTCCCACCACTCCCGACACGTCTCCCAAGAGGCCCTCACGAACAAACGAAGCCGCACAGGCTGCCCCCGCGGACTCGGACTTGGAGTCGCCCACCACGTCCAGGAAGCTTCAGACCGCACGTCGAAAGGTCCTGCCTCGCGATGAAGAGAGCTCCGCCGAAGAAGAAGTTCCGAAGACGAAGTCCAAGGCCAGAGCCAAGCCAGCAGCCCCCGCACCCTCGACCGAAAACAAGGAACAGGTCTCTACGAAGAAGCATAAGGTCGTTCACCCTCCCAGCGACTCAGACTCGGACTTCCCGATGACCTCCGCTCTGTACTCGGCGACCTGCTGTCGAACAACAAGGGCAAGGCACGCGAAAAGCCTGCGCCGAAGAAGCGCGACGCCGACCCTGCCGTTGCCGACGGCCACGACTCCCTCCCATACGCAGCGAAAAGGCAAAAACGAAGGCACCCACGACTTTCAAGGTGGGACCTCCGAAGGCCGCACCGAAAGCGTCAGCCGTCGAACACCGGCCCTCGCAAGATCAAGAAGACGGCGGCGCTGGAGGCGGAGAAAGAGCATGGTGATCATGCGTCCACAACAGAGAGCCCTTACAAGGTCGGACGGACGCCACGGGGGGCCGCGACGAAGGCCGCGCAGAAGCTGCACGATGTCGTGATGCCGGACGTGCTCTCGTACCAGAAGGAAGTTAAGAGCGGGACGGTGCGTGCCACCCACGAACGCGACGGCGGAGCATCAACGTCGTTGCCGGCCAAGGGCAAGAAGCGCCCCTCGATGGGATCGGCAGGCCCGGAGAGTGAAGAGGAGGATGAGATTGCACAACCGGAGAAGAAGAAGCGGAAGGCGGGTGAGGTGGAGAACGGTGGTGCGGCGCCGGGGAAGGGGAAGAGAGGAGGAAGTCGGGCACGGATGCGGATGCGACGCGCAGTGAGGATGAGCAACCCGCCCCAAAGGCCGCGCAGGCCGTGCGGGTCATGACCACACAGCTGGTTCTAGGAGACGACGTGACAAGGTGCGTATCTATCTCTCACTCCATCCGACCTCCACGTTGAAACGCTGCGCAGCGATTGACGAAGTTGGGCGTGAAGTTCGTCACCAAGCCCGCAGAGTGTACACATCTGCTCGTCAAGAACGTGGTGCGGACAGAAAAGTTCCTGTGCGCGATGGCTGTGCACCGCATGTGCTTACTGAAGGGTGGGCTACGTCGTCAGCTGCGAGCAAGAAGCTGCTCGGTGAGTGGCGCGTATCCGTTTCGACAAGCGCGTCCACTGATACCATTGACAGCGGAGGACCAGTTCGCGGTCAAAGACGGGGACACGGAGAAGAAGTACGACTTCAAGCTCACAGACGCGCTGAAGTTCGCGAAGAAGAACGCGGGGAAGCTCTTCAAGGGGATGACGTTCTATGTCACGCCGAAGGTCCCCGTCGAGACAAAGCTCCTCAAGAATGTCGTTACCGCGAATGGCGGCACAGTGCGTATTTCGTCATGACATTCTGGTCTTCCGATGCTCATACCACTGCGTCAGCTCTCTACCCAGTCGCCTACGGTGCGGATCTTGGACGGACACGACAATCGCTTCGTGATCTCGAGCCCCGGAGATGTGTCGATCTGGCGGCCTCTCGTGAAGCACCATCCCATCTACAACCAGGAGCTCATTCTCACCAGTGCGCTCAAGCAGGAGATAGACTGGGATCAGGCTACATTCCGGGTCCCGGGTTCGTCTTGATCAATTGTGGGTACCGGGTGGATTGCGTTGCCAGTATGGCTTGTGTAGTATGTTTCCTGTACCTTATCGCTATCTCGTACATTCCTAGTGGTCGCATTGCTTTCATTGATTGATATACCTGTTTGCTCTCTTAGAACCAGGCTCCACTGATTGGACTTCGAAGTTCGAATCTAGTCGAACCACTTCATTTCCGCTGTTGGCCAGCCGCCTCATAGTACTTCGAGACAGGTCATGTCGATACTTGGTGCGGCCCCGTACGCATATGTACTCTAGTACATATTCACAAACTCCGGAACATCAAGCAGAGTCAATGACCAATCCGGCGGTGGTAAACGGGAATCCATATACGACTAACATTCGGAGTAGGAAGTCGCGGGACGAGCCCAACAGTGCAACCCAATGTGAACACCAAACCCGACTTAAGAAGGGTCGCAACAGACGCTAGCCATGATGCTCAGGTCAACGTGTGTTGCCGGAGCCTTTGCAGCGCAGGAACGAAGTGTCAAACCGGTGTCGTACCAACTTGCGGCCAGTGTCCAGTACGAGATCGTCATGCCCTGAAGCATTCACGAACTTCGTGGTATAGAGCAGGAGGATGCGCATTGCACACTGTAGGTGACGTCTATCAGGGCTGGCGAGCGGTATGAATCGCGCGAGTTCAGTAATGAGAACTTCTCAGACGCGTAATAAGGTTAAAGCGAATACTATACAAAGCTTGTCCGCTTGAAGTCGTCACGGGCGCTGTATTAGTACTGCTCCTTCGACTGTGGCATCGCATCAAGTTTGGTCGCCTTACCCTCGCCGACTTCTCGATGCGCATGAGCTCGATTTGGACCACATTCCCGATCATCTCCCTCCAGCCCAGCGATCGATGCGGATAGGAGCCTCGTCCGCACCGCCGAGCTTGTGATGGATGGTGGCAAAGAGCTCGTACTTGAGCGGGAACTCGGTGTCGTAGTGCACTTTCTCGTTGAAGCTTTGGACAATGCGGTACTCGATCTTGGGCTTCCAGAAGTGCTTGGAATAGATCCAGATCATGAATCGCTGGAGACAACAGAGACGGTCGGTTGGGATGGGTCGCGGACGAAGTCGCGCCGAAGGACAGAGCAGGGGAGTGGAGTCTCGTACCTCATGTCCCATAAAAGCGACGGCCCCCCTACCACATATTGCCTTCCAGTCATCATAGACAACGACAATATGTGGCGGGAGAGGAGATACTCCTATAGAGAGAGCTAGAGGACGATCTAGTGGGATGATTTAGATACGAGCAAGTATAGCACGATAGACTGACCGACAGGGTTCTTAGGAAGCTGCTTGATTTCGTTGGCACCATCTTGGGACATGATGGTATTCGGTCAAGGTGAGCCGGTGGGAACCAGTGAGGGGGCGAACGTGATCCGCTCTGGCTGCGGATTGCTACCCCATTCAACAACATAGACGCGGGTCGAATATACTCGCCTCGGCCTCTCTTCGCACTCGTGCAGGTTAGGCGATGCCTTGTTTAAAGTCTTTGAAAATTCTGCTAGTTATCAGGAGACGATGCTACTGATCATAGCAGCCAGTCCTCCGGATGAGGTCAGAGGTGAAGGCGTCGCAACGCCCTCGACGTTCAAATGGACAGCAGGACGTAAGAGTATATTGGTCGTCGCCGCTCTTAATCGGGAAATTTCGAAGTCACAGTTGACCACACACCTGCGGGTTCCTTCCAGGTCCAAAGCACATCCTGCAAGCTACGCGGTCTGTGCTGTGTTCCAATTTTGGCGTTCAATGGCGGCCAATTAAAGGGCACAGCCTCCACGTGACCTGCCACTGTAATTGCCACGTGGGACTCTGATCGCGGTTGGTTCGCGGTCCGGACAAGACGGTTTGTGGGCGGGGCCGAGTCGCGTCCCCCGCGTCGCTCTCTGGTCCCAACCACTGTCTCCTCCTTCCCCCTGCCCGCGCTTTGTTCGCGTCTGCTCCCTACCGACGGCCACCACATCAGCCACGGCCACCCCCGCCTTCACTTTGCCCCCTTCTCCCCACGCCTCCCCGCATAAAAAGGGTCCCCGTCTCATCTCCTCTCTCATCTCCTCCCCAACCACCAGCCCCAACACCCCAGCACCCTTCTTGCCAGTTCTCAACATGCAATCCGAAGAAGACCGCATGGTCACCGACGATGGCGAGCCCACCCAGCAGCAGACCCAATCCACCCAGTCCTCGTCTCAGACAGAGACCCAAGATATTACGAAGCTATGGGGCTACCTCGTCCCCTGCAGCCCCGCTCTCCGCCGCATGGACCTCATGAAGGGAAAGCGCAGGTATTCGATAGGTCGCAATAAGGAAGGCCTTCTGAACGATATCATCCTTCCTGGCATGAAGATCAGTGAGTACCCATCCTCGACGCGTCCAAACACGCGTCCTGGCGTGTCTGACCACCCGCGCTCCAGGTAACTTCCACGCTGTCATCAATTGGGATGGGGACGAGACCCCCAAGTCCGCCGTCACCATCACTGACACGTCCAGCAACGGCACCTTCGTAAGCACACGTCTTTACCTGCGTGGGTGGTCAGGGACTCAATGTCCTCTCTATGCCGCTGGGTCTATAGATCAACGGGAGAAGATCGGGAAGGGAAAGAGCAAGGTGCTGCGTGACGGAAACGAGGTCGCGTTTGGGACGGTCACCGCACTTCAGGCAACAACTTCGAGGACTATCGTGAGTTTCTCTGCACTTCACTGCGCACTCTCCTCAACGGTTCCAAGGTTTCGTGTTCCGCCACCTCGTTCTCCAGGTCCCGGAGCGCGGCCTCCACACGTTCTACGACATGCAGCACGAGCTCGGAAAGGGCTCCTTCGCTACTGTCATGAAGGCTCTCCACCGCACCGAGGGCAAGTGGTACGCCGTCAAGATGATCCAAGCCAACAAGCTTCGCCGTGGGTTCAGTGCCGCGAGCGTCGCCGGGCTCCGTGACGACGACAAGGCGGCCAACTTTGCTCGCGAGATCAACATCCTCGAAAAGCTGCAGCACCGAAACATCTGCCAACTCAAAGAGGTCTTCTTCGAGCGGTACAACATCAGTGAGTGCCATATTTCTGGGCATGCCGCAGCACCTCCAACCCGTGGTGTCCACCCACAGACCTCGTCCTGGAATGGGTTGCAGGCGGTGACCTTCTGAGTACATCCTCAAGCACGAGAACGGACTCTGTGAGTATGACGCCTATAGCCTCCGCGCCGAGACTAAGCGCCTTTTGCAGCCGAGGCAGAGTCGCAGTATCTGACGTATCAGATGTGCGATGCGCTGGCAGTAAGTAGATCCATCACTGTGTCTATTCTCGTGCTCACCGACGATCTGCAGTATGTCCACGACATGGGTATTTGCCATCGCGACCTTAAACCCGAAAACGTGCTCTTGACCCTGGACAATCCACCTATCGTCAAGGTTGCAGACTTTGGGTTGGCGAAGGTCATCGACAGCATGACCATGCTCCGGACAATGTGCGGCACGCCTGCATACCTCGCTCCTGAGGTGGTGAACCAGTCCAACAACGAAGGGTATGACCTGCTCGTCGACAGCTGGAGCGTCGGTGTGATCGTCTTCTGCATGTGGGTGGTGCTCTTCTTGGCATTGTATGTAATTGACCACGCGTGCTCAGGATCGCCATGTGCAACCCTTTCGACGAGGATCAGGACATCGACATGAAAACTCGCATTGCCAACCGCAACGTTCAATGGAACTATATCCGGGAGAAGAACGTCAGCGAAGACTGTACGTTTTCACCCTCGCGTGTCGCCATCAGGAACTGACCCTGTTGCGGACTAGGCATCGACTTCCTCGGGAGTCTTCTCGAAATCGACCCTACCAAGCGCATGTCCCTGGCCGATGCGCGCACTCACCCGTGGCTTATCAGGGAGCACTATCGCCGTCAAACAGCTGAGTTCGCCCAGGCTGCCCAAGTCGCCCCCGCCGTTGCTCGTTCTCAAGCCCTGTCGTCTTCCACACCCCCACCCGCCGTCGCGCGCGCAGTGGTCGACTTCCCCGCGGACGCGTCCATGGCGTCCGTCGCGGACCTCAGCTCGGACGGTATGGCCCTGGATTCGGATCCTGTCGAGACTGGTCGACAGACTCCCGAGGTCGGTGAGGAAGAAGAGGAGGACGACCTCTCGCCAGTGCCAGAAAGCCAAGGCCTCGGCCGTCACGGATCGCGCTTGCAGCGGCGTGTTGACGTGATCCGCCATGCTCAGCGCCGTGGCGAGGACCTCCCGAGCCCGTCGCAGGAGATGCGTGCGTGGGCGGCGGCTGAAGACGCGGAGGAAGGCGACGCCGCAGAAGAGGACGACCAGGAGAACATGCCCCCTCCCGTCACCCCGGGAACGTCGCGGAAGCGCAAAGGCGCCTCGTCCGTGGACGAGGGGACGGAGCTGCCCGCGATCCACGAAAACGGAGAGTCCCCGGTGCCTGCTCGGGGAGGACGCAGGGGCCGTAGCGGTGCGCGGAGGGCGGCGGTGGCTCCTGTGCTCAGCTCGCGGACGCGCAAGACTCGCGCTTCTGCGGAGGTTCCTGTCGAGCAAACTGACCTCGCGGTTCAGCGGCGGTCTATCCGACTGAAGGGCCAGACCCCGACCAGCAAGGCGCAGCGGCGACAGTAGTTGTCTCGACGTTACTTTGGATTCTACCTTACCGATATCCTGCTCAATGATTCCCCTTGTCGTCTCCGTCCACCTCATCTGTACCCTGTCTGCGAGCTTCCACTCACTGCCACGCATCTCGTCCCTCTCCTCATCCTTTGGTCATGATTGGGTTTACTGACCTCGAACGGTCGCACTCACATCCCTGCCTCAATCCCCATCCACCCATCCTGCACATATCTTCTTCTCCCGTCTGTCCATCCGTCCGTCCGTCCATCCGTTCGTCCGTCCATCCGTCCGTCCGTCCATCCGTCCGTCCGTCTATCCATCCATCCATCCAATCCTCTATCAGACTGCTGCTACGCATGCTCCTCTCCCCATCTTCATTCACCACCCGAGCCGATCCGCGATTTGTGATCTCGCCTCCCCACCCTCCTTCTTCACCACAGGTAATCTACGTCTAATACGCGCCCTCAGTCCTCTCTGCTCTGCATCATCCCACCCCGTTATACTGTGCAAAGATCTAGTCGCCCGTCCCCCGCCCGTTGCATACATGTTTCAGTATCAAATACTGCGTCACCGGATCGTCCCACAAATAGAAGCAGTTGTACATCTGGATCTTTTTTACTTTGTGGGCGAGATCGTGGGCTGCTGTGGGCCACTTGTGCTTGCGCAGCTCGCGGTGCTGGTACGTCATAGCGTGTGCATTGGCTGATGTACATGACCTCTGGATTGTCTACGTAGTTCCTACGACTACGCTCGCGAGTCGCAACCTGCACCTTGTTTCCCCAATCGCACATCAGGCCGCGGGCGAGATTGATGACGAGGCTGGCCCCGCCACAGCAGTCTCGCTCGGGACGAGCTCGAGCTGCACGACGTTGTCGATCATGTCCGCCCACCCCACAGCGGTGAGCTCGACGGGGCCCTCGTCTGCGCCGCCGTACGTCTTGTGGAACGTCGCGCGGAGCTCGTGCTTCCGCCCGAATTCGGGGTCGTAGTGCGCGTCCCTCTTGAACGCCTCGCCTGGGGCCGTGGGCTGCCAGACGTGCGCCTCGAAGAAGTATGCGAGGAGGTCCTGTAAGCGGCGATGAGTCTTGACTCTTCTCGGAGCAGCCGGGGAACGGGGTATGTAACGCACCTCGCGTCCCACCTTCGCGGCGCTCTTTCGGCTGCAGGCGCCCTTCCAACCGCCGTAGACGAGTACGATGTGGGGCACGGGCCACCGCCCTGGCCGCTGCGCAGCTGAGGACATGAACGAAGACACGGTGATCAGCGCTTCCGCTGTAAAAGCCTAAAACAACCTCTTCGACCACTCACCACCTGAACCCGAGTTCTCTCCAGAACCGTACTCCAGTGGGGCCGGATTGTATAGGGGACTGGCTGGACAAGGCGGCGACGGCGGAGAGCCAGGTGCAGAGTCTCAGCTGGTGCGCTGGTGCGTGGTAGAGAGCCTGACTCCCACTCACGGCTACGTCTGGGTGACGCGTGCCGAGATGATCTCGACGACTGTGACCGCGTGCTTGGAGGTGGATGTAGCCGTGGCCGTGGGGCGAAAACGACTGTTGGTTCAAAGAGAGGAGAGCGAGGAACGCCAATGGGGGGTCCGTGGCCGGTCATGACGATGGCTGGAGAAGGGCCCACTCGCCAAGTCGCCAATCGATAGTAGGCGTATGTGTGCGCTCGCACGTTGAAGCTCTGACATAAGACACACCACGTGCCAGATTCCAGCCCGAGGGTGTTTTGGGTACTCCGTGCTTACTTACTGGCGACAACACGCCTCAGCTGTTTGATCGTCTACCAGGCTCGTCTGCACAGCTTCAGCCGCATGCCATCCTATATAAAAAACGCACAACAGCACACGACCGCAAAGTCCATAGATGTTGCAAGCGTCCAATTCACGCATGGCCTGGCAAACGGATTAGGGAACAGAAGCTACTGCAGTAGTCTTACTTGCGACGAGTTCAAGCCGCGTGACCTTGTCAATAACGTCTTGCCATCCGTCGGATCGACAGGTCCTTCATCTGCGCCTCCATACGTTCTGTGGAACGCCGTGAGGGGCTGACGCTTTCTCCCAAAGCCGGGATCATAGTGTGACTCTCCCTTGAACGTCCCGCCCGGCCTTTCTGACTGCAAGCCTCAAACATACAGATATGCGAGTAGGTCCTGTTGGTGGGCGGTGAGTGTCCTCCGCACGCCGACCTCTGAACGTGATGCGCACACGCACCCCCCATTGAGACTACACTCTTTCGGCCACACACGCCTTTCCAACTGCCGTAGATGAGGAAAACAAATGCGACACGGACCCCCGTCCAGGCCGCTGCCCAGCTGCAGTGGGATGAATTCATTAGTCAATCCCTTTGGATGGGCGTCGATAGATGGGAGGATTGTGTGTGCTCGGTCGTGTGTGTGCATGCCGATGCTCCGACATGACGGGAGATGCCAGCTTCCAGACGAGTCAAGTCGAAATGAGAATGTGGTCCAATGAGCGCGGAGATTACGTGCCATCTACGCCAGTAAAAATCTCATGTTAGCATGTTCTAGCACAGACTCCCGATTTCAAAGCGATTGTGACGAACCTCCGCCGTATCTAGACACGTGACCGCGTCTCGCTCGGGAACAGCGGACGTCCGACGGGATGTAGGCATACGTCACACTCACCTGCGCGACGACGACGAAGCTCGACGGGCTACACCACGAAGAAATGCGCACATAGAAGCGGGATAATCATACAAAGGCTAGACGTACAAGCCGAGCTGCTGCTTCTGGTACATTGTTTCATGCTAAACACTTCGTTCACGGGCTGGGCCTGTAAGTGCCGGGAACAATCTCGACCCAGTACCTAAATTAGGATTCCATGTCAGCGCATAAGCCTCCCACACGCCAAATGAACAGACGCGCACCCATCGGGGTCGAGGATGAACGCGATGTTCTTCATGCGCCCGTCGCTCAGCTTCTTCTGGAACTTGACCCCGAGGGCCTCGAAGCGCGCGCAGGCCGTCTCGATATCGTCGACGGTGATCGCAATGTGGCCGAATCCGCGGCCGGGGTCCGAGTTCCCGTTCGCGTAGCCGGCGAAGTTGGGGTCGGACTCGGTGCCGTGGTTGTGGGTGAGCTCGAGGATGCCCTCGCGCTGGAAGCGGTTCTCGGGCGTCGTGCCCTGGCCGTGATCAAAGGCGAGGAAGTAGAGCGTGAAGGTCTGCATCTCGGTTTCTGTGCGGAGGAGGGTAGGAGGGGTGGGTGAGAACGACGGGGGCGGGGAGCGTACTGGAGACGAGGTCCATGCCGAGAACCTGCGGGCAGTCTTGTCAGTCGTGGACGGAGCGGAAGAAGGGGTTGGTGCACACCTCGGTGTAGAACTTGAGAGAGGCCTGAGGATCCTTGACGCGGATCATGGTGTGGTTGAACTGCGAGCGCGACGCTCAACTGGTTGCTCTGCGCGAGAGTGTGCGAGGGGGTGAAGTACCTTGAAGCTGGCGGTCTCAGCGGTGCGCGGCATGGCGGGATGTCTGGTGGTGGAGAATGCGCGATGCGAGGGGGCAAGTGAAGAGCTGAGGGTAGCAGGGAAACAGAGAGAGATTTATAAGCCGTCTACGCCAAATAACACTGTACTTAGAATGTGGGAGAACATCCGCACCGGGAGCCGGAGACCAGGCTGGCGCCGGAGCCGATCGATGACGAGCGAGGTGACGCGCCCGACGCGAAACGCGTGACGCGACAACAGGGACAAACAGACGCGGTCGCGCGCTGTTGAGAACCGCACGTGGCCAATTGACCGAGCTCTGCTCGCGGCTCTGCGCCTGCCTCTCTCCAACTTGCTTCGCGCCCTTATCACCTCCGCCCCGACATCTCCTTCCCTCTCCGCCCTCGAGGCCACGATGCCTCCGACGCGGTCCACACCCGCTCCCATCCATCGCCCCCCACACTTTGCCAACCTCCCCTTGAAGTTTAGGCGCAAGAGCTTCGGGCAGGACGACTACCTAAGCCCAAACGACCTCGTCCCCCCTTCGCCGTCGTTGTCTCCTTCGCGCTCTTTCTCCATGTCCTCATCCCCGCCGTCATCTCCCACTGCAGTTTCGACTTCACCCATCCACCCTTCTCGCCTCGATACCGTCAAGGTCATGCCACCTTCGAGCCCCATTGGGTCGAGCACATACTATGGTCGCGGGTACGCATATAGCTACGCCCGCGGCTCCTCCTCGGCACACACTCTCGACGAGGACACACATTTCCTTGACCGCCCGCCCAAAGCGCAAGCGTATGCCACCATTCCGCCCTCAGCCCGAAGTTCGAGACGGAGCGGCTTCGCCTACTCCCAGCATCAGTCTGATGCCCTGCGCGCCGCTTCGCCGGCAGCGTACGAGTCCGCCATCAGCAACGGTGAGTGCTTCTCTCCACTCATTTGCTGCCTTCGCGCCCGCCGCACTTGGCACCCCGTCTGCATCCCGAGCCCGCCAGCGGACGAGCGCCCGGTGTCCGAGGCTGGACGCTCGTTTGTTGAGCTGGGCCCGGGTTTAGCTTCAGGCCTTCCGTCACCGGAGAGGAAAGGACGCCTCATTGCGCTTGCTTCCCTCCGGATATCCGATCCGGATCAGCCCATGACCGACCTCCGCCGTGCGAGCGATTCTCGCGCCCGCGAGGACAGTTTGCCTCGCCCCGTGCTATCGCTACGCTCAGGCGCGCGCCAGCCGTCGCTCACCGTTCAGGGCGGTGGCGGCAGCACTTGGTCTTTTGTCATCACGGACAGCCCGATATCTGTGTTCGCCCAAATCGACGTCCCCTGTGGGCGCTCCGAATGTTCACAGAGTTCGAGTCCCGTCAAATACCCGGTGACGGCTAGTTCGACGGTTTCCTTCCCCCTGATCACACTCCTTATCAGCTGCTCTGGTCACGACACTCACCTTTGCCTATGTTCCTTCATATCCGTGCAGATGACGAAGATGATGACCTCGACTTCGCCGCTACTTTCGACATGGACGACCTCCTCTCCTCCCCCGTGCGGCGTGTATCTTTCACCACATCCTCCGAGCGCGATACGCCTTTCACGCGCCCTCCCCCCAAGCTCTTCCCGTCGCGTCCCACGGCGCAAAAGTTGCACAGGAGCCTATCACCCGCGCGTTCGTCAGTCTCGACTGGTGATCCCGTCCCTGCGGGAAAACCTCGCTCTGTGGACGTTCAGATCGACGCCGTCCACGTACCGACGCCTGTTCCGCTCGCACGATCGGTCTCGCGGCTCAAGAGCAAGCGGTCCCGTTCCTCGTTGCCCCGAGCGATCTCTCCGCCTGAAACGCGTGTCAACGCTGAGATCGACGACACACTCCCCCCGTCCTCGCCACCGTCATCCCCGCTCTTGTCACCGTCACGCCCTTCCGACGACACCGTACGCGCGATCACCCCAGTGGACGACTTCCCAGGCTCCGACTTGACGCTCCCTTCGTCATCTCCCATCCCAATACCGACGACGCCTGCGCGCGACCCCGAGCAAGACCTCCCCATGGATCTCTTCGCTTCTCCGCCATCCCCCACTCTCGATGCACTGCGGATTACGTCCCGGGTCGCATTCAGAGCGCTCCTCAACCCGGTCTCAGAACCCGCGTGGACGTCGTACACGCCCGCGCCCGCGCCCCGGTCGTGCTCACCACCCGTAATCCCGGCTCCCCTCCCCGTCGTAACTGCAGAATCCGAATCAGAAGTGCCCCAGCTCCGCTCGCAGACCCCTATCCCCGACAAAGCCGAGCTTGAAGAACCAGATGCGGCGCCGGAGGTGGAGATGGTGGATGCTGTGGCGATCAAGGATGCGGTCGAGGAAGCCGAGGCTAGCGCGGAAATCAAGGTGCGTCTGACGGCTTCGATCAGCTTCGGTTCCCCATACCAATGTGGGCCTGCACAGTCTCCCGCGCAAGCATCGCACGTCCCCTCTCGCGTCGTTTCCCGGGCTCACACCCCGGCACGCGATGTCTCCCAGGACATCCCGTCGTCCCCACTCTCCCCCGCGCCTGAGTCGCCGCTTGGCGCTCGCGATGTTGATATCGACATCGATGTCGATGTCGAGTTACCGGCGCCTGCCGTGTCCATCACCGAATCTCTCCCGCCTGTGGCCGGTCCAAGTCGCGCCCCGTCGCTCGCTGCCGACGTCCTCGTGCCGGTGCCCCCTCGCAAACGGGCACGCAGGAACAGCGACGTGGACGTCTCCCATGCAAAGTCAAAGTCGCGCTCCCTGCCTCCTTCAGATGTCGAGAGCGATGCGGAAGCGCATCCGCCCAAGCCTCAGCCCCCGTCGAAGAAGAAGGCACGCAAGTCGGAGACCGTTCGCCCTCGGCAGAAACGGCCACGCGCGATGATCTCAGACGATGAAACGGATTCTGGCGAACCTGCTCCTGCACCGGTGGTCAAGAAGAAGGTCCGCAAGGATAAGGCAAAAGGGGGCGACGGCGAGCGCAAGCGCGAGAAGCCCAAAGTCGCACGGCTCAAAATCCAGGACGCCGTGTCCGACGGTGACGTCGAAAACGCGCCGGTGCGCTCATCGAGTTCCGGGTCGAAGCCGCGCCCTCGTCCTAGTGTTAGGTCTGCTCCACGCAGTGCGACGAATATCGCGCTGAACGGCAGCACGCCCCTTCCCACCCCGGCACCGATCGTCGAGATGCACGTCGCCCCCTCTCTTTCGGACGCGGACGAGTCCGACGAGGAAGATGCCCCGAAAAAGCCCAATGCCATCAAACCGCCTTCGAAGGCCTCCCGCGGTGCCCCCGAAGACGTCGACCTGGAGCCTCTGCCGCAGTATAACCTCCCGCTGCCCGTGGCGGAGCTCGAGGGCATGCTCATCGAGACCCTCGCCACTGCGCGCGCGTCGTCTCTCGCCACCGCTGCGCTCTACGGCGCGCTCATGGCCGCGCGACCCGCGCTGCGCGACATGGCGCTCCCCACGCGCGTCGGGGCGTCCGCGGAGGACGAAGAGGATAAGGAGCCCGGGACAGGGCGCGGGAAGAAGGCGAAGGCGGACGCGGCGAGCCGGCGCGCGTGGGTGCCCGCGATCGAAAGCATGCTCGAGACCGGCTGGCGGCGGTGCGGGGTGTTCGGGAAGGTCGTGAACAGCGGCACGGTGAGCATCTCACTCTCCTTTACGCTATGCCCCGCTGACTTGGCCTGTCGCGTCTTGCAGGGCCTCGCGGATCACGCGCTCGCGCTCGAGGCTCGCTGGTTCTACGACCCCGAGCGGGACGAGGACCGGGAGCGGGCTGGGCTGGTGTCGAGCATGATGCGCCGGCCGGGGAAGCGCTCGGAGACGAAGAAGGCGAAGCAGTACTACTGGCGGCCGCTCCCCAAGATCTCGCGCTGGGACCCAGAGGACGAGCTCTAGGTGGGCGGTGTCGGCGCCCGCGCTATAAGTTATGTCGTTAATCCTTAATGGATTCAAGTCCTGCCCGTGGTTGATTTTTGATTTTGAATTTCGATTTCGATTTGATCAGTCGTCGTGCCTTGTTAGGCTTCAGAACGCTGTGTCCAAGCTGTGTACTTGCATGTTCTACGCCCCCCTCATGTTGTTTGTTTGTTTGTCCGGTGTCGATGTCGATCTGTGCCAATCTGCCGCCGTCGAGGTTAATCGTCTGTACATACATAGCTCTAATCTAGCACCCCGAGTATCCCATGGCCACACACAAGTTTACCCGCTCCCCATCGGTCGTCCTCATCTTCTGCGGCCGGACGCGCTCGCTTCGCGACTTTCTCGATCGCTCCGTTCGAAGGACTGGAACACCGCGGCGAAGACGCACACAATTCCGCGCCTCTCTCATTTCGAAGTCGGCACAGCACACACGCAATATGCGCTCGCCATTTCACACGTGGTGTGTCTCATACGCGCGGCGCGCTCTGCGGATATCCAACACACTGCCATTACGCGACTACCGCAGGCAAGACTCGATCCTACACGCCGAAACAAAGCAACGATAGCGAGCGCAGAGATGCATAAACGTTAGCGAACAGCGGGCCCTCCCCGTCCTCCCCTCTCTCTCCCGCGCGCGCGCGCGCTCTGTCTTTCTCTCCTGGATATCACCGTGACGAGTGTGGTGTGGTGCGGTATGGTGTGCGGCGGGCCCGACGTCGCGGTGCCTGTGTGTATCGGGCGAGGACGGACGGACGGATGGACGGATGGTGAGGCGAGGCGAGACGAGACGAGGCTACGCGAGCCCGATCTTGGTGAGGTGCGAGCGCATGATCGCCTCGCCGACTGCGGGAAGTGTGAGGAGATGAGGATGAGGCGCGGACGGGGCACGCACCGTTGACGATGATCGACTGCGTCGCCTTGATGTCCTGTGTGCGGGGGGCGCGTGAGCGGACCTGCACGGGGCGGGCGGGGAGGGGAGGGGAGACGTACGAGCATCGAGGTGTAGTGCTGTGGGGGAGAGGGGGCGTTAGCGTGGGCACGGAGATACGAAGACGTGGAGTGGGGGAGGCGTCCAGGGGGTGCGGGGGGTGAGAGCGCGTCGCACGAAGCCCATCCGGAGAGTGCGTGAAAGAAAGGGGGGAAGGGGAGGCCCACGGGACGAGGGAGGAGAACGGGACGCACGAGGTAGAGCGGGCGGTGGGAGACGTCCTTGCGCTTGTGGACCTGGATGAAGTGCGCGCGGAAGTACTCGGACACCTCCTCGTAGCTGTTCGGCCGGTCGCCGTAGGACGAGATGCTGCGGGCGGGGCAGGTGAGCGATCGTCGTTCGCCGTATGCGACCGCAGAGTGCACGAGCACGAGGCCAGGCGGCGACGGCGGGCGCAGGATCGCCCGCAGCGCTCACACGCCCAGAGCGCAAGCCGAGAGCTATGGACACCCCGGGACGTCCGGCGGGAACGGAGGGGACTTACTACTTGCGGACCTTGATCCCGGCCTCGAGCTTTTGGCGGAGCAAGTCGGTCTGCGCGGGGACGCGCGCGTGAGCGATCGATCGACGGTCTGTCTGTCCGGACGAACAGACAAACAAACGGACCTTGTTGAGCATGAGGACGAGCGCGGCGCTGGAGAGCAGCTTGTTCGCGCAGATGGCGGTGAACAGCTGCAGCGAGTCGTCTATCCGGTTCGTCCGCGGGTCTTCCTCCAGGTACTGCGTCGGCGTGTGAGCATGGGCGCGGTGGACGGGGGGACGCACGCGCGGGAGGAGAGCGGCGGGGGGTGCGGGGGCGGGGCGAGCAGCAGCGCGAATGGGCGCACGGACGTGCGTGCGCGGTCGGATCACGGAGGGGCGCGACATCATTCAAAGTGAGCACGGGGGCCCCGCGCGTCGAGGAGAGGAGAGCGGGTGCAGTGCACTGCCCTGCGGATGGAGGAGAGACGCACCTGGTCAAAGGCGCTAATCGGCGCGAGGAAGATGATCGCGGTCGCTGGTGAGAAACAGCGGAGTTAGCACACGTCCCGGGGCCTGCGCGCACCACACCACCGCCGTCCGGATTACGCGATTCGCGATGCGGCGGGGTCGGAGCCACCTCGTCCCATCTTTCACGACGTCCGGCCGGGGGCCAGAGAACGGACGCAGGCGCACGCGCGCGCGATCCGACTGGCTGCCCCCGCGCGCGCGCATTCCGTCGGCCTCTGGTCATCCCAGGCCACTCGCGAACCTTGTACGACAGCGCGCAGGCCCTGTGTCCGGCTCGCCGTCTGCGCGCGGCAGCGTGCATGCGAAACGGACGCCGGATCGGGCGGGGGCAGCTCCAGGCACGGACGGCGAGGCGACCGACGCCTTCGGTGCCCATGGCTGCCACCCTGCGGACCGGAGAAGCCAGGCACGGGGGGCGAGTCGCGCAGGGCGGCAGAACCAACCGGGGAAGGGAGGGACACTCACCGTCGTCGAAGAACGGGACCCACGCGTGTCGCTGTGGATGGCGACCGTCAGCATCTTCCGTGCGCGCTGACAGCGGTCCCCGTCGGGCACGGAGCCTGCGCCGCTCACCTGGCCACGCTGTGGGAGTGGGAGAAGGGAAGGGCGCGGTGTGAGCAACCTGGGGCACGGACGGAGGAACGAAGGGGCGTACCGCGCCGCCGACGTCGTACAGGTTCCAGCTGTAGTTCGTCCCGCCCAGGTTGATGTCGAACGCGTGCTCGGTCACGCCGATCGTTTGCAGGCGGACGTGGAGGATGTCCTCTGCGCGCGCACCCCGTCAGCCCGCGTTCAAGGTTCGCGCGGGCACGTAAGCGAGACGCACCGTTCGTGGGGAGATACTCGGGCTGCGCGATCCGCCTTATGTTCGCGAGGAAGCTGCGCACAGTGGAGCCAAACCGCGGTCAGCACCGCGTCGCCCATGCCCCCGAGATGCTCGCGAAACTCACAACGCCGCGTACTCCTCGAGCTTGAGCTTGTTCCCCTTGAGGAGGGCCTGCACGGCGGGGTGCCACCACAGCGCGTCGACCTCCTCCGCGCTCGCGGCGAGCGTGGTGGCGACGATGCCGGTGACCGCGGTCTGCCGGCCGCCGTGGCCGGGGAGCGCGCGGCTCGCGTAGTAGTCCTCGGCGAGCGGCCACTGGCGGTGCGCGCTGGTGAGCGCCTGCCAGCCGGAGCGGACGAAGACGCCCTGGCGGCCGCGGGCGAGGGTGACGCCCCCGGAGAGCTCCGCCGCGAGCGCGTCCTCGGAGGCGACGAGGGGGAGGAGCTTGTGGCGGAGGGCGGCGAGCTCGCGCGCGGCGGTCGCGTGGGTCGTCGCGCGGGAGTGGAGGGAGGAGGAGCCGCTGCCGGTGCCCGTGCCGGTCGAGCGGGAGTGGGAGGGGTAGAGGGGCCGGGGAGGGGGACCTGGAGGGGCGGGAGGGGGGCGGAGGGGGAGGTCGGGGAGGGGGAGCCGGAGTGGGAGGCGGCGGGGGAGGGGGAGGTCGGGGAGAGGGAGTACTCCCAGTCGAGCTCGTCGAGGATCATGCGGATCGCCTTGAGGATGTTGAAGTAGACGATCGGCCGCCAGGAGGGCCGCTCCTGCTCGAGCGTGGCGGAGGAGTAGTAGAGCTGGAACTGCTTCTGGAGCGTGGACTTGCCGGACTCGGCCTGGCCGAGGAGCAGCACTGTGCGCGGGGGGTGGGCACAGGCGTAGGCGAGGCGGGTGGGGGAGAGGAGACGGACCTTTGAGCTGCTTGCCCCGTTTCCGCCGGACGGCCTCGCGCTCGCGCTGTCCGACGAACGTCGCTCGAACGGCGGGCGCGGCGGGTGTAAAAATGTAAAACACGCACCCGGAGCTCGTCGTCAATCGTCTCGCTCACGCGCAGGGCCTCCGCCTCCTCCGCCGGACTGCGTCTCTTGCCCATGATCGCTGTCGTCCTGGCCGTGGTCTGCTGGGTGGTGGGCGCGGGGGGAGGGAAAGGAGAGGCCGTAGAAGGGAGCCAGGGACGTGAGCCCGGGAGGCAGGTCGTGACGGAGTCGGGGCAGACGGGGCGGGAGGACAGAGGCGGGGAGGAGGGGAGGGGGAGGATAAGGCCCCGGCGGGCGTCCCACGGCGGGCATTCATTGTGATGGAGAAGAAGAGGCCATCACCCGTCCTGCTCCCAGCGCGCGCCTCCTCGTATGTGGCTCCCGTGCGCCCGCTGCGCCGTCCCCTCCGCGCGAGCCAATCCGCCGCCAGGCCTTCGTCTCCGGCTGCGAGCGCGCGAGGGGCGGTCGGACGGCGAGCACCCCCGATCTGCCAGCGCACACGCACCCGGGCCCATCACGACTCCCTCGCGCCGTCGCGCGTCGCCGTCCGTCCATCGTCCCGTCACGCGTGCTTCGCGCCCTGTGATCGGCCGTCCGGCGCAAAAGGCAAACGCGCGCGTCGCGAGCGTGCTGTGCAGCTACCCATCCCCTGAGGAGCGTGCTCTGCGTCCTCCGCCGGTCTTCCATCCCTCGTCTCTTCCGACCTTCATTCCTGCAGTAGGCACGCCCCGGTTCCAGCCTGGGGCTGTGCCCAAGTTCACCCGCCAGGCCCGCGCGACCACGCGCCCTCTCCTGGGGCCTTCGCTCGCTCTTCCATCTTGATCCCGCCCGCCCGCGTTGGGCCCGCCGGGCGAGTGTGCTGGGACTTCGCGCGCAGACGTACGTACGCCCGTGGGCGCGCGGCGAGCCCTTCCTGGGGGACGCCTCCCAGCGCCCGCCACGCCCATCCACCCGCGGTGGGCTAGTACTTGGTCCCCCTGCGGGTCTCTCAGTTCCGGATGTGAGCGCGGATGGCGGACGGCGGACATCGGGCACGATGCTATCGCGATCGGCGCGTTCACGTTCGGTTGGTGCAGCAGTTCCAATACCCATTGCCCCGGATGGAGGCGCGTTCTGTCCACGCGTTCTGTTCATCGCGCGCGGGCTTCCATTGCCTGATCGACGCGTGCGGACCACGCGCTCGTCGAGATGTCCGTCGAGGGCTGTCGTCTCTTGATACTGACCCACCCGGATATGGGCAACGAGGAACATAAGTAAGTAACAGGCGGGTCGGGCCGCCGCCTAGTCACAGGCTGTCGAACAACCACAACCGCAACAATTACGCCGCCTGTCTAAGTGAGATCTATCATTCGCTGGCTACGCAGTCAAGCTCGACGTCGTGCATACCAGGGCCCAGGTCGGTGCGCATGCACTCTTCACCTCGCACGCGCCAGATCCCCCACCGAACACCCTGCAGCCTCACGCTTCCCCTTGGAGACCGTGAAGATGTCATGCAGCTCGGCATCCAGCCACCCGGTGTCGAGGAAGCCTGGGAAGGGTGACGGCGCGAATACGGGCTTCGAGCGTGATGCGCAGGAAATTAAATCACTTCCGGGTTCGCCTTCTGGCGCAGGTGGTGATGTTAGGTAGTGATGGAGCAATGACCACCGCACGGGTGTTGTGGACGTTGAGTGCGTCGTGACGCAAGTTCTGAGCCGGGTTTGTGAGGAAGGGTGCTACATGACACCCGGATCTCGGAATGCGCCCCGCTCGCCCCAAGGTATGATGCCCGAGTGTTGGTGCCACGGTGCGAACTTATTTGAGACATTCGGAGGATCCGGAGGGTCGGGCAGAAGCTGCAGTGCATCATTCATGATCAAGAAGGAGGACACGGGTTGATGCAATTGCACTCATGAGTGCTGCATAAACGGGCCACTGTACGCTAACATGATTACGGACGTCTCAGAGTAAGAACCAACACTCCCGGGGGATGGAAGAAGAACGCACCGGGGAGGGGAACAACGCACGAATTCCCAGCTGGGATCCTGTTATATAAACGTGAGTACACCACTGCTCGTACCGAGAACTGGCACAGGAAGGTGCCACTCCCACGGGGCAGAGCTTGCTGCGCAGAGCAGATGTACTGGAATGGGTTGGAAAGTTTCAGGCAGTCGATACCGCTGGTATAGTCTTCGGGAGCTCACCTTCTCGATCCGAGCGGAACTAGCACATACACAGGTTGCAATGGCGCGTGTGTAGAGCCTCGTCGTTTGAGTGTCATACGTATACGGCTACTTGGATGTTTGTGTGGACCCCTGACAGACTGACTCGAGTGTGGCCACATGAAGCACCGCTCTGCAGGAAATTGAGTACAGGTTCTACGCTTGAGCTGACTCGTTTATCGAGGCCGATACCCAGAGAGAACACAGGTTATCCGGACGAGTCACGAAGAAACGCAGGATGAGAGAGAGCTGAGGCGGTGCTGCCAGTGGCGGACGGCCAGATATGGACGGCCGCACGTGGAGCTCACGAGGGCGGCTCTTGCCGTCGCCGCCAGTACTTGACCCTTTCCTCCTGCTCATCCTTCCTTCATCTTTCTCGCTTTCTCCAGACACCCCTAACCCACTTCCACAACACAAGCACTAGAATCACTTCTCGGCACATGCGAATCGGCGTACTCCCTGCACTCGTGGTGCTCGGCGCCAGCTTGGGTAAGCCCTGTCGTCCTCCTCTTTCCCCCTCTCCTCCTAAGCGATCCTTCCCTTCCTCCCCGCACACCTCCACACAACCACCTCAGCGAATGCGAGCCCGATCCGGATCGTCGTTACAGAGGTCTCCTCGAGCGTGCGCTACGGACATGCCGTCCCCGACGCCGACGCCAACGACGCCGCCGTCGCCCGCATCGCCATAAACCAGCTCGAGGGCCCCCTCGTCGCCGTCTCCACCTCGGACACGCACCCCGCCGGCGCCCGCCACTGGTGCCAGGGAATGCGCACCAAGGCGCTGGACGCTTCCAACGCCCTCCGCCAGATCCTCGGCCTCGAGCCCATTACCGTCGCCCCGCACCACCGCATGGGGCCTATCGTCGTCCCTCTCGAGGGTGCCCCGCACCACCCCCACGGCGGCCACATGCCCCCTCCGCCTCTCGTGCCGTTCGTCGGAACTGCCGTCAGGCCCGGGCTGGTCGCCGAAGGCGGGGACCCGCGCGGCCCCATGTGGGCGCACCACCGCGGGCACAGGATGATGCGCCAGTCGTTCCTCCGCCGCGTGCACCACGCACTCATGACTCTGGGCCCCTGGGAGGGACGCGCCGTCGCCTTCGTCCTCGGTGAGTGTTCTCCCTCTGTTCCTCCCAGCACTCCACCCCCGACCATCGCTGTCTATCTTTATCCGTGCGTCTTTGTCGGGTGGTGCGCTGACTCTCCCCCTTTTGTTTTGCTCGTTTGGCCGTACCATCCACGCCCCTTTGCCCGGATCGCGGAACACACAGGCTGCGGCATCGGCGTCCTCCTCCGCATGGTCTGGGTCGTCGTCCTCCTCACCGCCCGCGCGTTCCGCGGCACCCGCGAGGACGAGACCGTCTACGACGTCGTCTTCGACGAGGCCGAGCTCCTCGTCGCGCCCCCGCAGTACACCACCATCGAGGGCTCCGAGGCCGTCCCCGTCGCCACACAGGAGAAGGAGAAGAACTAGCCGTATGTCGCGCTCTTTCAACCGCGCATACAGTCCACGGCCGAAGCACAGCAGACGGAGAGCGACGGATTGAAGCTTTGGCCGTGGCCTGGATGGGTGTTTGAGCGGACTCGACGTACGTCAAGCGTGCTTCTGGACTCTTGCGATCTTGCCTCCTCCCTTGTCCCTGTCCTTGGCATTGGCCATCTTCCCCTACGACAACATTGTCCTGACTCGTCGGACTCCTCCCCTCCCATGCCCCCTTTCCCTTTTTGTCGTGTAACGCTCGAGCGTCCTTTTCCACCCTTGCTCCCGTCCCCTTCTTGGCACACCCATCGCGCTGGCCCAGGCCCAGGTCCCAGTCGTGTGCTGCGGCAGAAACGTCGACGGCGTTTCGGCTGCGGCGCACGAGCGGCTGCTGGCTGCGCTCTTGTATCCGTACGTGTGATTTATCGAAGTTGCTGTTAATGTAAAAGAAAAAAAAAGTTGGAGTAGACTCCGCGCGCTCGAACTTGAAGCCGCCTTCTCGAGTGGTTGGTGTGTCCGGTAAACTGCTTGGTGTCGTAGTGTCACATGTGTTTATCGTTACTTTCATGCTACTAACAGCTCCCCGACTCTCAGTACCTCTCTCTCTCTTTCACGGCTTCCAAACCGCGGGTCCGGGGATGGTGTAGTTGGTGACACCCTGCACGAGACGGTGAGTGAGTGTCCACACGCTGCACGAAACCGAGCACTCACAGGCTGCGCGTAGACGTCGAGCGTCACACCGGGGTCGGACGCGGCGTACGCCCCCGGGAGCTTGACGAGGTACTTCGCTGGCGGCACCGCGGAGCCCGAGCCCTACGTCCCCCGTGTCGTCAGCGCCCCTCGCCCCTCGGCTCCAGGTCAGAGCCACTCACGGTCACGATCAGCTGCGCGCACTCGGGGTAGAACTGGGCCTGGTTCGGGGTGTGGATCGCGAGGAGCTCGTGCCGGAGCATGTACTCGCCCGGGGCGAGCGCGGCGGGGATCGTCGTCGTCCAGGAGCTGTTGGCGGCGACGAGCGCGCCCTGCGCCCACGCGCCCGTCGGGAGGTCGCCCGAGAGCAGGCCGGCGTGCTCGATCTTGAACCAGTCGAGCGCGGCGGGCGTCGCGGACGTGCACGGCCCGTCGCAGTTCGCCATGTAGACCATCACGGGCCCGATCGTGTGCGGCCAGGTGCTGCGGCGGGGGCGCGTGTGAGTGCTGGTGTTGGTGTGTTAGGGTGAGGAAGAGGACGGGCGGACGCACTTCCAGTAGGCGGTGACGGTCGCGCCGGCCTCGACCTGAGCGGAGAGCTGTCCGGAGCCGAGGGTGGCGCCCTTGGTGTTGCACGAGATGTAGGACGCGGTCGGGTCCGTGATCGGGTCGTACGTGTCCCACTCGCGCTGGATGGAGCTCTGGCCCACGGGGGTGTTGTACGCCTTGAAGCTGCGAGGGCGCGCGCGTCAGTGGGGTTGGGGGCGTGGAGGCGGGGGGACTCACCCTTTGTAGGTGACGCCGTCGATGTCGTACTCGAGGACGCCGCCGTGGGCCGTGACTTGTGCGACGCCCAAGGCGAGCGCGGTGGCAAGAGCGGCAGCGGAGATCATGGCGAAGAACCTAGGTGGGGTAGAATGGAGTGGAGTTGTGGAGGAAGCGCGAGACTAGCTACTGAACGGATGGCGGTTGCTGGGGTTCTACTTCGTCCGAGCTCCGGTGGTTATATACCGCCAAGGCGCGCACGCCCGCCCCATCCCGTGCGCATGATTTGCGCAGAGTCTTGAGCTCGGGGTGAGGGTCATGGGAAGTGGTTGCGGTCGTCATCACCGCGACGATGTTCCGCGCCGGTGCTTCCTTCGCGCAGGAGAATTGGAGGGCTATTCCTCGGCCCACTAGTGGAGCGAATTTGACCGGCGCATGTGGGTGTTCCGGCATCTTCGAGCATCTCCCGGACAACGTTGGCACTGATCCAGGTTGATGCCCGCAGAAGCGGAGGTGTCACGAGTCGGCGAGAGAAGGCGACCGGTGGACGTCATGGCCGCGGTACCAGTGGATGTGGATCCGGAATGCGATGTCTATCACGCTGAAATGCCGCAGTTCAAACGAGGAAGCGAGAAGTTCGGATGAGCGGCTTCCGCGTTGATTGTTTGGAGACCGAACTTCGCGGTATAATGCGGAGGGCAGCGTTGGTGAGAGGTTAGGTGCGCAGAGGACCAGTTGAACGCCCCTATGTTGAACAAGAACGTCGACGTCATGCATGGGGATCGGCGTAGACCATGTCCCATACGTTCCAATCCGCGAGCAGCTTGGCGAGGCTCGGGGCGACGTCTGCGGATACTAGGCGAGACTAGGGAGCACCGTCAGCGTGATCAGATTGACATATCCCGACGCGCGAGGCACTTCCCGCTCTCCGCATCATGCTTGTAGGCGAAGTATTAGTCTCGAGTAACTCCTCCGAATCTCCGCACCTGTGTCGTGCGACCGTTGCGTTGATGACGTGAAAACACACGCCGTAGGTGCTTGGGATGACCCAGTGGCCTTCTTCTTGCAAGACTCCATCGCCACTTAGCTGCCACGCGTAGACCGCCTCGACCTGTAGAAGGGTGGACTCGGAAGGTGGTGACGGCAGAAACTGTCTAGTGCTTGCTATAGTCAGGCGAGTCTGATCGAGGGGTGTGTACTTGTCGAGCTTGTCGAGAATAGACCAGTGGGCGAGCGCGATGCTGAGAGGCTGCCTGAGAGGGCCAACGAAGCGCCTATCTCTGGACCGATTCGGATCAAGCCGACCCTGGAAATGAAGTTTCGCGCTCCGATCCGCAACGCGCCGCGGAAGCGCCCACGCAACACCTTGCCTTTCAAAAATTCAACCACGGCGACTGCCAGTCCGAGTGCCAGAGAACAGGTGCGAATTGTCGAAGATGTTTTTACAAGCACAGGGTCCTGCAATATCTCAGCGCCGTATGCACAGCTACCGCCAGGATTAGCGATCGAGCCTCTGAGTAAGTTTAACCTATACATAGCTCGATCGCCCCGTGGCAGCATGAGTGGCTCGTCTAGAGTCTGCCTCTACAACGCACGCAGAGGGGGCGAAGATGGCCATGAGGATATTTGAATCCGTCGACATTCCATATGCTATGTGTGTCGCAGCTCATGGGATTTTATGGCAGTGCGGCTCCGTATGTCCTGATGAAGTAGTGATCATCGGAGCACCCACTATTGCAGGATATTGACGAAACGTCCCCCAGACGCTGCCACACTGGCCGCCGTCCTGCCACAAGCCGTCGGAATCACCCACTTTTGCAGGATATTCAGGAACCGTCCCTCCGCTGCCAGTCCCAGCGACCTCAAAGCTCCTCGGACAGTGCAGTCAATTTCCGTCACTGGCGATCCCCCTCCCTGCCTCTCCGTCGCTCTGCTCTTCCCTCCCGGTCACAAGGCTTCATACACTCTTTTTGGACCGACTCACGGCACTATGGCGAAGACTTCAGGAAGATCATTCATGACAACAACCGCCCTCTTCTGGGTCGGCCTCGCACTCATACAGCGAGTCTCATCAACTGCCGTCACCTGCTTCGACGGGTATTACATCACTGGGAGGGGCGGGTGCTCGGCCTGCCCCGCCGGCACTTACAGCGGCGCGAACGCCGCATCCTGCTCCTCGTGCCCCGCAAACACGTTCAGCGCGGGTACGGCACCGAGATGCACGGCCTGTCCCTCCGGCACGGTCAGCAACCCCGGCAGCGCTTCGTGCACACTCCAGAACACTTGCTCACCCGGCGCATACTTCGACGGCAGAGGCTGCTCGGCCTGCCCAGTCAACACCTACTCCGGCCCTGTCGCGACGTTGTGCGTGGCATGTCCCGACGAGCAAGTCAGCGGCGTAGGATCCTCGTCGTGCCACGCCTGCGCTTCCGGGACCCATTACGACTCTGGCGCCTGCGTCATCGACGCCGTCACCTGCTCCCCTGGCCAGTTCGTGAACAACAACGCATGCTACGACTGCGCAGCCAACACGCATTCGATGGACGGTTTCTCGTGCGTAGCCTGCCCCGACGCGCAAGTCAGCGACGCCGGATCCTCGTCCTGCCACGCCTGCGACTCCGGTACCCACTACGACTCGGGCTCCTGCGTCGTCGACACTCCCACCTGCACTCCCGGCCAGTACCCGCTCAACGGCGAGTGCTCGTCGTGCGCGGCCAACACCTACTCCACCGACGGTACCGAGTGCATTCCTTGCCCTAGCAGTGAGGTCAGCGACCCCGCCTCATCGGAGTGCCACGCCTGCGCGGACGGGACCCATTACGACGCGGACTCGGCCACTTGCATCGTCGACCCTCCTATATGCCCGGCGGGGACGTACCTCAACGGGGACACGTGCACGCTCTGCGCCGCCGGGTCGTACAGCGGCGACGGCGCGACCCAGTGCGAGGAGTGCCCCGCGGGCCAGTTCTCGTGGGAGGGCGCGTCCGCATGCTGCTCCTGGTGAGTCCTCTTCGAAACGCGGTGCACTGCGCGCGCGTGCTCACAAATGTGTGTTCGCAGCTGCTCCGGCTTCTACTCCGACCACCCCGGCGCGAGCACCTGCGCGCAGTGCGCCACGCCGGCGCATACTCTGTCGTCGGCGCGTCCTCCGCGTCCGCGTGCTCCTCCTACTATCTCGGCGGCCAGCTGTCCTGCCCCAGCTCCGGGCCCACTTGCCGTGCGCTCCTTACCCCTTCCTGCTCTTTGCCCACGACTGACGTCTCGTCCGCAGCCGATGTCGGCGGCGCGAACCCCTCCAGCCTCAACAGCCAGAGCACCCCCCGACGTCGGGCAGTGCAGTGTCGCTTCGGCCAGCGCAGCTGCCCCGTTTACGGTATCTCCGCGGACGGGCGCGGGTACATCCGCGGGAGCGAGTGCGTGGACGTGCGGACGGACCTGGAGAGCTGCGGCGGGTGCGTCGCGGACGACCCACCACTCGGGGCGCGCAACGCAGACGGGGGACGCGATTGCAGCGCGATCCCGCACACAGGGCGGGTGGCGTGCCGCGGGGGCGCGTGTGTTATCGGTGAGCCCCGATGCGCTGTTACTTCGACGTCAGGCTCATGTGGGGCACTTCTTGCAGAATCGTGCGCGTCCGGCTTCACGCCGTCCGAGGACGGGGAGGCGTGCATCGCCTCCAGCGCATCCGACGCGCTCCATGTGCAGCACCGAGCTGCGGGCCACCGGCGTGCCCGACGCTCCGCTGCGAGCCTTTGACCCTGCACTCCATGTGCGCTGCCTGTCTCTCCTGTTGGAGGAATATTGATGCACGGATAATTTGGAGTGGGATAACATCGGATTTAATGTACCTTCTGCTAATCGCCACCGTCGTTCATCAGTTTTGTTCAAGGAGTTCGTGGAGCCGCGAGGATTTGACTTTGTATTGCTCAATGTCCAATTGGTAGTCCGTTCGGGAACACTTCTAACACATTATAGAGGGTCCTATCAGAGGCTGATTCCAAACGCGGTGGTGTCGGACCTTGAGTTTGAGAGAGACAGTCCTCCATATCATGTGTACGCTCATGGTATTCACTCGCTTCTCGTCAGTGCCATCCGGAGCGCCTGTATGCAGTGCTCCGCAGCCATCTCCGATCAGGAACAGCACTGGCGGAGAATGAAATGTAGAGCTCCGCTCAATCTAATTCTGAGCACACCATGCGCCACTCCCGACCAGCCACTATGGGCTCACCGTCATAGCAACGGCACGGTAGTGTTTATTATCGCCACGATTTCGCGCGAAGACCCCCAAATGGCCTCAGGGACATCCGCGACACAGCTCCCCCTGAGCGCACGAAGAGTGCTCATGGTGAGATCTCCTTGGTGAGTGAACTCGTTGCCCTATGTAGGCGGACGACGTTTTCGTCTCCTTACTTCCGCTTCAAATATTGCTGCGCCAGCTTCATGTTAGGCTCAAGGACTTGCACCTGACAGCTCAAACGAGTACTACACCGTACCGGCAAATTCAAATGATCAACAGCCCCCTTTGAGCCCCCTACAAATACGATTTCGTATGCCAATGAAATCGCGATATCCAATTCATCGTGATCGTGGAGATCCGGCGGCATGTGTCTTTGCTGGGCGGTCCACGCGTGCCCAATGCACGAGATGCCTCGGGCTCTTCGGCGACGACCATAGACATAGACTTCTGGGTGTCCTAGACACCTGGCGTGCCTCAAAGCAATTTCCATCCACCAATAATGGTATACAATGAATTGCGTACTAGTCCCAATCTTCAGCAGATGCTACCCGAGTGACTGGCCGCGATACATTCCACCAGGTACTATATGTCCACACTGCTGAAAGATCTAGAAGCAGTAGACAAATACCAGGAGGGCAAATTGACGATCGCAAACGTGAACCTGCCAAACGCATTTCATGCGGTCGACAGGGAGATTGAAAATTACAACGGTGTGCGTACTTTCGTGGTGTATAAAAGGCACCCTCACTCGCTGTTGTTGTCAGAACTCAGGCCTCATCCCCCGTTTTCGCTGAACACCTCCTACACATCGTGAGATCATCCATATATTATCTTCTCTGTGGTCCGGCTCACCAACTATGCTTCACGCAGAGACTCTTGAATTTCCGCTCAGTCATGAAGTTCTATATCGTTGTCGCCCTCGCTCTCATCAACGGTCAGTAGTAGCTCAATTGTCCGGCATTTTCCGACATCCGCTGAATGATATATCCCCAGCGGCCACTGCGTCCGTTGTGCCTGTTGTTCGCGCGGGCACCGACGGGATGACCGCGGGCGTTGAAGAGCTACGCCGCGAACCTGGAACCGGACCTGACTGGCGTCGCGAACCTGGAACCGGTCCTGACTGGCGCCGCGAGCCTGGGACCGGACCCGACTGGCGTCGTGAACCTGGGACGAGTCCGGACTGGCGTCGCGAACCTGGGACGAGTCCTGACTGGCGTCGCGAGCCGGGGACCAGTCCTGACTGGCGCCGCGAACCTGGGACCGGTCCTGACTGGCGTCGCGAAGCCGCCGATGTTTAGTCCACCCAAGGATAACCGACTGCACAATGGGGGAGGTTCACTACGAACCCCGAATTAGTTACCTTTGTACGCCGGACCAACGGGGATGTGATGATGATGCGTGTATCTTGCTGTCTGTATGACTCGACCTTGATAAATCCACAACTATGGACATGTTTCGCGCGACGCGGGCTGTTACGGTGGCACGCGACCACTGTGAGTCGGGACTCGGGAGTTGGATTCACTCCACGCACCACGACTCCTGAGGCGACTCCGCCCCGTCGTGCATCGTGGCTATATATGTACCTGCCAGAAGATGAGCGGCTGTGTTTCTGAGGTGGAGGTTCCCGTGTCTGGCGGCAACCCAGCACGCCGCACTGCTCTACGGCCCGGAACGCCGTCAGCAGCCGCGATCCTCGCATCACTGAATGCAAATTCGAACAGCGCGCGCGCGCGCGCCGAAAGGGCGTAGGCTTCTCTCGCATCGAGGACAGGAGCCGAGCAAGCGCGATACAAGAACGGCGCGGGTGGCGACTGGCCGGCCTTTCAACTTTCCTTCTGCTCTTGAGCATCGCAGGATGGACAAGCGCTGGAGCGCACACGAAGCTACCCCGCTCATCGGGCAGCACACAAAACCGCGCCCCGGCGAAGGCCAAGTCTCTCCCATGAAGTGCAGTACGTACTCGCGACACATCCGCATTTTCCCGCTGACCGTCGTCGACGGTTCACAGGCTACCTTCCGCGCGCGACGAGGACGCGCGTAAAGGCGTTCGAAGGGGACCTGACGATGGAGTACATCTACGTGCGTCGACCCTCCGCCGGCTTGCTTTGCCCAGGATTGACCCATCGAGTGCTCCAGAGTGCGGACACGCACCCGTTTCCGGAGACTAGACACAGGTTGCGCGACGCCATCATGTGGGCTGGGGCGATCTTCCAGTCCCGGATGTTCACCGTCGATGGCGGCGACGCGTTGATGTACTAGTCAGTCCGCCGCGCTTTTTGCCGCCGCACGATCGCCGCAAGCTCATGTTGTGCCGATTAGCGCTCCACCTAAGCCCTTGCGCTTGGTCAAATTTGTCGGGGACGCGCTGGCGCGCTTCATGTCCCCTGAAGCGAGGAAGGTTTGTCGCGTACCCGTGCCTCCGTGCACGCGATGCTGAACGGCTGCACTCCAGAGACGCAAGGAGGTCGACGGCGTACTCCAAGAGATCGTTAAGCGGGAGTTCGGCGACCGGGTCGAGGACATGTACGAGGTGCAGGGCCTCGCCGTCACCCCGGAGAAGCAGGGGCGCGGGTACGCCACCGCGCTCATGCGCACGGTCCTTGACAAGGTGCGCTCCCTGCGCATCGCCTGCGGAGTAGATGTTTGTGACTGACACGATGCGAACAGAGCGACGCGGAAGGGAAGGACTCATGGGTGATCACTGGGCGATCGCACATGTTCTACGCGACGCTGGGCTACGCGATCGTCGGGACGGGCCAGACAGGCGGCGAGAATCCGATGTGGCCTCACGGGCCTGTCGATTGGATCGTAGTATGTTTTGCTGCCCGTAAGTGTACGAAAGACACGCTCATACCGACTCTCCAGATGCATAGACCCGCGGGCCGCGTGTCCTCTTCGTGATGTGCGCGTGTCCATCGAAGCCGTTCAATGTTGCGAAGTACGACGCGGTTTCCGAAGCGTTGACGTTGAAGCGCGTGTCGTACTACGCCCGATATACACATTGTGGCGCGAAGAACTCCGGAAATAATCAGCACGCACGGATGCGGGCATCAAATGCAGCACTCACCGTCTCCCAGGATGTACCCTCAGGGTCAATTTCCTCGCCCTCCACGACGGGCCTCGCCCGCCCACCTCCCGCCACACCTCGACCATTTCTCTCCGGTCGCCGTCGTGCCCAATCATCCACCACCGCGTCTCCCGTGTCTGGACCGAATGAAGTCCGTGCAACTCCTGCAGCGCCGCACGCCCGCCCCCGTTTTCCGCACGGCCGATCTCGTTCAGATCGAGATCGAGAGCCTCGACCGCGCCAGGTGTGAGCGCCATGTTCCCCACCTGGAGCATGCGCAACGGGGGGAGCGTGTTCACGAGCGTGATGCGCTGCTCCGTGTCGTGGAACGTGAGCGGTGCCGGATTCTCGGCGGTGTGCCCGGCCAGGGCCAGACCGGGGCGTCGTCGCCATTGAAGTCGACCGTGGCGGGGAAGCGGGTGATGTGGGCCCCCAAGGCTTCGCCTCCGCAGACGTTTGGTAGCTCCGCCCCGTGCGCCTAGACAGGAGAACGTCGTAAGCAACCGATAACCGAGGCGGAGTGGGGGATGTGCCGCGATCCTGTTGATTTTGCTCACTACGCGAAGGGGCGTCAGTATAGCCGAAATGTACTATCCGATCTCGACGGAACGAGCGACTATGACTTCTACGGCAACACTGTGGGTGAAGTCAGCAAACAGTGGTGTGCGAGATGGCCGCGATCTTACGCGACGTTGGAGCCTGTCACCGAACATCCATTGCAAATCGCTCGATGAGTATAGAAGAGAAACACATGGTTTACCGTCGCGACCGGGGGCTTAGCACCCGCAGTGGTATTGGCCGGGACAATAATGATATTCACGTTCAGACCTAAAGCATATGAGCGTCGTCGGCTGCACTCCGCGAGAGTAAGAACTCACAATCTTCGCCTACAGGCGCAGTTGTCACGAACGCGGAGATGTACTGGTCTACCGTCGCAAGCGCGTGAAGAGAGCGTTATGTAGTGTCCGGTCTTGGAAACGGATCTCGAACGCAGACGAGCGAGACGGCGTCCACAGGCGTCACCTGAGTGCCCACATCGCCCATGTACGCGCCAACGAACGGGAAGCGGGTGGACGAGCCATTGGAAGAGGCTCACTCAGCTGCAGTAAGTGGCGTCCGTATCTGTCTGCGCGTGGGTTGAAAGCAACGCTATTGAAATTCATGTAATACACGACATACAGCTGGTGGTATCGGTACCAGAGAGGAGTTGTTGGGGGACGCGCGTAATGACAAAGACAGAGCTCACATCGTACAGAGCCTCGGTGACCGTTGTCTCCTCCTCACCCTCACCCTAGTCCCTCCTCCACGCCCGCAGCAATTTGAAGCGCCGGACCTCCATCGCGGGCGGGCTCGCGAAGATCCTCTGCGACCACGGCGCCGAGAGTGCGGCCTGGACTCACCTGTCTCGGCGAAGCCCTCAGCGTTGAACTCGTGCAAGATGAGATACTTGGGAGGAACGTCGTGCTTGGGCTTGATGGCTTCGTTCGTCCCGCAGGCGGAGCCGTCATGGTAGACGTCGCGGGTGCTGCGTACCCAGCTTGGCGTCTTCGCGATGCTGCGATGTGTTCCTCGTCGTACCAGCAACTGAGGTCATCCTCGAGGTCCGGAGATACTTGGCAGGAGACGAGAGCGAGGAAGGGCCCCGGGGCGTGAGGATGCGGCCGTCGACGGTGATCCAGTGAGACCAGGAGAGGAGGGCAAGGATGCGGATGCGGAGCGGGAAGTGTTCGTTGTCGTTCCAGTCGTGGAACTCGCCCTCGGAGACGAAGCTGGGGCCCGGGTTCGGTTAGAACGAGGATGGCAGCCATTGAGGGAGCAGTGCTAGTGAGCACTGGGGCGCCCGGCGGGCGCAGAGGCGCAGCGCGCTTGTGGCTGCCCCACGGGCCAGGCTCGGGCCGGGCCCCCAGCCTGTGCTACTTCAAATCTCAGTGAAGTTTGCATTATTGACTGTAGCGTATACGTAGATGAGTCCTCTCTTTCTCTCTTTAATTATTGAGCCTCATCTCACTAAAAGTGCCCGCATCGCATGCTAAACGTCCCTTAGCAGAACGCTCGGAGGCCCTGAAAACGGGTCCAAAAGTCACACATTCCGGCGATACTACAGCAAGATACACGCATCATCATCACATCCCCGTTGGTCCGGCGTACAAAGGTAACTAATTCGGGGTTGATAGTGAATCTCCCCCCATTGTGCAGTCGGTTATCCTTGGGTGGACTAAACATTGGCGGCTTCCCGACGCCAGTCAGGACCAGTCCCAGGTTCGCGACGCCAGTCGGGTCCGGTCCCAGGCTCGCGGCGCCAGTCAGGTCCGGTTCCAGGTTCGCGACGCCAGTCGGGTCCAGTCCCAGGTTCGCGGCGTAGCCCTTCGACGCCCGCGGTCACCCCGTCGGTGCCCGCGCGAACAACAGGCACAACGGACGCAGTGGCCGCTGGGGATATATTATTCAGCGGATCTGGGAAAACGCCAGATAATTGAGCTAGTACTGACCGTTGATGAGAGCGAGGGCGACGAAGATATAGAACTTCATGACTGAGCGGAAATTCAAGAGTCTCTGCGTGAAGCGTAGTTGGTGAGCCGGACCACATAGATGATAATATATGGATGATCTCACGATGTGTAGGGGGTGTTCAGCGAAAACGGGGGATGAGGCCTGAGTTCTGACAACAACAGCGAGTGAGGGTGTCTTTTATACACCACGAAAGTACGCACACCGTTGTAATTTTCAATTCCCCTGTCGACCGCATGAAATGCGTTTGGCAGGTTCACGTTTGCGATCGTCAATTTGCCCTCCTGGTATTTGTCTACTGCTTCTAGATCTTTTAGCAGTGTGGGCATATACCTGGTGTAATGTATCCAGTCACTCGGGTAGTGGCATCTGCTGAAGATTAAAACTAGTACGCAATTCATTGTATACCATTATTGGTGGATGGAAATTGCTTTGAGGCACGCCAGGTGTCTAGGACACCCAGAAGTCTATGTCTATGGTCGTCGCCGAAGCGCCCGATCGAGGCATCTCGTGCGCGTGGACCGCCCAGCAAAGACACATGCCGCCGGATCTCCACGATCACGATGAATTGGATATCGCGATTTCATTGGCATAAGAATTAATGTATTTGTAGGGGGCTGTTAGTCATTTGAATTTGCCGATACCGTGTAGTACTGTACCATTTCGAATTATTCGACCCGGGCCTTGGTGCGTGACAGCCCAAGTACGCCAGATGCATTCGAACCGGGGGCCGGCTCGGCGTGACCGGCCTGAAATATTCGAACCGGACGGTCTTTAACGCGCAGGGTGCACCGTCATTAGAGAAAAAGTGCACTCAACTATGCCACGGGTTAGCACAAAACACGCCCAGAAGGCCGAAAATGCTCTAGACATACGAAACGAATGCGTATACCAGTAAGCGCCCAACTAGCGATTTCGAACTATGAGCTTGTGATGCGTGACTGACCCCAGATATTACAATTTACGAACTTAATGTCTGGGGCCTCAATGGAACGTCGGCATTGTTTCGCGGTTCTGCGCCAGGCTGCGATCAGTTGATGCAGCTCAGGGGTCGAGTCGGATGGCTGGAGGGCCGCGTCATGTCGCTAAGTGTTGTGTGGAAACCCAGTGGCTTCCATCAAGCGTGAGTCATGTTAGATCGGCGTATTATTAACGGTGTTCCTGGTCCTCGGTCCCGCGTAAGTATATACAGCCGGAGCGCTTTCCGCTCGCTGTCTCTCTCAACGCCCGCCCGTCCTTCCTTCACGATGCTGTCGCTGGCGGTGTATGTCTCTCTTGCCGTGGCGCTCTACGCCGCTTTGCGCTTCATGCTGCGGTTCTTGCGGCCACCCTTCGCGAATATTAATGGCCCTCCGCCGCAATCGTTCATGGCTGGTACGTCGTGTCTGATGTCGCGCTGAGATGGACTGGCAGTGACCCCGATCCATTCAAGGAAACATGAGGCAGCTCTTCCAGCCTCGCGCGTGGGACTTCCACAAACACCTCATCGACACGTACGGGCCCGTAGCACGCCTTTACGGCCTCGCTGGCGTAAGTCGGGATTTTCTTGCTCCGGAGCTGCATTTCTGAAGCATACGTCGTACGCACGCAGCGCCCATTCCTTCACGTGTGCGACTTGAAAGCGATGCACAGCGTGCTCGTCAAGGACCAGGAAATCTTCCTTCGTGGTTCGGAAACTCGCTCGTGAGTCATCACATCTTCTGTCGACATTTTGCGAGCTCACGTCGTTTGCAGAGTCGTCAATTTGATTGTTGGCCCTGGGCTCCTTCAAACTGTGGGCCCACAGCACAGGCGTCAGCGCAAGCTGCTCATCCCCGTCTTCTCGGGTGCGCACATGCGCGACCTGACGCCCATGTTCCTCGAAGTCACCGGCCGGGTGAGCTCGCTCGGCATATGGGGGAGCGGCCGACACTCAACTCCCCTCCCCAGCTCAGATCAGCTCTGGAGAGCCGCATCCGCGACGGCGCCGTTTCGTTCGATGTGAACAGCTGGCTTGCACGGACCGCGCTCGAACTCGTCGGACAGGGCGCCCTCGGGACCTCTCTTGACCCGCTCACCAGGGACAGCTCGAACGCGTGGGCGGACGCGATCAAGGGCCTCGCGTACGTTCACCGCCATATCTAACGCACATACACGCGCTGATGACCTACATTCCTGCAGCGCTGGGAGCTCCCAACTCAAGTTTTTGCGCGGGCTCGTGCCCCACCTCGTCCGCATCGGCACTCCGTCCTTCCGCCGACGCCTCGTGGAGCTTGCGCCTTTCCAGGTGCTCCAGAAGGCAAAGGACCATGTCGACACGGTACAGAAAGGGTGTCAGGACCTCCTGAACTCGAAGCGGATGGCCATCAAGAGCGGAGACGCGGAGGCGTTGAGGCTCATGGGTGAGGGCAAGGACATCTTGAGTGTGCTATGTGAGTTGCACCGCTGTCTCCAGTCGTTGCGTGCTGACTAGACGGCGTCAAGTGAAAGAGAACATGCTCGCAGCAGAGGAAGACAGACTTCCTGAGGAAGAACTGCTCGCACAGATCGGGTACGTGCAGTCTCTCGGTCCATCGTTGCGTGTGCGAGGATCTAATCTCCCGGGCACCCAGCACCTTCATCGTCGCAGGCACAGACACTACCTCAAACTCGCTCTCTCGGATTTTGCACCTGCTCAGTGAACATTCCGGGGTACAAGATAAGCTGCGAGCGGAGCTCGCCAACGCGCACGAGCAGTTCGGTAACATGATCACCTACGACGAAATCAACAAGCTCGAGTACCTCGATGCTGTCTGCCGCGAGACGCTGCGTCTGTGAGTTCTCGCCTCTCATCGTCATGATGTAACTTAGGCTCACTACTGGGTAGCCACCCACCTATCGCGTTCGCCCAAAGAGAGTGCGTCTATCGTTATTCGCGCCCCATTTTGTTCCTACGCTGACGCTAGGTGACTCTACAGAGCCGTCGAAGACGCTGTCCTCCCGCTCGGTGAGCCCATCGTCGGGAAAGACGGCCAGCAAATCACGGAGATCCCGGTCCCAAAAGGCGAATCCGTGCTCCTCAACCTCGCGGCGTGCAACAAGGCGAAGGCGCTCTGGGGCGAGGACGCGGAGGAGTGGAAGCCGGAGCGCTGGCTCAAGCCTCTGCCGCGTGCGGTCGAGAACGCGCGGATCCCAGGGATCTACTCGCACCTGATGACGTTCCTCGCCGGGGGCTACTCGTGCATGTACGTCTCGTCTCGGTCGGTGCTTCGAGCTTGAACCCGCGGGCTGACATGCGTTCACAGCGGCTTCAAGTTCTCGCAGCTCGAGATGAGTGCGTCGTTCCCTCCCGTCTTCCCGGATTCGAACTCACCGTTTCTGGCCTTTCGCAGAGGTCGTCCTGTACATGCTCCTTCCTGCGTTCGAATTCAAGTGCGGCGCGACCTCCATCTTCTGGAACTTTGGTGGCATCGCGCACCCCACCACAGGCAAGAAGGGCGACAAGCCGCAAATGTGGCTGGATATCGTCCCCGTGTCGGCGTGAGCGTGCCCGTAACGGTTGTGCTGTTTCATGTTCTGTCTTCCTCTGCTGGATCCGTTGTCTTGTATCACTAGAGCCTTCCGTCCGTCTCGCATTGCCTCCACTGTACACATACTGCAAGTAACTTACTGTCGCCCCCGCATGAATCACTCCCCACTCCGTATCGCTCTTCACCCCACTCTTGCTAATCCACACTCATACTTATTTCATGTTCCAACACTGTAATATCCGAGAAATCCTATCCATGCGCCCCTCAGGTCGTCCCGCTCCGACTTTCACTGACAGGGTGCGGAAAAGCTTTTCGAACGCCGGGTGAAGCATCTCAGAAGACACCATCCACAAATTTTGTCGCAGATGGAGGATGGAAGGATGTGGGCCGACACTACCGGCCGGACGAGGAAACGGATCAGGATTTAGGAGGAGGAAGACATGACGGGAGCATAGGCGCCAAGATGGACACCATCCGGGTACTAGATCGCGCGGCCACATGGCTCGATTGGTTGAGTGGGCTCGAGGCTGTTGCGGCCCCTTAACTGAGTCTAGTCTAGGACACCATCGCCGCGACTCTGGTATGTTACTGCTGTTCATGTATTTGGGCGCAACAAGCTTAGCTCATGCATATGATCATAACAACAGCTCGTAACATGCCATCGAGCACTACTTTTCCTGGCGAATCGCGGCTTCAAGTCCCTCCGGAGATCTCCGACAGGATTATCGACCACTTGTTCTCAGACCCAGGCTCTCTTTGCTCCTGCGCTCGTGTGTCCTCGTCCTGGCTGCCCGCTGCCAGGTATCACATCTATTACCGCGTCGAGCTCTCCCATTTCACTCTTCCCTCCTTCCACACGCTTTTCACGACCACGCCCGTGCTCGCCCAGTATGTGCAAGATACGGCCCTCCACAACTTTCCTTTCTGGACGTCACGACGCGCTATGTTGCTCTATATCATGACGCATCTTCCAAACATGCACACTCTCCGGCTCTCACACCTCATCCTTGCCCCAGACATGATCGCGAGTCTTTGGCCAGTTCTCCCGCAAAGTGTCGAGCACCTCAAGATGGACCAGGTGGACCTTCCCACTGTGGGCGATCTCATCGCACTGTTTGTACGCTTTCCTCGGCTCAAAACGTTCACGAACCTGGAAACCCTGCTACCACGGACTGCCTCCATCGAAGATACCACCCTCAGCATACCCTCTACCTTGACTGAACTTCATCTCCGGTGGTGGGTTTACCACCTCCACACGCTTGTCGACTCGATGTGCGAACAAGGCGTTCCGGCTCGCCTCCGCGCATGTTCCCTCTACCTGCTCGACGACGAGAACGTCGGTGCAGCCGCAACACTACTGAATGCAATGGGGCCCGCGCTCACCCACCTGGAGCTGCTCGTCGGCCGCGATACGTCACCAACTTGTATGTCCTATACGCTCGCTATCGACTTGCCTGTGACTGGTCGCATGCTCATGATTTCTCATAGCCCTCCTCACATGCACCCTCGCCAACTGCCCCAGTCTAACCCATGTCAGCATCTTTGCATCCCTTCTCCACACGCGCGGCTACTCGTTTTTCAGGGCACACGCCCTAAACTGGGTCCCGCTCTTCTTCGCACAGCTGGCGACTCCCAGCATCGAGACCGTTCTCTTCATGTTTGACGAGTCGCTGGTTGGAACTGGGCGCGTGGCAGCAATGGGGAGTCTCGCGAACGTAGGAGTCGCGCTCGAGCGCGATGTATTCAGGGGACTACGACAGGTGCTCGTGCGCATCCGCACCAGCAGCCCGTTGGAGCAAGGAGTTGTTGACACGGCACGCAACGATCTCAAGTCGCTGGATGAACGCGGGCTCCTGAACATCAAAGTAATAGACTGGACGGTGAGACTTACTGTAGAACTCTGAGCTACGATGTGCGACTGACGTTGAATGGCATTTCAGCAGCATCAGTTATAATCGCATCACGGGAAGCTGGATACTTGGGTCGTGCCGGCGGCTTGTCCGAGAGGGCGTCGATCTCCGTGCGTTTCGTGATCTATCCCTTATCACCCGCGACTTGCACACCTGGAACGTACACGCTTCCTTCTGGAGAGTGGCTGCGCGACATGTGACAGCTTCCATTTATTCACATCTTCCAGAGATAATAGCCCAAAGTGTCCGATGATCCATCCCTATAAACACACAAGACCACATGGATAACCGAGTACTGCCTGTACTAAGTCCGAAACAACGATACATGGAGCTCACTGCTGCGTTATCCCAGTATCAGCACAGGTACTAGCCTCATAAGCGGGAATCCAGGTACGGTCGCCCCGCGACTATTCTTCGAGGCGGGGCAAGACGCCGAGGCGGTGAAAAGAAGTCCTCGGCCATCGGAAAACCGACATGACGTGCGCGCCATGGCATTGTCTCTAGTACTAGTAGTACCCCGCACGCAAACCCCGCTCGCACTTTCTCCTCCCCCACCCTTTTCCTCCGTCCCTCGCACTCTACGCTCCGTGCTCCCTCCCGACATTGCGCGCTCAGCGGCTCATCCAGTCACTCAGCAGGCGGCGCGCTCAATCATAGGCCCTTACTAGTAGGACTCTTCGCAGATGCGGCTCCTACACACTCGCACCGGACGCTTCACCTGGATCGATGACCCCCGCCATACTTGCTACGCGATCCTCTCCCACGTCTGGGCCAAGCCAAGCGACCTCCCCTACATCCCCGAACAGACCTACCAAGACGTGCTCGCGATCCATGCCGCGCTCAGCCCCAGCGACCTCGCCCTCCCGCGTCTATCCGCGAAGATCCAGCGGTTCTGCGACACCGCGCGCGGCGATGGCTTCGACCTCGCCTGGGTCGACACCTGCTGCATCGACCAGTCGAGCAGCGCGGAGCTCTCCGAGGCGCTCAACTCCATGTTCGGCTGGTATCGCTACGCGAGCGCGTGCTACGCTTTCCTCCACGATGTCGCGGACACGGACGACGAACGCGAGCGCCGCGAGCAGTTCCGCGGCTCGCGCTGGTTCACGCGCGTGTGGACGCTGCAGGAGCTGCTCGCGCCGAGCGTCGTCATTTTCTTCTCCGCGGAGTGGAGTGTCGTCGGGTCAAAGCACACCCTCGCGTCGCTCCTGGAGAGCGTGACGGGGATCGACGGCGGGGTGCTCGCACTGGAGGTGCCGCTTGAGGAGGTGCCAGTCGCGCGGAGAATGTCATGGGCGGCGGGGCGGGAGACGACGCGGGAGGAGGACGAGGCGTACGCGCTCATGGGAATCTTCGGGGTACACATGCAAACGACGTATGGGGAGGGACGGTACGCTTTCATCCGGTTACAGGAAGAGATCCTCAAGCGCATCCCCGACCAGACCATCTTCGCATGGGGTCCTTCCCTTCTTCAACACACCTTCTCGTTCTCCGATCCCTCACTGCCGATACCAAGTACACATCCTACGCTCCGCGTTCCACACACTCCGAACCAACTCTTGCTTGCGTCTTCGGTCAGAGACTTCAGCTCGTGCGCCGGCCTTGTGCCCCTCGGGCGGGAAGATTTCGCGCACAAGTTGGGGATGTCTCCTGACTCCCTGTACCAGGTATTCACAACAACCTCGTACGGCATCAAGGCGCGTTTCCCCCTCCTCCAGATACAGACCCAAGAAGACCCCCACACCAACGTTCCCACACATATCGCGCTCCTTGCATGCGAGGACACACAAGGCCGTCTGCTTGCTCTCCTTCTTCGCCCCCACTCTCCCGAGCACGTTTCTACTTCACAGTACCATGCCGGCACCATTGTCGGCCACATACACGACCTCCTTCCCTTCAACTCCAACATCCTCTACTCCACGCCGAACTCCCATTACCGCCGCTACACGTTCATCCCGCCAGAAGACATCTCTCCCTCCCTCCTCTCCCTCCGAAGTATCTACATTCAGCATCGCCCTTCTGCTGCGACGGCGCGCAATGAGCGCGACGAGCATCTCCACGCGGGGCTGCGCGAAGCTCGCGACGCCTTCACAATTCACCTCACCGGCTGGTCGCGCAAACTCCTCTCGCTCCAAGGCTACCACGTCTCCCCCCCGGACCCCTCCACCTCAATCGCGCTGCGCGACCACAAGCTCTCGCGCACCGTCTCGCTCTCCTCTCTGGCTGGGGGCGTCGTCATATCCAGCGCGCGCCGATACGTCTCGGTGCAGGTTGGGCGCTGCTGCTGCGAGCTCGGCCGGCGTTTCGGGCTGCTGGGCGTGCTGGTGTCCGCGCGGGACGCGGCGTGCGCGCTCGACGAGCCGTTCGCGGAGGAGCCGCACCTCGCGGACAATCCGGTACACGTGCAGTCGTGGACGTTCGACTGCGGGGTCGCGTCGAAGGAAGTGATGCTCGTGTCTAGCGCGAACGAGGTGTACATGCTGAGGCTCACGTTCGCGCACGGGGAGAGCGCGGGCTCGGAAACCGCACGCATGAAGTCGTATCGTCTAGGAATCGAAATGTGGGATCCCAGTGGTCCGGGCCAGGTCGTGGACGATCAGGATCACCTTCCGACGAAGACTTCCTGGCTTCATCACACAATAGGTGAGATTCCTGCTCGACGCGCTCTCTTTGATCTAACCCTTTCCACAGAACCAGGGCCAGGTCGTTCGCGCTCCCATTCTGCTCCCTACACTGCAAGCCGCCCGATGGAGAAGAAACCGTCTCCGAAACCGAGCATGCTCATCCAGGACATCCCGCACCGCACACCGCGTCTCTCCATCGACAGCCTCGACTTCATTCCATCCCCGCCCATGAGCGCATCCTCGAGCAGGAGCGGTCTCCTTGGCGGCCAATACAACAACACGCCCCCACGCGAGTCTCCCCTGCGCGAGTTCCGTCGGGCCCCCGACCCCTCCCCGCGTTACCTCCCACTCCCCTCAAGAAAAACGACCGAGCACCGCCCACGCTCCGCCGAAGAGGCCTCCCGCGCAAGCGTGATCGCGCGCCGATCGTACCTCGCGCGGCCCTCGCAACACGACCTCCGCAAGCAGCGCTCGCTCGAGGCCTTCCGCCGCATCCGCCTCGACGCGCTCACGCCCCTCGACCGCGCGCGGACCGACGCGCCCTCTCCCCACCAACACCAAGAACCCTCGCGCCCGCCTCTGCGCGCCGCCTTCTCCCCCTCGGACCCCACCCCGTCGCCCTTCGAATGGGACGTCCCTGCGCGCCCGCCCGTGCCCATGCCGCCCATCTTCGAGCGCGTCCCACCACTCCCTGCGCTCGTCGTGCGCGCCGACCCCTCCGACCGGCGCGCGCGCGACCACAGTGCCGAGCGCGGCTCCCTCGCCACGCTCTCCCAGTCCCGCTCGCGCTCGCGTTCCGGAAGCGCAACGAGCGCGACCCGCGGGCGGTCCCGGTCCGGGAGCGGCACGAGCACGACCGCGAGCGCGGCGCGTCCACCACGCATGACCCCAGCGCGCGGCGAGCCGGTGCGGCGGGGCGCGTTCGCGATAGAGACCCCGGACATCTCGGAGTCGCCCGAGCTGCGGATGAGCCCGCCGCAGTCGAGCCTGCTGAGCAGCGTCCGGCCGTTCGGGGAGGGTCTGGTGGAGACGGGGGTGGATGGCTCAGGCCAGGGGGCGCTGTCGCTGTCGCTGCTGCAGCACTCGCTGGCCGCGGCTGTGGGGGAGACGAGGCGGCGTGAGCGGCCGTCTTCGGGCAAGGCGCGTTCATTGCTCTCACCTGAGAGCATCGGGCAAGAGGTGAACCGGGCGGCGTCACTGCGTGGGGGTATGGACGAGGGCTTGTCGGACGTTTCGGTGGCGCGGAGAGGAGAGAAGAAGAGGACTGGACTGGGGTGGTTTGGGAAGCTCGGACGGCGCAACGTGTCACCAATGGATCGCAGTTGACAACTCAGGGTCTGCGACATGGGCGGGAGTGGGAGTACTGTGCGGTCATCGGAGTGTCTACGGGGTGCTACGGAGTCTCAGAGTGATACGCAAGTATCCCAAACTGTCCTCGTCGCGCAAATCACTGGAAGATCCATATTCTGTCATGGACCCGTCGTTATTCAAGTCAGTGTCTCATTGTCAGATGGTCGCCCAGCAGTCCTGACTTTGATTACAGTATCATCTTCGAGCCCACGGGCCTCACGCTCGCGATCATCTTTCGCGACCGGATGCAGTCAAACTCCGCGCGCGATTCCAGCGCGCTTCCTGCCGCGCTGGAGTATACACTTCGCGCGGCATCCTCCGCCCCCACTGAAGAGAGAGAGAGAGAGAGAGAGAGAGGAGAGAGCGAATCCTCGTCGGCGCGCCCAAACAAGCGCCCGTCTCTCCCGCCCCCCCGGGGTACTTGCACTGTCGACGCTCCCTACTCCGTCTCGTGAACTCGGTCTCGCGCACTAGTAGAATTACTGCATGTACTGTACGCCTACTACTATAGGGCTCTGCCCTCGAGGGCGTTAAACGAGGAAGACAGAAGAAAAATAATGTCAAGCCCGTCAAGCCTGCGACTCCCTCCGCCGCCCTCACCGCGACCGCCGCGCCGAGGGTGCCTTCCGGGGTGCAGAGAGTGGCGAGCGTGCGCGTGCGGAGGACGTGTTCCAACCACGCATTCGGCCATGCTGGACGGGGTGTACGACGACGGGTTCGACGTCTTGCTGGGTACTTGGCTCGCGGGCTGGCTCCTGTGTGCGCTCGACGACGTGATGGATGTCGTCGTGCGGGATCGCGGGTGGCTCGCGGAACGGGTGCGTGTCTCGGTCTAGATCTCTTCTCTTCTCTGATCGGGATCGTAACTGACTACGAGCGCAGGCGTCCTCGTGGGCATCCTCGGCGCGTTCTCGTCCCACCTGTCTTCCCTCTCGCCCACGACCTGCGCGGCGCTCCGCGCGCACTTGCCCCGGCCGCGGATGTCAAAAAATCCGCCTCCAGAGCGCGGCGCACGACTCGAACTCAGCTTGTTGCGGTCGCGCACGTATCCCGATTCGATTACTGCACATCCATGTTGTCCGCCTTGGTTTTTCGGTGGTGGTGTGCTTGTCAAAGCGCAAGGCCTTACTCTTTCACGATGGTGTCAACATAACTTGGCCTAATTTTCCTGAGGAGTCTGCTTTCTCTGTTCCCACGCCACCGTTTGCAAAGACCGGCGTCTGTGCCTTGCTGCGAACTCCCATCGTCCTCCACTGTCCTTGGCGAAACATGAAGCCATTGACATGCGCTCTTCGTCCGACATTCCCGCGGCCCTCTATATCATGTGACAATCGAGCGCGAAGAATACTGAATTGCACTCAGCACTCGCGAAAGCTTGGCAGTGAGTGCCCGTATGATCTGCCTGCTGCCAGTCGTCATCGTCGTCTCATCGATCACGACGCCGAGCGTGAGGCCTTGAGGGACGCGCCACGTATTCTCGTACAGCCAGCTGCGCCTGCCCTTCGAATTAGTTCCTGGATGGGGACGTGCTGTGGACACGGGCCTTCTCTGATTGTGGACGATAATAATGGCGCGGGCCGTGCTTACAACATCCGTGCACAGCCTTGACGGCTCTTGGTGCATTCACTCTCACGATATCGGGGTTGTGAATCGCACCGCGGTCTTCCTCGCTTGGCACTCGCATGGTCGTCTTCCAATGTCTTTTGCGTCTTCTCTTTGAAACTGTGTTGGCGGCGCCCGTAACTTCCCTCGTAGCAACTTCTGACTTCTATCCATCTTCACAGGCTTATGCCGACTTCTCGGCTTTGCTCATCTCGCTCGTGCCGTCACGCTCAGGCTCTGCAGACCTGATCTGATGCCGTTGGCGGTTCCCAAATATCGCAGGCTGAAGTACTCCACGGTGACATCGCCAAGCCCATCCCACGAGCCCACTCTTGCTGATATCTACCCTCGAGCACGGCCCTTACCATCGACTCTTTTCCGCTGGGAATGCTGCGGTCATGTTTCTGGCTTCGACATCGCTCTTCCTTTTGCTGCTCTTCTTGTCTCTTGCACACTCTCAGGACTTATCTCAGACATTCTTTCCTTCCAGTATCCCTCTTGCCGTGCGGAGTCCTTACCTCAACGTATGGCATAACAGCACGGTCGGTGCGGGTGCTCTTTCCCAATCATGGCCTTCATTCTGGCCCATGTCGGTGCGTAAATCTCTCTTTCCTGCGTCTACGATCAGCGAGGCAAACCAGAGAAATCCCCTGGCAGAGTCAATCATTCACGGCCATGAGGTGGCGGGGTAGGATCAAAATCGACAACACTACGTTGAATATGTACGAGTGGATGGGGAACAGCGGCGATTGGGTCAAGGGCGTAGTCTCAAACATGCAGTTGACCCCCACGCGGACCATCTTCACGGTGACCACAGGGAGCATCCGGCTGAATGTCACCTTCCTCTCTCCCATCGAGGTGAGCTTCTTGATCGCTGTCGCCGGAACCCACATGTGTCTCATTGCGTGGATGGCGCATTTCAACTTGCGCAGCCCGACGATCTCGTCAAGCAGTCGATACCATTCACCTACCTCTCTGTGGACGTTATGTCGATCGACGGAACTCCGCACGATGTCCAAATCTGGAGCGACATCGTTCCCATGGGTAAGCCGACTGGCTCCTTCGACGCTCGCACGCTCATGGGTTCCGTTCAAATAGACTGGCTGACGAACACCTCCAAGACTAACGCGTACTGGATAGAGCGTGATACGACGTCCAGCAGGTACGAGAAGATGGTTCTCAGGGCTCAACAGAGTAACATGGAGGCCAACGACCATACTCTGGATGGAGTCCTCTATCATGCGACAAAGCTGGTGAGTCCCCGGTTGTGATGCCGATCGCGCTCTAGTTCGTCTAAGAACGTTGATGTACAGGATCAAACCACGTCATTCGAGATGGGCGTTTTCGAAACCGTCAGGCAGCAGTTCCAGGATAGCGGTGTTTTAAATAATGCTCAGACAAATGCTTCGGGAGCCGTCCCAGCGTGCGTACTTTCCGGTCGCCCCTCCAACGAATCGCTGAACAGAGACTGCATGCTCAGGGATGACTATGTGTTCGCATTCTCCAAAGAGATGGGCGCTGTCTCGACTGCGCCTCAGACCGTCACATGGGCTGTTGGATACGTGCGCTCTCCATCCATCCTGTATAAGACTCCTCAGGGTGTGACACAAAACCGAGTCCCCTACTTGATACCGAGCACCCTTTGTTACCGACCACATTCGATGCAGCTCAGCGGTACGTCCCCATTGAACGTACTGTGCGATTCAACGCTGATTTTGCAATTCCTCAGATTGACGTTTTCATAGCAGACTACGACAATGCGCTCAGCCGCGCAAAAGCACTGGATGACAAGATCATGGGTGCCGCAGCGCAGGTCTCGCCCCACTACGTCGATCTTGTCTCGTTGAGCGCACGGCAGGTCTTCGCATCTCTTGAAGTCACCGCCGGGACAGACGCGAGCGGGAACATTGATCCCTCCGACATCAAGATCTTCATGCGCGACACCGGCGCATCACAGTATGTCCCGGTGGTATGTCTACGCTCGTGCTCTCACTTCTGCCGAATCACAGACGTGTCAGTCCGGTCGAACGCATGTACGCAGCGATGCCAGCGATCCTATACATCAACGCGAGCTGGATGAGTTATATGCTCCAGCCCCTACTTGAGAATCAGCAGAATATATCGCAGCCATTCGCTGCACAGCACCTCGGTGAGTTGCTTGCGAAGATCGTGCGCGTTTATCGTCTGAACGCCCGCTGTAGGGAACGTTTGGCCTCGGGCTGTAGATCTTGGGGTAGAAGGAAATTTGGGAGTGGAAGGTGCGCGAAGAAGTATTCCCATGTCGTAACTTGCTTACGATGCATTGCAGAAACTGGAAATATGCTAATCATGATGTATGCGCACGCTCGGTTCACCGGGGACTCCTCACTACTTTCTGCATATGTACGTGTACACCCACGATATCCTGACTGACGGCCATCATCTCTGAAGCTTGTCTTTGGCAGTACGAACTCTCTAACGCCTGGGCGGACTACCTTGTCGCTAACGCTCTGAATACACCAAACCAGTAGGTGCTCTCGTCGCTGGCGCGGATACACATGTTGACCAACTTCTAGGCAGTCGGCTGATGGGGTGCTAGCAGATAACCAGACGAACCTCGCCATCAAGGGGATCATCGCGGTCAAGGCCTTTGCGGAGATGAGCAGGATGGTGGGAAACGACACCAATGCGCAGAAGTACGAGGCAAGTACTTTATCGGCGTCATGAGCTGTGGGAGATCACTGATATCCCGTGCAGACTTCATCGGAAAGCCTCATGAACCAATGGAGGTCGCTTTCCATTTCTGACAACGCCGAGAATTTCCTCGGGAGATACGGGGTGCAAAACTCGCAGTCGCTGTTGTACAACCTGTACGCAGACCGGCTGCTCAACACGTCTGTTGTTCCGCAGTCTGTGAGTTGTGTATGTCCCATCCGATGTGGTCAAACACATACATCAGCTTGTCAGCTTTTGGACGTCCAAGCCGAAACATATGCTCGAGTCATGCGACGCAACGGTTAGTATCTGACAGTATATTTTGGTTTGGGGGGCAACCACTGACGGCGGAAATTCAGGTGCACCGTTCGGAGCTCCGATCGATAACAGCACGCAGGATCTTACAAACGCAGGTAGGGGCATGCCGTGTGCGCAGTCTCGATATATCTGACCGGATACTACAGCATGGCTTGCATTTTGTGCCGCGACTACTACGAACTCCGCCGTCTCTGCCCAGTTGATCGACGCGATATGGCTCCGTGCGAGCTCAAACAGCTCGGTTGGAGCATTCCCCGCGATTTACGATTCAGTGGACGGATCCGCTGCGTCGAACTCGGGCGGTGCGGGGTCAGTTACCTATGCTACTGTTTATCTCGTCCGATCCTAACACATGGACTTGCTAGACCCAGTCTCGGCGCCATGTTCTCGCTGCTCGCCCTCACGTGTGTTCTATCTGCCCACCAACTCACTTTTAACCGCACTGATCACTGTACAGCGTCGGAGATGGGCCTCTCAACGCCTCCCAAACCAACAACACCGGTCCCGCCAGCGTCGGTGGCAGCCCCATCCGTTCTACCCGAATCGGCCCAATTGTCGGCGGAGCGGTTGGTGGTTTCGCGCTCCTCTGCCTCCTCGGCACAGGCCTCTGCTTCTACGCGCGACGAAGCCAGAGCGAACGCGTGAAGCACCTCTCTATGTCGAGCGCGAACGACGTCTCGGCCGTCGACCCAGGGATACTCTCCACCGTCTGGACATATAGCAACCACGGGGCCGACTCTGCGCCCTTCCTAGCAAATGTGCCCACCGGTACTGGGACGCGCACTGGCAGCGCACCCACGTCTGTCCCTCCTCTTCACTCCGTGCTCTTCCCTCCCTCCGACCCGGCCCCTTCCCCCGCCGCACCTTCGAGCGAGGGATACATCCCGTCCGCGAAGGCGCTCCGCACTGCACGCCCCTCGCCCTTCGCACACGCCCCATCCTTTCTCACAGAGGCATCCTCCGCGCCCTCTCCCTCCTCGCCCTCCGCACCCCCGTACGCAAGCGCCGATAGCGCGCACGCGTTGGCCTCGCTAGACACCGTGCGCGAGGCGAGCGAGTCCGGCCTTGGGTCGCTCTCGATGAGCGAGGTCGTCGACCTGCGCGCCGAAGTCGTCAACCTTCGGCGGGTGATGGAGGAGCTTCGGACGGACCACGACGGGCCTCCGCCGGTGTACCCGGGGGCGTGTGCGGTGCCGCCGAGGGGGGTGGTGGAGGTGGATGACAAGGGGAGGCTGAGATGATCGTTCGGTTTTTTCGATCGTTCTTTCTTTGTATCATGGGATTCTAGGATGGCTCCCTTTTGTATTTTAGTTCGTATTTTCCAACACAATCTATATCGTAGGTCTCAAGTTTGGCTGGTCGACGCGCGTACTTGTCCTCCTGACGCCTGGATTCTTTGAATTTCAGGAGGGACTGCAAGCCGCGATTAGCCAGGAAAAGTAGTGCTCGATAGCATGATACGAGCTGTTGTCATGAGCCCAGTTTTTCGTGCATAGGAAACTGGAACATACCAGAGTCGCGGAGATGGTGTCCTGGATTGGACTCGGTTTGAAGCTGAAGCTTGAAGGGCCAGCAGCAGCGAGCGCTAGCCAGAGTCGACTGTCCATCTTGGCGCCTATGTCCCTGTCACGATCCGTTTCCTCGTCCGCACATCCTTCGCTTCCATCCTCCATCTACGACAACAGTCGAGGACGACGTCTTCTGAGATGCTTCGCCTCGCGTTTGAAGAGCCATACCCAACTTTCCCGTACTCTGTCATTGAAAGCCGGAGCGGGACGACCTGAGGGGCGCATGGATAGGATTTCGAGGGTCTGCAACATGGGCGGGAGTGGGATTGTGCGGTCGTCGAAGCGTCTACGGCTCATCCGGTGCGTTCCTCATCCTCGGGTCGTGATGATGTGACTCATATCGTAAGACTCGTTTTTCTCGATCCCTCAAGGCACTCTATGGCAGGGTCGTCAACGTATCCGATTCGGTGAGCCCTCCATCTCTCTCTCTTTCTGAGCCACCCTCCTTGTCGCGTTTCGAGTCTCTTCCGATGTACTTTGGCTCTTCGAAACGTCAATGAAGGACATGCTCTGTCGCCTTATCGGCGTACAGCATAGCAGTACATGATGCATGAGGCCTGCCACAAACTGCCATGAAGTGACATGTTATCGCCCGCCATTGTAAGGTTCATTCACATTATCTCGTAAACCCACCCAATCCGTATGCCACGTTGATGTGCAGCGATCTCATGACTGAGCGTTATTGGAGGCTATATTAACAAGGTAATATTGCAGCTCATGGGCTCACTACCCCCGCATCTGAGCCGTCCTCCCATTACTTCCGCCTGGTCACTTCGCATCCCCGTTTCCCGCCTACACCCCGTCTGCACTAACGCAAGATCAAAGACATCGCGGCTCACCCCTAGTAAGTGGTTGATTGCGGACCAGGTACACAAGCACTGACGTCGACGCAGTGCCACCACTACGTCTAATAGACACGCAAACCGGCCGGTTTGCGATCTTTAAAGATCCCTCCAAAGCAGACTATATTGCCCTCTCTCATGTGACGGCGAAGCCAAGCAACAATGAACACATGGAACGCGAGGTCTTACGAGAGCGGACCTACCAAGATCTCATCGCGCTACAAGCATCACTCCACGACGGAGACAGCCTCCTCGAGTCGCTTCCCCACACAGACAAACTTCGAAATGCCTGCCGAGTCTCCCTCCAGATGGGCTACAAGTACATCTGGATCGACACCTGCTGCGTCGACCAAAGTGACGCCGCCGCATTCGCCGCAGCAAACAGCGCTACCTACTCGTGGTACCGCCAGTCCAGCGCCTGCCTCGTCTTCCTCCACGACGTCGACCCCCGCGGTCCCTCCGACACCGACGCCTACTCCCTCATACCCCGGCTCCTGCAGAGCGAATGGTTCCGTCGCGGCTGGACGCTCCAGGAGCTCCTCGCCCCCAACCACGTCCTCTTCATCGCCCACGACTGGTCCCTCCTCGGCACGAAGGCAACCCTCGCACACACGATGCACGCCGCGACGGGTATCGACCCCGCGGTGCTCACGCGCACCCGCGCGCTCGCGGACGTGTCCGTCGCGGAACGCCTCTCGTGGGCCGCCGCGCGGCGCACGCTTATCGCTGAAGACGAGGCGTATTGCCTCGCAGGCATCTTCGATGTGCGCGTAGAGCCAGCGTACGGGGAGGGGGGCGCGCGGGCGTTCTCGCGGGTGCAGCGCGCGATCTATGAGCGCACCCAGGACCAGAGCATCTTCGCGTGGGGCGCGCGAGTGCAGGACGGGGTGTCGCTCGGGGGCGGTTCTGGCCTGCGCTGGGGCGGTGCGGGGATGGGCGGCGTGCCGGCGCTGCTGCCCGCGCCGTCCCCGCGTCTGTTTGCCTCTTGCGCCGATATCAAGGCGCTCTCTGCGGATGCTCTTGCGCGGAAGCTTGGAGGAAGGTCGGCGCTCCCAGACTTCGAGGTTACGCCCTATGGTCTGCGCGCGCGGCTTCCTCTGGTCGAGGGCTCCGACGATAGTGGCGTCTCCTACCATCTCACCTTCCTTGCTTGCGAAGACCGTGAAGGAAGATACATCGCCCTCCTCTTGAGTCACTGCGAGGCTTCTACGCTTACCCCGACGAATTTCATGGAGTCCCCGACGACATCTCGCACCAATACGACGCATGCGGCCCACCGTTTGTCCCACCCTCCCATTTTTCGCACCGCATCACTCTCCCATCCCTCCTCGCGCGCTTCCACCTCAAGTTTCCTATTGCGAACCTTCCCAACGTTGTCGAAACAAGCCTTCAAGATAAAGGCCAGTGGACAGGCCATCAGCAATTCTCCATACGGCACCATCGCGATCTCGCTGAACGCCGCTGAACTCCCCTCATCGACGCCTCTGCACACCTTCGCCTCCGCGCTGTCTCGCGTACTCGCCCCGAAACTATCCCCGGATCCCGAGCCACTGGACGCAAACTCAAGCCGAGCCTCCGACGTGGAGGAGAGCATTTATCAAGCGTCGACAGCGACTCTCGGAGAACGTTCATCGGCTTCACCGGCCCGCGCTGCCAGTGCGCAACTGCCTCACCTTGAGGGCTCGGCAAGTGTCGAAGACGTGGAGCATAGCGATCGAGGTGCATGTGCAACTGCCTCTCGTTCTTTTCCCCGAAGCGAGGGTCCAGCGTACGCCGTTGGCACGTTTTACGAGTCGACAAACGTATGGCGCAGCATGTGCTCTGATGACAGTCACAGCTCTTACCATACTGCTCGGCCAGCGGACTCTTCGGAGAGCTGAATCGTCGATGGGTACATCAGGAAAGCCTCGTCCATACATTCGCTATTTATGTCACCGTGTCGTTCACGTATATTTCGACGATGGATGCGATTCCCATGCCTGAAGCCGCAAAGCCGCAAAGCCGATCACCGTGCCGGCGCGAAGGATCCACCTCAACGTCCGATGCGCACTTCCGGCACCCAGCCCGGGAACCTCCGCCTCATCCACGGGTCCGGATGGGGACTGCGCCCCAGCAGCCGTCCACTTCGAGGGTGGGTCAGACCCGTCATGAGAAGCAGAAGTTGAGAAGTTCGCCTGAGCCTACCCAGCCCTATATAGGCCGCAGCCTGAGGCCGTAGCACAAACAACATCCCTCCCACCTTTCTTGCCATGCTTCCACTGACAGTATACGTTCCTCTCGCTGTTGTGCTGTACGCCGGCTTGCGTCTCATGTTGCGCGTCCTTCGCCCGCCTTTCGCCAACCTCCCTGGGCCATCGGCCCAGTCCTTCTTCGCGGGTAAATTCAATTGTATACGGAATGTACTCGAGAGTGTTCTTTCTTACACTCCTTGTTACAGGAAACTTGATTCAACTCTTCGAGCCGAACGCTTGGGGCTTCCACAAACATCTCATCGAGACTTACGGTCCCGTAGCCCGTCTCTCCGGTTTGGCTGGTGTGAGCTCAGATCCATCTACTCAGATTATCGCGTGTTCACCTTTTACGACCAGCGTCCTGTCTTGCACGTCTGCGACCCAAAGGCACTGCAAAGTATCCTTGTCAAGGACTCGGAGAAGTTCCTCAGGAGCCCAGAGAGTCGCGCGTGGGTCCCTGTCTCCGTCCGCACCCCTCTTGCTCCACTTCACTCACTCACCTCTAGCACCGCATCTGTGGTGGTTGGTCCGGGTCTCTTTCAAACTTCGGGCGATCGTCACAAGCGGCAGCGCAAGATGCTCATGCCCGTGTTCTCGGGAGCCCACATGCGCGACTTGACGCCTATGTTCATCGAGGTGACTGACAGGGTGAGCCTTTCGCCTGTGGAAGGTCACGCAAACTACCCGCTGATTTTTGATACGCATGTAGCTCAAGCTCGCTATTGAGACTCGCATTCGTGATGGGACCATGTCATTTGATGTTAATAGTTGGCTTGCGCGTACCGCTCTGGAGCTCGTCGGACAAGGTGGCTTGGGTACATCTCTTGACCCGCTGACAAAGGATACCTCCACTCCCTGGACGGATGCAGTGAAAGGTCTCAGGTATGCCCCCGGTGCTGGTCGGCCGACTCGTTCGACTGATTTCTTCATAAAAGTACGGCAGGCTCCAAAATGAGACATCTCCGTGGGCTTCTTCCGTATATCCTGCCCTTGGGACCGGCGTGGCTTCGAGGTTATCTCGTCGACTTCGTCCCGCTGAAGGCGCTCCACGACGCCAAGGCGCATATTTACGCCGTTCACGGCGGATGCGTAGACTTGTTGGATTCAAAGCGGGCAGCACTCCAGAGAGGTGACGAGGAGACGGTGAGGCTCATGGGCGAAGGAAAGGATGTTATGAGTCTGCTGCGTCAGTGTTTCCATTTTTTGCACTTCGCAGCTTCACTGACCTAGTACTTCATAGTGAAGGCGAACATGCTCGCTTCCGAGGAAGACAGACTCCCGGAAGACGAACTGCTTGCACAGATGGGGTACGTTCCGCCGTTTCGACCGCGTCTACGCCTATTCCTGACCCGATCATGGTCTGGCACTACATCAGCACGTTCATCATCGCGGGGAGCGACACGACCTCGAATGCGCTCTCGCGCACTCTGCAGCTCCTTAGCGACCATCCAGATGTGCAGGACAAGTTGCGCGTGGAGCTGCGCCAGGCGTACGAGATGTTCGGCACCGGGATCTCATACGACGAAATCAACAAACTCGACTACTTGGACGCTGTCTGCCGCGAGACCTTACGCCTGTAAGTCCCCACAATTCTACTCGTCTTCAAACTGGCGTGACTGATCCACAGTGGACAGCCACCCTCCTGTTGCGTTCGCCTCCAGAGAGTATGTTCCCGTGCTGCAACCTCGATCGTGTGCTGATTCCTTATTTCGCGTTCTAGGTCCGTTTCGGATGCCGTCATCCCGCTTTCTGAGCCCGTCCGCGGCAAAGACGGGAGTTCCATCACGGAAATACCGGTCCCGAAGGGCACCTCTCTCTTCCTCAACCTCGCAGCGTGCAACGAGGCGAAGGCGCTCTGGGGTGAGGACGCGGAGGAGTGGAAGCCGGAGCGCTGGCTCAAGCCCTTGCCGCGTGCGGTTGAGGAAGCGCGTATTCCGGGGATCTACTCCAATCTGTGAGTAGCGGCTTTGAAAAACGTCAGGGCGGCATGGTGGCTGATGGACTGCGCTTTAGGATGACGTTCCTCGCTGGGAGCTACTCCTGCATGTGCGTGCTCTTGCACTTTCTTTCGCCTCCTCGGGGCCCCTAGCTAACCGGCCCCTCGCATTGGCACGTCATAGTGGTTTCAAGTTCTCGCAGCTTGAAATGAGTGCGTGTAGGCCGTGCTTACCGTCTTGGTACTGATGGATGTTGATTTCTTCAGAGGTCGTCCTCTACCTTCTCGTCTCGGCGTTCACCTTCAAGCGCGGCGAGACCCCGATCTTCTGGAGCTTCGCCGGAATCGCATATCCCACCACAGGCAAGAAGGGCGATAAGCCGCAGCTGTGGCTCGACATCTCCTTGGCCCCATCATGAAGACACAATTCGTCATGTTGCTCAATGGAATTGGGTTTGAACTGCCATGCCAGAGACCTCATACGCTTCGGTCCTTATGCTTTGCAGACAGTCCCGTTGCTCTCTTTCTTGATTGATTCTCCCTTATGTATTTTCTTTCCGACTCCCGTAAACGTCGTAGTTGAATAAATGTTGCACCGTGTCAAATGGGTATTTGATGACTGGAGGTCTCGTCGAATACATGACTCCAAAACTCCACTATAGCAGCATTCGCCGAACAGGCGTATCCTCCGCGAGCCGCTCCAACGCCCGCAGGAGCTCAGCGTCCTCCGCCGACACAAGACTCGCCCCGACCTTCCCCACGAGCGGCAGCTCGTCCGGCTCGCACGTCGCCCCCTTCCCCGGCAGCGTCCCGTTCTCAAAGTACGCGCGCACGACCTTGGCCTTGCACACGCTCGGGCTCGACACCGAGCAGTGCCCGTGCCCCTCCTGCACGAGCAGCCGAGAGCCGCCGAACCGCGCGTTCACCCGGCGCGCCTGCGACAGCGGCGTCACCGGGTCGTACCGCGTCGAGAGCAGGAGGAGCGGGTGCGAGGTCTCGCCGACCGCGATCGGGCCCGTGAGCCGCCACTGGGGGCGCACGCGCCACTCGGCGCAGGAGAGCCACGAGGTGGCCCAGACGGGCCAGTGCATGTCCCTACTTCAGCCGGGTAAGTCGGCTGACCGGATCCCAAAATACCCCAAAGGTACCGTCCGGCCGGGCCCGATCAGGTCCGGCCAGGTACCTCGGCGGAGTCGCCCGATCAGGTCGCCTCGGGTAGTCTGGAGGAGTCGTCCGATCAGACCGGGGTGCGGGCGGGGAATAACATGAGGGAGGCTTGAGCCAACGTCCTGTGAGTAGCATAGAAATATGACATCTGATGCCTTGAATGCATGGAAGAAAAGGCGGGTGTGTAAATGGAGCTCAGATAGATTTGTGAGTGTTTGTGTTGCAATCAGGTAGTGCGGGGGACTCAGGTAGCCGGATCCGAGTGGGATTGACGGCCACGCACTGGATCACCCATGGCGCCGCGCGGTGCTCACGCATGGCATCCACAAACTGAGGAAACCACTCCATGCTCGTTTCGGAGGCACGTGGCGGTATTTTGGCGCTTGAAAAGAGCTCGCGCGGAGGCTTTTGGGTCGCGCGGGGGACTCGGGCAGCCGGATCCGGCCCAGATCTCCCTGGGCACTGGCTGACCTGCAGGGCCTCACTTTCCTTGCGTATTGTACAGGCTCACCAAGTGTGTTGAAGCGCGCCCAGTTTAAATGCATGCGGCGGCATTGTTGCTCTTCAAAACAGCTCGCGCGGAGCCAGGTGGTGCGCGGAGCCAGGTGGTGCGCGGAACCGGGGCAGCCAGGTCCATCCCGCTGCGCTCCGTTTTCCTCACAAACAGCATCCACATTCGAGAGTCTATGTTGTGTCTATTTTCAAGGTTTCTTATGCCTCATGCGTTCAGCAGCGAGTGCGTACCAAGCTGAGAGCGAGAGCACAGCAGGTGTCGCTGTCGTGGTCGGCATCGCTGTCGCTGTCGCGGGCGCTTAATCGGCGTCGCTGTCGCTGTCGTGGTCGGCGTTGGCGTCGCTGTCGCTGTCGGCATCGCGGTCGCTGTCGGCTTTGCGGTCGCGGTCGCTGTCGGCTTTGCGGTCGCGGTCGCTGTCGGCTTTGCGGTCGTGGTCGCTGTCGGCTTTGCGGTCGTGGTCGCTGTCGGCACCGCTCTCACAGGCGTCTATCCGCATTTCAGCCTGTACCACCGGAGTGAGTATCTACCCTCCAAAGCATTGAATTACTTCAGCGTCATCTGCATCGGATACCTGCATGTATGGGCTGTTGTTATGCAAATTTGGAAGGTATTTACTGCAAGATTGAGGGGATGATGTCACATGACATTTTCGAATGAGATACCACATACTGACATGAGATGTGAGTGCATCACATGCTGGACACCTAGATATATTCAAGGAGGATCTTATGATTGCAACGCAGAAAACAGCACAAATAAATACGGACTTTTGGTGATGGTACTGTGTATGTTTCAAAATTGGAAGTTCTCAGAAGACATGATATGCATAACTTCTCATGCAGATGTGATATTGGCGATCTGTTTGCTTCTTCGTAAACCAATACTTATTGAGTGCTTATATCGGAATTTTCATGCCTATCGGTGACGAAATGCACATGGGGCGTCATTTGTCATTATTTCATGACATACAATATACCGACATATCATGGACTTCAATGGACATGGTAGCATAAGGAACAGGATCGGATGTGCAGCAGCTCGACGATGCAAAAAGAATCTCAAAAAACGGTCAAGAACCGGTGGAGATGTGCACTGGGAGCCCGAAGTGTGCTCTGTGTTGAATGCACTCCGAACTCGCCTTCTGCTGAAACCACACTTCGGGCTCCCAGTGCACATCTCCACCGGTTCTTGACCGTTTTTTGAGATTCTTTTTGCATCGTTGAGCTTCTGCTCATCCGATCCTGTTCCATGTGTTATTATGTCGATTGGAGCTCATGCTATGTCGGTATATCGTATGTCATGAAATAATGACAAACGACCACCCTTATGCATTTCGTCACCGATATGCATGAAAATTCCGATATAAGCACTATACTAGTATCGTCTTATGATGAAACTGACAGATTTCCAGTTTTTTGTCTCCACAAGAAGTTATGCATGTCATGTCTTCTGAGAACTTCCACTTTCCAAACATACACAATACCATCGCCAAAAGTGCGTATTTCTTTCTGCTGTTTGTTGCGTTGTGATCAAACAATCTTCCATGAATATATGTAGGTGTCCAGCATGCGATAGACTCACATCTCATGTCAGTATGTGATATCTCATTCTAAAATGTCATATGACATCATCCCCTCAATCTTGCAGCAACTACCTTATAAATTTGCATAACAACAGCACATACATGGTGGTATCTGATGCAGAATACAGCTAATCCATTCAACACTTTGGAGGGTGGATACTCACTTCAGTGGTACAGGCCTGAACTCTGGATAGACGCCTGTGAGAGCGATGCCGACTGCGACCGCGATTGCGACAGCGACAGCGACCCCGACAGCGATGCCGAGGCCGACAGCGATGCCGATGCCGATAGCGACAGCGACCCCGACAGCGACAGCGACAGCGATCAAGCGCCCGTGAGAGCGACAGCGATGCCGACAGCGAGAGCGATGCCCGCGATCTCGCTCTCAGCCCGCTGTGGGTGCATCCTCGAAGAGCCACACTTCCCCCTACAGCTGAGTTGGAGCACCGGGTGAACTGATCTAATGCATGTGAAAACTGGGGCATGGAGCAGGGGACTCCATTCTGAGCCAGATGTTACATTGCCTGAGTCCCCTAAGCGACCTGACCACTGCACGAGCTCTTTTGAAGAGCCACAACACGACGTACACATATGGAGTGGGTGCGGAACAGTGCACCTTGCCAGCCCCCACAACACACGAGAAAAGCGGGGCCCCACGGATCGGGCAGTGCCCAGGGACGTTCTGAGTTGGATCCGGCTGGCTGAGTCCCTCGCGCTACTTACCTAGCCCCCTGCACGAGCTCTTTTCGATCGCCCCAACACCGCCGCATGCCTCCGAGACATGCAAGGGGTATCTTTCTTGGTTTGTGGATGCCATGTATGAGCCCTGCGCACCGCAGCATGGGCCGTTATTCTCACCTGCCGGATCCGGCTGCCCGAGTCCCCTGCACTACCTGATCTCAAGACAAATGTCCGGAAATTCCCCTAGGCTCAATGCACACACGCACCATTTCTTCTACGCATTCAAGGCATCGTATATTATAATTCTATGCTACGTACAGGGCGTTGCTGAAGCCCTCCTCTTCTTATTCCCCACCCGCACCCCGGTCTGATCGGACGGCTCCTCCGGACTACCCGAGGCGACCTGATCGGGCGACTCCGCCGGGGTACCTGGCCGGACCTGATCGGGCCCGGCCGGACGGTACCTTCGGGGTATTTTGGGATCCGGTCAGCCGACTTACCCGGCTTACTCTAGGGCCCTCAAGTGGACGGGCGCGAGGAGCGGGGAGACGGACTCGAGCTCGGCGTAGAAGGAGGCGTAGAGGGAGGGGTCGAACTTGTACGCGTCGCTGTCGGCGCACTCGACAGCCCATTGGACTTCGTTGCTGCCGACCATGGGGAGTGTGGCGGCGGAGCAGGAGCAGGTGGTTGGATCCGCGATGTGTGGGGCGAGGGCGGTGAGCGCGGTGGTGTTGTGTGATTCGAGGGCGGCGAAGACTTGGGTGATGAGGGGGAAGGTGTTGACGGGCTTATACGCGGCGCGGAAAAGGCTCTCGAGGATGACCTTGCGCGTGATGATCAGTGGGGGATCGGCGAGGGGAATGGGGAAGGGAGATGCTGAGATGCTCTTGAGAGTGTTAAAAAACCTCGCGGCGATACGGTCAGGGGTGGAGTCATAGATCGGGCACTTGAGGGGGCCGGCATCGTGGCAATAGGTGAAGAGAGATTCCACGATTGCCTCCACGTCAACGACGTCGGTCTCATAGCTAGAGCGGCGGTAGCTGTGTCCATCAACGACCCCGTCGATAGCGAGACGTTTGATCTTGTCTGGGTACAAAGTCGCGAACCACTGTCCGAGGATTGTGCCGTAGCTCTGACAACACGATTTAGCGAAGAAAGCAAGTCATTTGGTTTGGAACTACCTACAAATCCCCAGTACTGCAGCTTCTCCTGACCAAGCTTCTGTGTCATCTCGAGCATGTCTCGAGCGACGTATGGAGTGCTGACGAATCGAGCCAGGCCATGTTCACCTCCCAGCTTGTTCTCGCATCGCTCGCCAAGGAGCTGCGCACGAGCACGGTAGAGGAGCGTTCCGGTACTGTTCGCGGTACCAATGAGTGCATGGCCTTCTTGAGTCTCCCATATGTCCCGCTGGGACTTGCTGTCGAAGCAGTCGATCCGAGGCACCGTGAAACCGATTCCGCGAGGGTCGAAGGAGAGGATGTCGTACGAGGGGCCAAGAATGGTAGACATGTCTTTGCCACGGCGTTGTATGTAGTTGGTGCCGGAGCCACCGGGACCGCCTGGGTTTAGGAAGACGGTGCCTCGGTAGTTCTCCCTGTCGGTGGCCGGGATCATGCGGATGGCGATAGCAGTCGTGGGACCGTTGGGACGATCGTAGTCGAGAGGGAGCAGAAGGCGGGCGCACTTCTGGTCTTCATAGCAGTCGACCCACCTGACGTCCCTGCTTGGCTCAACCTATGAAATATAATGTCAGCGCACCGTACTTTGAAAGAAAACAGGCACACCGCACCGCGAACCAATCGAACTCAGCACCCGGAGCACGCGTACTGGCATTACGGAGAGAATCAGGGTACACCGCCGTGGGTTTTATGACCATCTGAATCGTGGCAAAAGCCACGGTCGCCAAGAGGGTGGTGTAAAGGCTTCGAAGACCCAGCACCGCGCGTTTGTTGCCCGGCGTACTGGCAAGAGGGACTGTCGCAGTGACCGGCAGGCCAAGGCCCGCGTCAGACTTCAGAGGTTGCATTTGTGCGCCCAGACTACCTAAAATGCTGTATCATTAGCATTCAACCCGGATGCCCGTAGAACCACGTACTGAGAAAGTGGGGGTCGATAGCAAAAGCGACCAAGTGCCGAGAGGCGTCACCAGTTGCTTATCATATAAACGCAGTCATTCCCACGATCGTCCTCATGCTTACTTACCAGCTCTTATCTGGGACTAAGAGTAGGCGTTCCGGGAAGAACGGAGCTGGCAGCATCATCTTCACCCTTGTCTTGACCTGAAACCAGCACCAGCACCTCTTCCTCCTCCTCGCCCTCATCTCTTTTACTGTCCTCGCTCCTCCGACCACAGCCGCCGCATCTGAATCGTGCCACCAAACTGCCTCTCATGTCTACATAAAGCCATCACACCACTTCTCTACACTCGTGCTCCTCAACAGGATGGTCGTCTCCGACAGACATCTCATATGGCACCCGCGCGGACAAAACAAGTTTATTGTCGGTGGAAGCACACAAATCACTCTCTACGAATGGTTTCCAGAGTCGTCAGAGATCAAGCAGGTTGCATCGCAGCTCGAGCTCAACCAGATGAAGGTGCGCGGCTTTCGTTCTTGTCCTTCATGCGTACCCACCTCGCCCCTTCGCTCGCTAGTGCTTTTCGTGGTCTCCAGACACCGTCTTTGATGACCTCATTGCCGTCGGGTTCAGCAACGGCCGCGTCGACCTCCTCCGCTTCGAAGCCTCACGCCGAGCCCACACCAGCGCAGCCGTTTCCCTTCCCCCACGCAACACGCGCGCGTGCAACGCCCTCGCCTTCTCCCCCTCGAACCCCAACTACCTCGCCGTCGGTCTCGACAAGGTGCGCAACGACCCCAGTCTCGTCATCTGGGACATCAACTCCGCCCTTCCCGCCCTCTCCCTCGATCCGTCCTCCAACGAGGACCGCGACGGCAAAGTTCTCCCCACCCTTCCTCGTGGCGATGCCGCACCACGTACCAGCGCAGAGTCGCGCGTCGTCCAACAGCATGCACCTGCGGAGGTTGTGTCCACCCTCGCCTGGGTCCCCAACAACCCCCAGCTACTGCTCGCCGGCATCTCCCACCGCTGGCTGCAGCTCTTCGACCTGCGCACCGTGGTCGCGTCATCCCTCAAGGCGGCTAGTAAGGTGCATGGTATCGCCACGGACCCATTCGACCCGCACCGCGTCGCATGCTACAGCGAAGGAACTGTCGCGATCTGGGACATCCGGCGGTTCACACAGCCCGTCCTCACCTTCACGGCCAAAGACGCGTCGGCGGACGGAGGAGACGCGCCCGCCGCGGTGTCGGCCTCTGGTCGCGGCAAGAATACGTCGCACGCAGCTGCCACGATTCCCTTCGCCCACGTCGAGTTCTCGTCCTCGCGAAGAGACACCCTGGCCACGCTCGAGCGCGACGCAAGCTACGTCAGGTTCTGGGATGTGCGGCAGGCGCAGTTCGTGGAAGCGACCCCGGAGAGCGGGAGGTCAAGGGAGTCGTCGCAGTCGGGAGGGAAGACGGTGAGGACATCGTGGGTCAAGCCGTGGGCAGGCGCGAGTTCCGGTACGAGTCAGCCATCTCCACCTCCCGCGACGAACCTCGGCGACCCCCCACCATACCATCTCATCCTTGCGGACACGCGACGGACGAAGACGTTCGCCCGCCCGTTCACCTCGTTTGCCCTCCTACCTGCGGCCACTTCTTGCCCCCTTACTTCCGACGTCATCCTTGTCAACAAAGATGGAGACCTCGAACTGTACGCCGTCCACGACACGCCTGTGCATCCGCCATGGAGTGCAAGAGGTGATCTGGCTCTGGGCATCGGAACATCTTATACAGTCGTCTCTGGGATCACCGACCTCTCTCCTCCTCGAGAACCATGGGAACTTCTTGCTGCACGACAGTCGCAACCAAGCTCTCGCGCGTATTCGATGGAGCGACCAGAGTTTGGCGACGGCGTGTCGGTCGCGTCGCGGAACCAGTTCGACTCCCCGACGCCTTCAGTTCCTCCAGCAACGTTTGGGCGGGGAGATGAAGACGGGTTCCCGCGCTTAGCCCGGCGCCCACCTCTACTGTGGACGAATCAAGATCACCTCAGCGACATCGAAGTGTTGATCGGAAGAGATCCGCGATGAAGGATTTCACGTTCGAGCATTCCGCAGTGGCTAAGGGCGCGATTCGGAAGAAGTCGAGAGGCGGGCACGAGAGCAGGCGCAGGACATGCACCACATCCGACGCCGAGGACGATAACATTTCCACTGGACGGCGAAGACGGGCACCGCCGACATCGAACGTCACCAGCCGTCATGGCGCTACAACATGTACTCGAGTCCGACATCTCGATGTTGATGCGTCGACGCGCAATGCTCGCGTATGGCCTCACTGATGTACGCCCTCCTGTAGCACTTCCTCTGCCAAAAGTAACCGTATTTTTGCAGCCGCTATACAACTCATCTGTCGCCCGCGCAGTCACTCCAGAGGATCATACTCTGTCAGAGATGTGGTTATGGATCCATCGTAAGTACGCATAGGGATGACGGACTAGCTGTCTCTCACGCGTCACAGATTCTCAACGCCTGCTCTCATCTCCATCATCCGTCGTGGAGGGCTACAACTTTTCCTACCAGGGTCTCTCGGGTATTTGGGAAGGTTTCAAGCCCGTCCGGCCCGCCCCACCGTCGGGGCAACCAACCCCACGCATGGTCGCTCGAAAGGCACTGCACGACCCGACATCTCTCCTCTCCTCGCGCCGCTTAATCTCGACGTGCCCATAAGATCATCGTCGAGACATACCGGACGCAAGAGGAACCAGCAGCCACGTCCAACATGCCTGACGACTTCCTTGCTGCGATCGAAGAGCTGAACGCGCGCAGTGGGACGCACGTCGGCGACGGAGTGGCATGGCGCCCCGCGTGATCACAGCTCGTCTCGCGCAACGTCGCTTCGCGTTGCAGCTATGCGGTGGAGCCTCGCACAGGACGACCTGGCGCGTGCGATCAAGCGCTGGGAGAAGGAGGGCAAGCACACGCAAGCAGCCTGCTGGCTGGTGTTCACCGAGCAGCACAAGGCCGCGATCGACCTCCTGATGCGCAGCACGGACGACGCGCACCACATGATGTCCGGGATGCTGGCCGCCCTCACCGCCGTGTCCTCCTCCGCGCGCAGCCCGGAACTCGTGCAGCACTGCGAACGCCTCGTCGTGCGCCTCCAAGACCCGTACCTGCGCGCGCTCCTCACCCAGCTCACGGTGCGCGACTGGACGGACGTGCTGGAAGAGGACGTGCTGCCCCTCCGTGAACGTCTCGCGATCGCGTTCCACTTCCTCGACGACAAGGAGCTCTCCGCCTTCCTGCGGCGCGTCGCGGACCGCGCAGTGCACGACGGAGACGCGCTCGGCCTCCTGGTCACCGGACTCGCGGGGCCGCCTGGGATCGCTCTGCTCGACGCGTACGTCGACAGCTCCGGGGACGTCCAGACCGCCGCGCTGCTTGCGAGCCTGCCGCCGTCGCTGGCGCGCGATTCGCGCGGGGCGCGGTGGATGACTGCATACCGCGACCTCCTCGACGGGTGGCGCTTCTTCCACCAACGGTCGCACCTCGACATCGAACGCGGGCGCATCCTGCGCGATGCGATCGATTTGGGCGAGATCGCGCCGTTCGAGTGGGCGCCGCGGCAGATCCTTCTGCGGTGTAACTACTGCAACAAGCCGATGGACGCGGCCGCACCATCCGAAGGACAACCGAGGGTTCGTTCCTCGACTTGGATCCCCATCTCGCTGGGCTGACGAAGGGTTTTCAGAAAATGCTGTGCCCGAACTGCAGTAAACCACTTCCACGGTGCTGTGTTTGTCTGATGACGCTTAACCTCGCACCCGAGACCGCAAAGGGGTCGCATGCGTATGCTGCGCTGCCGTCAGGTGAGTGCACTCGTCGCACGTTCATCATGCTCGCGCTCATCATGTGCGTCGAGAAGATACTGTCCAAGAAGCCCTCGTTTTCTGCCAGACGTGCCGACACGGCGGGCACGCGTCGCACATCCTGGAGTGGTTCTACGGCGAAGGGGGTGCGACTTCGCGGGCGCACGGGACGTGTGCGGTTGCTGGCTGTGACTGTCGATGTTCGGATGGGCTATGAGTGCAATTGTATGCCCCGTTCGCTTCTTGTGCTACCTGAATCACTTATTATGCATTGTGATCAAGTCGCTTGAGCGCCGGGCAGTCCCGACGGTTTGCACGGCTATTCCAGGCTGCCAGCAGTCGCATGGGAAAGTTCAAAGTTATCCCGCATTTAGGCGACGTGCAAGGCACAGATGTAGGGCGCTAATGCGGGGCTTCAATGTCGTGACAGAGCGTGACAGTCGACTGTCGGGCTGCGGAGCGCAAATCCCAGAGACAGCGGCTGTGCAGCCTCCTTCTCTTCAACCTCTGAGCTGTCCGCGCGAGTCTACCCAACGGTCCGTCGGTAGGTTCTCTGGCGATTGTATGATGGACGACTGCTCACACGCCTCACAGAGAGTGTCCGAGCATGCGATGCGCCTCTTGGACACCTTTACAGCCGACTTCGTGTGGGTAGACGACCCTCGGCATGCCACATACGCCATCCTCTCCCACGTCTGGGCCCGCAACGGGGAGAAGCCGCCGGAGCAAACATTTGACGACCTCCAGCGCATCCCTCGACGCCGCCCCGACATTGGTTCCATCGCCTCAAACGGCCCTTCCGGGCTTTACCCACAGAGACGGCCAGGCCTCGTCTTCCGGCCGCCTTGTCAGAGAAACTTCGTCAAGCGTGCGACCTCGCGCGATCCCACGGCTTCCGCCTCCTCTGGGTCGACTCGTGCTGCATCGACAAGAGCAGCTCCTCCGAGCTCTCTGAAGCCATCAACTCCATGTTCGCCTGGTACCAGAACGCTCGCGTTTGCTACGCGTACCTCGCCGATGTTCCCGACGACGACCCCTCCCACCTCCTCTTCCGAAGAAGCCGCTGGTTCACACGTGGCTGGACATTGCAAGAGCTCATCGCCCTCGCGTGCTCATATTCCTCACTCAGACCTGGACCGTTCTCGGCACCAAGGCGGCGTTCGCGGAGGTTGTAGAGGAAGTAACAGGGATCGACCGCGCCATCCTCACGCACGAGGCGTCAGTCGTCAGCGTCAGCGTCGCGCGGCGCATCTCTTGGGCCGCCCACCGCCATACTTCGCGGGAAGAAGACGAGGCATACTCGCTCATGGGCATTCTCGGCGTCAACATGCACACCATCTACGGCGAAGGGCGGCTTGCATTCGTCCGCCTGCAGGAAGAAGTCCTCAGGCAGTCCTCGGACCAGAGCATCTTTACGTGGGGTCCCGCCCTAGAAGACAACCTCGAGCTCGCGGACGACCACGACGACAACGAACAACCGCGCTCCATCCCAGTCCTCGCGGAGCCGGACGAACACTTCGCGGAGACCCCCAACATGCGCAACCTCCTCGCACTCTCCCCGCGCAAGTTCCTCGCCGCCGGCGCAGTGAACGTCCTCACGCCCTCTGCGTTTCGCGACCGTCTCGGACTAGCCGCCCCCCTCGTGGAGTATACGAGCACGCCCCACGGCATCCGCACGACGCTCCCCCTCCTCTCCACCCGCGCAAGCCACTCCGATGAGCCCATCTACCTCGCCCCGCTCGCCTGCGTGGACACCGCCGGACGTCTCCTTGCACTCGTCCTGCGCAGGCGGCGGTCGAGCGAGACGCAGTACGTCGTCGGCGCGTTCCTCAGCCCGACGATGATCGTCTCGGACGGGACGCTCCCTCCCGGGGCCCCCAACGCCGCGAGCTTCCTCGGCGAGGGCTACTTCCGCACCACCCGCCTCCCCGCCGGTTCCTCGACGCGCACCGCCAGTCCCTCAAAGTCAAAGAGATCTACATCTCGCACCGGCCCCCGCGCGACCGCACGCTCAACTTCCCCGAGCACCGCCTCACGTACGCCGCGCTCAGCCAGTGCCCCACGCCCTTCGCGCTCGCGCTCGCGGACTGGTGCGCGCCCGTGCTCGCCCGCGCCGGCTTCCGCCCCACGCCCCTCGCGACCCCGGACGACCTCGAGGATCCCGCCGGGCTCAGTCCGGCCTTCCCCCGCCGCCGCGGGGGCTTCGCGTTCACCAAGGCCGGCCACGGCCACGCGCTCCGGGTCGAGCTCGACGCGTGCGCGTGCGCGGGCGGGGCGGAGAGCGGCTGGCTGCGCGTCACCGTGTCGACGTGCGCGGCCGCGGCGCGCGTCCCGTTCGCCAACCCGCCGCGGTCGGGCGCGGCGCAGCATCACCAGTGGCACGCGCGCGACGAGCCGTCGCACGTGTTCGCGTGGGACTTCGCGAGCGGCGTCGCGTCGAAGCGGTTCGTCGTGCGGCTGGGGGAGGAGAAGGGAGAGGATGTGGTCGTGCACCTGACGCTGGGGGTCGAGCCGACGTTCAAGGCGCCCGACTTTGTCCAGACGTACTCGCTTGGGGTGGAAGTGGTGGAGATGGACTTGGGACGCACGGTGCGTGCGCGAAGCCCGGTCCAGCAGACTGAAAAACAGTCTGCGCCGCTGAAGCGATGGGCGCCTCCAGTGACGGTCGTCGACAACGTTGATGGCGAGTCGGTGGAATGTGACGATTCAGCTGTTTAGCACCCTGTCGTTACTTTGATGCGTGCTGGGATATCTTCCGGAGATCATTATACAGGACAGCAATGCAAGTTACTATAGCGGGAACCATCGCTGCACAGATTATCCCGACCACCTTTGCCTGCCTCCACAATGCGAAGCGCCGACCGACTCACCACGAGACGCTGCAGAAGGGCGTCCATAGGTCTCCCACGATGAGCGCGCTTATCCCACACCGTATATACCCCGCATAACGCATGAGTACCTGGGGGCCTTCCCGAGGGCTTTGACTGTACTTACTTACCCCACATACGCCTCTCGCCCCCCGGCAGCTGCTCTCACTCTCTCATGGATGGTGCTTCATCCAGGGCCCGGAGGACCAGTACATGCGGCCATGGGAGCCGGCAAGACTCGAGAGATTAGCCTAGGCTTCCCCCACGCTCGGACTCTTCGCCCTCCCCTCTTTCCCTCGCTTCACCATGACCTCCGACGAACAGCCCACACCCGAGACCCAGCCAACGCTCTCCTCAGCGGCCGCGCCCATCCCAGCGCCCGCAATATCGCTCAAGACCGAGCTTCCTAAGACGCAGAAATCATGGAGACCGACAGCCAAGGGCAAGCCTGCCGACGTTCTCAAGCTCCGCGAAGACACCCCGATCCCCCCACTCACTAAGGGCACCGTTCTCGTCAAGGTCCACGCCGTGGCTCTCAACCCAGTGTAAGCCTGCTTCCTCTTGCGCTCCGTGCAGCGTGCTCGCCCCTTACGCCGCGACGCGCGACAGAGGGTACAAGGTGCTCGACTTCTTGCCCGGCTTCCTGCTCCGACGCATACAGGCGCACGAGTTCGACCTCGCCGGCGTCGTCGTCGACGGCAACGGCACCGACTTCAAACCCGGAGACGAGATCTTTGGCTCGAACCCTGTCCGTGAGTGCCCACCACCCTTCCGCGTCTTCCTATCTATCGCACGCACACGCCGACCCGCCTCGCCGACAGCGGTCACGGTCTCGTCTGGCTGGGGCTCGCTCGCGCAGTACGCCCGCGTCCAGGCCGGCCGCGCCGTTCTTCGCCCGGCCTGCCTCACGCCCGTCCAGGCTGCTGGGATCCCGATCGCGGGCCTCACCGCGTACCAGGCGCTGCAGAACATCGGCGCGCTCAAGCCCGGCCAGCGCGTGTTCGTCAACGGCGGGAGCACCGCGGTGGGCGCGTGGGCGATCCAGCTCGCGAAGGCATGGGGCGCACGCGTTGTCGGCGCGAGCACGAGCGCGAAGAACGAGCAGTACGTGCGCGGGTGCGGCGCGGACGTGGTCTACGACTACGCGAAGGCGCCGCTGCACGAACAGCTCATTTCTGCGGCGAAGGAGGCCAAGGAGAAGGCCAAGGAAGGGGAGGAGGCGGAGGGGGTGTATGATGTGTTCTTCGAGGCGGTCGGGTTCATGGACCCGGCGCTGTTCGTTCACAGCGCGGCGTACCTCGCGCCGAAGGGCGTCTTCGTCTCCGTTGGGCCGCAGGGACCGGGACTTCCGTCGTTCCTGTGGAACGTGATGCTCAAGCCGGGGTTCTTGGGTGGGACGAAGCGCAAGTGGAAGTAAGTGGCCAGCCGCTTTTTCGGCGACGGGGCGCTCAGTTTCTCTCTAGGTTGGTCAACGTGGACCCGATCAAAAAGGACTTGGAAGCGTTTGCGAAACTGTGCGAAGAAGGTGCGTTGATCAGTCGTGGCCGAGAAGGGAGGTTCTGATTTGCACCAGGCAAAGTCAAGCCGCTAGTTGACTCGGTCTTCGCGTTCGAGGACGCACTCAAGGCGTACGAGCGAGTCATGACCGGGCGCGCGACGGGAAAGGTGGTCATCAAAGTGGATTCGGATTCGGAGTGAACCCATTAGCGTGTGGCGTGTTGTACGTTCCTTTCACCACTAGTTTGTACAGTAATCATTATGCGTCTTTTCTCTGTGAGTGTATGCACAGTATGGAAGGACCATCCAGATCACTCTTGAGCCTTCAACACAGAAAACCGTGGGTGTCTGGGCGGAACCTCGATAATTAGGATCGCGACGACGTCCCCGAGTAACCACTTGAGAACGTCCAAGCACACCGGGACAACGAAACGACAGTGATCAAAGAGTGTGGCGATTAGCAGAAGGTATATTAAATCCGATCCTCTCCCAATTATCCATGCGTTAATATTCCCCCAACACAGATCAAATCCTCGCGGCTCCACCAACTCCTTGTCCTCCCACCCCCAGAAATGGAAAAAAAAAAGTGATGAACGACGGTGGCGATTAGCAGAAGGTACATTAAATCCGATGTTATCTCATCTATGCATTAATATTCCTCCAGCAGGAAAGACAGGCAGCGCGCATGGAGTACAGGTTCAAAGGCTCGCGGCGGAGCGTCGGGCACGGTGGCCCACAGCTCGACGCTGCACATGGAGCGCGCCGGCCGCGTTGGAGGCGACGCACGCCTCTCCGTCTTCGGAGAGCGCGAAGCCAGACGCGCACGATTCTGCAAGAAGTGCCCCACATGAGCCTGGCGTCGAAGTAACAGCGCATCGGGGCTCACCGATAACACACGCGCCCCGCGGCACGCCACCCGCCCCGTGTGCGGGATCGCGCTGCAGTCCCGTCCGCCGTCCGCGTTGCGCGCGCCGAGCGGCGAGTCGTCCGCGACGCACCCGCCGCAGCTCTCCAGGTCCGTCCGGACGTCGACGCACTCGCTCCCGCGGAGGTAGCCGCGCCCGTCCGCAGAGACGCCATAGACGGGCAGCTGCGCTGGCCGAGGCGACACTGCACTGCCCGACGTTGGATGGAACCCTGGCCGGTGAGGCTGGAGGGGTTCGCGCCGCCGACGTCGGCTGCGGACGAGGCGTGAGTACGTGCGCAAAGAGCAGGAAGGGTGGAGGAGCGCACGGCAGGAGGCCCGGAGCTGGGGCAGGAAGCTGGCCGCCGAGGTAGTAGGAGGAGCATGCGGACGCGGAGGTCGCGCCGACGACTGAGTATGCGCCGGCCGTGGAGCACTGCGCGCAGCTGCTCGCGCCTGCGTGGTCCGAGTAGAAGCCGGAGCAGCTGCGGGCGCACGTCTATGAGCACACGCGCGCAGTGCACCGCGGATCGAAAACGACTCACCAGGAGCAGCAGGCGGACGCGCCCTCCCACGAGAACTGGCCCGCGGGACACGCCTCGCACTGAGTCGCGCCTTCACCGCTGTACGACCCGGGGGCGCAGGGCGTGCACGCGTTCCCGTTGAGGTACGTCCCCGGTGCAGTAGGGGTATCAGCGACGCACGCGGCCGAGTCCGCGTCGTAATGGTCCCGTCCGGGCAGGCGTGACACTCCGATGAGGCGGGGTCGCTGACCTGGCCGCTGGGGCATGGAACACACTCAGTGCCGTCGGTGGAGTAGGTGTTGGCCGCGCACGACGAGCACTCGCCATCGAGCGGGTACTGGCCAGGAGTGCAGGTGGGTGTGTCGGCGACGCAGGAGCCGGCGTCATAGTGGGTCCCGGAGGCGCAGGCGTGGCAGGACGAGGATCCGGCGTTGCTGACTTGCCCGTCGGGACAGTTTCGGCATACGATACCGTCCGTCGAGTACTTGTTGGCTGGGCAGTCGAAGCATATGTCAACGGCGAACATCCACTGGCCCGGGGGCAGGTGGCCATGTCGGCGACGCAGAAGCCAGAGTCGTAATGGGTCCCGGAAGCGCAGGAGTGGCAAGACGAGGACCCCGCCCTGCTGACTTGGCGGTCGGGGCAGGCCACGCATCCCGTCGCGAGAGGGTCGGAGTAGGAGTTGGGCGGGCAGGGGAGCACTCGCCCCTTCTGTCGTAGTACGTGCCGGGCGAGCAGGTGTTCACGGGTGTGCACGAAGCACTACCGGGGTTGCTGGTCGAGCCGGCGGGGCAGGCCGTGCAGCTCGAAGCAAGACTTGCACTGAACGTGTTTTCGGGGCAAGTTGAGCAGAATCGGGAGTCCGGGCCGCTGTAAGTGCCGGGGAGGCAGCCCGTGCACCAGCTTGAAGCCTCAGGGATGCGAAACCCCGCAGGACATGTCGCAGAGGCTCGTTGTATGAGTGTGAGCCCAACGACGAAGAGGGCTGTCGCTGTCACGAAGGATCTTCCCGAAGTCTTAGCCATAGTGCCGCGACTCAACTCAAAAGAGCGTATTGAGCCTTATGGCTGGGAGGGAGGAGCTGGCTACAGAGAGCAGAGAGGGGGATCGGTGACGGGAATCGACTGTACCGTGTCCGAGGAGCTTTGAGGTCGCCGGGAAGGCTGGGCAATCGCGATATTCCCAACGACTTGTGACAGGACGGCGGCTTGGCAGTGTGTGGCAGCGGAGGGACGGTTCCTAAACATTCTGTAAGAGTGGGTAGCTCCGACGGCTGGCGACAGGCGGCGGTTAGTGGTGTGGCAGAGGATAGTTCATGAACATCCTGCAAGAGTGGGTAGCTCGACGATGACTTCATCAGAACAAAAGGAGCCGTACCATCAAATCCCATGAGCTACGACGTAGCATATGAAGTGGGCGCTGGACAGATGTCGGGGGTCTCGAAATGCATCCATAAGAACTTTCGGACTCCGTTCACGTTCAGCAAGTACTTCAAGATCAGCCCTCAAACTGTGTTTCAATTTGAAACTCCGAAAACCTGCCAAGCAGGGCCATAAGCCCCTTTATCTGCTGAATTACGCAGTACGCGCGTCTTCACCTGCTGTCGAGTGTGGAACGATTCGAGCTCCGTGTACATGCATGCGCGCGTGAGCGGATGCGCCCAGTTCCGCCGTTACCGGTGCGTTTCCTGCTTGGCGCTTCCGGCGTTGTGGACGCGCTGCTAGTTGAGCTGAATCCACCAACTTCCTCCTGCTCCTCCTCCAGTTTCCCTCACTTGTCCCCCTACCTCACTTGCACGGGCCAAAGGAGAGTACCACGAACAATACGTGAGAGCGCCCGGGCCACGGGCTGATGAGCGCCTAACGCTGCGGCTGCCTACCGAGCGTTTGGTCATGCGGGACGCTCTACGGGAGACTGCACACTGCGTGGTTACGTATACGTACGTACGTGTGCCCGATCATGCAGATCCATGAGTTTCAGCCCGTGCTGCCAAGACCGAGATCGGACGGGCACTATCGGGTTGAGCCGGCACGGGCGGCTCGGGCTCTGACGATTATGGTTATTCCCGGACTTGTTTGTATGTTTGTTTGCTTCCTATTTATCGCCCACGAGGACGAAGCCCATAAGTACTGTAATTTACAAGACGGAGAATGGCGTGACAACTGACGACCCTCCGGGGGCCAGGATGAATAAACAAAGTAGGGCAAGTACATGAGGTAAGTATACTTGGCAGTCAATCTCGCCCCCCCCCAGCGTCACCAAAGTTTGTACCTCAATACATACAGTAGGTTCGCCCCTGAGGAAAAGCGCTCCAAACGATCCGATTAGCGTGTAGTTTAGCGCTTGAGTACTGCGCGACAGAAGCGGGACATCGCTACGAGCGAGTGTCCATAGTGACACGGGTAACTAGCTGCATATTATCTTCATCGACTCAATAGTAAGTACGAGCTTGTCACTTAGTTGGAGTGTATGGGGTTCCTTACTAGCCTTCTTGAGAAACAACATAGCTCGAGCGGTGGTCACAGAAACGTTGTCCCGCTGCCATCGGGGGCTGACCTTGGCGTGAACACCGGGAAAACGCGGCAGCAGATGCGCTCGACGAACGGGACGAGGCTATAGCGTGCACGGGCCGGAAATTTCCATCTAGTCTCGACTCTTTACGACTCGGAGGGGAGTGGGTCGAACACGAGCATTTAATTCTGAGCACTAAACTTGTAACACGGGGGCCCTTCCTGCGGGATATCCCGACATAAGTACTTATGACCGGCTGACGAGAATAAGTAAGCTATTACATGAAACGCGCCACGAGCAGAATAAACACGAGCAAGAGGCACTGAAGTACGATCGTGACGGCACGGGCGTCCGGCTTCGACCGAAGCAGGAGCCAGTGGTGCTGAGGCTTTGCACCATGCGAGACGGGTCCGCGAGAGTCGGACGAGTCCGACTCCGAGCCGTCCTCGGAAGACTGCGCCAGAGACTCCACGGAGGCCTTGGGTCGGAGAAAGGCCGGCGCGGGCAACCCGCCGGACGGCTCAGAATGGGCGACCGCATAGTCTAGCGTCGCGAGCGACTCCACGGCCTGATGAAGAGAAAGTGCGTTCGTGGGCGTGGCGAGCGCGCCGAGATCTTCGGGGGAGCGGTCTGCAGGAGGATAACCCAGAGTCAGTCGTGACACGGAGGAACGCTGCGATGCGACTCACCGTCTGGGTCTCCTGCGCCGGACGGAGACGGCGGGCACGTCGTTACGCTGATCGACTCGTCGTGCGTGCTGTGCCGGGGAATGGCGTCCGTGCTGCGAGGCCGTCGCGGAGCGTGCTGCCGAGCGGTCGTGGGAGATGTCACAGGCGGAGGGCGTGGAAATGCAGCGCGCTGGACGATGGGTCTGCGGACCGTCCGCGCGAAGACGTCGAACGCTCCAGAATGTGTGAAGAGGAGGGGCTAAGGAGAGACAAAGGGAACGCGACCGGCGCTCGGATCGCTCGTCAGTGCTGTTGCGCGAGATCTCGATCTGGGCGAGGAGGGTCAAGGTATTGGGGCTGACATCTGCGCGGCGGAGGGAAAGCCGGAGCCGGGACATTCGATCGAGAGGAAACGCGCGGGACAGGGTGCCGCCAGCGGTTGTAGACCAAGCCTCCGAGCCGATGTGGGCATCTAGGCAAGTTGAAGCTTCGCTCTTGTCCGGAAGAGGGCTGGACATGTTTCGGTGGGCAGGTCGTGAACTTGAAAAGCGGACTGAGATTGCACCCGATGTACAGAGCGTGCAAGGACCGACGAGTATCGTGGTCATCGATGGATCTCCAACCCGTGAAAGGAGGATGTGGATAGCTGGGGGGACGAACGAGGAGACGAGTGGGAGGTGACGGCGTATCCCTGCGTCTTGAGGACGTCGGAGCACCATGCATCGACCTTGACGACAAGGGGGAGATATTTGACAGGGCAGAACGCTGGTGCGAGCTCAGGACTATCCCGACCCGCGGTCGCACCGGGGGAGAGCTCGTAGCGGATGTAAACGTCCTCTTGACGGGGGATCGGCGCGACCTTCGGGCTGAGCGATACAACTCGAAGGTACTGTCGTCTTGAAGGCGCTTCCAATCCTGCGTCAGCCCGTCCGGAACGTGGAGGGCAAAACATGGTGCCAACGGCCACGCGACATCTGCTTCCTGCACTTGAGGCTCGCGCAGGACTAGCCCACTAAATTTCCCGCGCCGTCCTCGCATGCCAGAAGAGCGAACTGGTAGCCCGGATCCGAACGATCGGAAGTGACATACGGATCCCATACGCGCTGATGTGTGCTTCAGGATGAAGAATGGAGATTCCAACCGACAGGAGAAGACTTTGGGAGGATGATGCACAGATCGAAGGAGGCGGAGAAGTCGCGGGGAGACGTGGCAAAGAGGCAGGACTCATGCGTGCCGCTCTCAGATCTGGAGATCTGGGACGAGGTGTCGCCGGTGAGGGACCTGAGATGATGGCGTGGACCCCACGCGAAGAGGCTCTGATCGGGGATGTGTTTGAGGATCGCCTCTTGTAGCCGCGAGAAGGAGTTTCGTCCTTCCCGTAGTTGAGACGGAGATGGACACCGAAGATCCCGAGCAGACTGTAAGCTTCGTCCTCCACCTTGCTCGCCTCTCGACGCGATGCCCACGACATCCGCTGCGCAACACAGACCTCGCGGAGCGTCCGGCGCCCAGTGAGGACGTCGACGTCGATGTTGGTGATATCCTTGATCGTGTGTGCGAGGCTTGACTTTGATCCGATGACATTCCAGTTCTTCGAGAGGAAGACGACGTTGGAGGGAGCGATGAGCTCTTGCAATGTCCACGCGCGCGTGAACCATCGACTGCGGCGAAACTGAGACTGAGGGAGATCCGGGCGATCGTTGTCGTCGACGTCGGCGAGATAGGCGTAGCACAGGCGGGACCGGGCGTACCACGTGAACATGGAGTTGATAGACTCGGAGAGCTCGGCACTGCTGGATTTGTTGATACAGCACGTGTCGATCCAGAGGTACTCGTATCCGTGGCGATTGGTTATGGCGCACGAGGCCTGGATCTTGGGGCTGAGGAAGGGAGGATGGAGCGTTCCGGGCGAGATTGCTCGACTTCGACGATGTCTTGATAGGATTGCTCAGACACGTGGCCGGGATCGCCTGGCCTAGACCACACGTGGGAGAGGATGGCGTATGGAGGAATAGAAGGACCATCGAAAGAACACAGTTGACCGGTTTGTGTGTGAAGCAGGCGCATATGGGCTGATGAATGGTCAGTACAGAAAGAACGGAGTATTTTCGGTGCTCACCGAGAGAGAGATTGAACGTTGGGGGGTGGGGTGATGCGACGAATATTCAGCTCTCTACGGCTCATATACCTATGTTCCTTGAGAGAGAGCTTTGAGCAACCACCGATGCCACCCGGATATCTACGCGTCGGTGTTCGCCGATCCCGCCCCCGTGGAGGGCGGACATGCGCAGAGGGCATCGTGCAACGCTGTCAGCCATGGCAACAGCTTCGGGCGACAGCCTCCACGTCCACACCGGGACAGCTTTCTCGCAGCCTCGCACGTTCTTCCGATATCGGGGCATGGAAGCTAGCGCACTGCTCGGGCTCAACCTGTGCGCTGAATCTTGTGAGCCATATCCTGATGCTGAGGGTGGCCGATATCAGGCATGGGAGGACGAGAGGACGCACAGCCCGTTCCGCCGCAGCCGGTGCCCGAACATAGTGGGCGGTGCACCGCGTCCCGATTTGGTCATCCCCCGACCCCTGCTCCGACTTGTTCGGACATCCACCACGTTGAGCCCGACTCGTGGTGCGCGGAGTGCTCTCCGTCCCTCTCTTCCTCCTCTCCCAACACATCTCCCAGGGACGCGTCGTTTCGAGCGAGTACTGTGAGCACGCCGTGCCGATGGCTGTCAGAACGCTATACTAGGTGACTTGGAAGTCCCACTGGTGATAAGATTCTCTAATCTCTGCTGCGGCTGGCCGCCGCACTGCCCGTGTCGCCGGATTTTCTGCCTGTGCCAGCTGCTAGCCGCATTCCCCCACTTGCCCCGCCGCACTTGCGTTCGATCCCTCCACGAACGGCAACACGGCTGGCGCCGAGCGCTCACGCCGAGGTTGGCGTAGATGCCCAGCAGACGCGCCTCCTCGTCGGACCTCCACGCCCCGCGTGCGACAGCGGCGCGAGCCACCGCTCCGGCTTCCATTCCCCCCGCATCACCGCCCGATGAGGTTTGTCGGTGTTAGTCGGCGCGAGGTCGAAGGACGGCGATGTCTCGAGGCTCCTTGGTCGCCGGGATTTAGGACATGGAGGAGAAGGCTGGCATGCTGAGCATGTTCCGCTGTTGCCGGTGTTGTGCGCTGCGCGCGACGAGCAGGCCGGGGCCGAGTACTGTGAGCTCGTGAGTGCTGGTGCATTGAAAGCTCAATCGATGTTGATGCGACCGTTTCACTGCGACAGATGTATCTTATCTTATCTCAGATGCAGGTATAGTACAACGCAATCTACTTCTGGGTTTCGTCCTTCGCTACACACGAAAGTTTATCCAGCGAAAAGACTATAGGCTGCCTTCGACGCCCGGGATTTCATGTGCGATGTCGGCTGATCCATACCAGCCTGTGAATGTAAGCGCTGCACACATGGATCGGGGATACTGCGCATCTGCGTCCACAGAGTGCATCGACGAACTTGACAGAACGGAACAGCGGTCATCGACACTTCGACAGGAACTAAGAACCAGCCCACCCGCGTTCTATCGCGACGCGAAACAGGAGTAGGATAATTTGAGCAATAATACATGAGCTAGTTGCAGCTGTGGGATGATTACGTGCGGACGTGTGATGTGGACGAGTCGCTCGGCGATATAGCATAAAGATGTCGAGGGTGTGGCTGGGCAGCGAGTGCAGTGGGCAGAGGGCGTGGTCCGTGATAGGCGAATGACGGTGTACGGGATGGGGCTGTGTGCGATGAGCGCGTGGATGGGCAGAGATGGAGATGTTCGAGGTAGAGTGAGAGCAGTGCGGGGAGAGGCGGAGCGAGGCGTTGATAACGATGATAGTGGATGTGCACGTGGAGTTAGTGAGCAGAGCAGGAGCATGACGTAGCGTGTGACCGATCCCTTCGCGCGCGCTGCGGACCCAGCGCAGTCACCGGAGCGCGGGCGTCAGCCAGATGAGCGCAGTTTACCGGATGCGGCCGGGAAGCTCGCGGGTGACGTAGTGCCAGATGTAGTGCGTCCAGCCCTCGAGGACGCCGGCGCCGGTCATGAAGTGCAGGCAGTCGCTCGCCGCGTGCGCGTCGGGCCGGAGGAGCGCGTGGCGGTCGATGGGCAGGAAGTGCAGGTCCGGGTACCCGCCCGACGAGAGCACCGACTGCGGCGCGAGCGCGGATGAGCAAACGTCGGGGGCGGTCAACAGGCAGAGACGAGACGCACCTCGAACGCGGCGTTGAAGTCGCTGATCTGGTTCCAGTTGTACCACCCGTTCGGCCCGTGCTCGTACTCCTTAATCGGCGCACGGTGGTTGTGGCAGTCTTCGTGACCGGGGAGGTACGCGCGGACGACCACCTGGCGCGGCGCGCGACGGCGCCGGTCCCCGTGCTGGCGCTCCGTGGCAGCCGCGTCGAGCAGACGGATCTGCACCTCGTCCGCCCACACGTCCATCGCCTCCTTGAAGAAGCTCACCACGTTCTCGATGCCGTCGTGGAACAGGCTCTCGTCTTTGAGGCCGGCGAGCATCGTCGTCGTCCAGTGCCCACCGGTGCTGACGACCATCGTCGCGTAGTTGCCGTGCGGGAGCGGCTGGGTGAAGAGCTTGAGGTACTCCTCCGGGGCGACGTTCCAGTTCGGCTCGTCGCTGAAGATGCTCTCTCCGTTCGGCGCGTATTTTGAGTGTGGGTGGAGCCGGTGGTAAATCTGGTCGAGCTGCGCGGTCTCGTAGAGCAAGTCAATCCGGCGGAAGGTCACGAGCGGGGTGGTCTCGATGTCGAAGCCGGGCGGGAAGTTGATGTACTGGAGCAGAGGCGAAGCCGGATTGAGGTACAGGTTCTGGGGCCAGGCGCGGTCGAATCCGCCACGGGTCCAATCTGGGGTGGCGCGCACATGGGGGTATAGGATGCACGAGAGGGAGAAAAAGTGATTCTCCGTGACGGAATCTGGCAAACAAGAATCCGGGGTGAGCGTCGCTGAATGAGAGCGGGGCTGGGCGAGATCGGTGGTGGCGAGCGCAAGCGACAGTTATGAGGGGCTCTGACGGGATCGAGCAGCGACGGGATCGAAGCGGGGGGTTCTCGTTTTGTGCAGCGGACAATGTGCGGGCGTAGGTTCGGGGTAGGTCGCGAACAGGGGATGCTCACCTCCGACCAAGAACCAGCCGCCGTGCTCGACGAGGTCCTTGAGGAGCCGGGCGGTCTCGAGCTCTTCGATGTCGCACTCGGACGACGGCCGCCACTTCCAGGAAGCGACGCCCGGGAAGCGGTCGTAGAGACGCTCGGCGTCGGCGCCCATGTGCCAGTAGACCTCGCGCGAGCTGGCGCAGCCCTGGAGGCCGAGGAACTCGTACGCGTCTTCGGGTCTGGTGGGGGCTTGGGCACCCACTGGCCTGCGGCCCATGCGCGCGGGGGGCAGGTGTTGCGGGGGCGGCGGGCGAGGGAGAGGGAGAAGGAGGGGAGGGCGACGTGGGCGATGTAAAGGAGGGAGACGAGGGCGAGGAAGGCGAAGAACTTGGAGGAGAGGGAGCGGGGGGACGAGAGGAGGGGGCGGTAGGGGATGGCGTCGGCCTTGAGGAAGCCGACCATGGCGGCGGGAACGGTGGGGGCGGGGAGGAAAAGGGTGGCAGCAGCAGCCGGGGCGGACGGTTTTGAGGGAGGGCAAAAGCAATCGGCGTTCTGCTAGCGCGCGTTGTCGCGCTCAAACGAGTCCTCTGACGTCACGGCCCTCGTTTTATGGATGGCAGCCTATTTTCGGATGACGGTCAGCCACTGGGTCAGTCGACAAGGGGACTGGATCCACCTTCGTTCCCCCACAGCGAACTTTCCCCCAGGCCCCCACCAAGCCCAGTCGTCGTCCGGAAAGCGCGCCTTGTGCACGGAGCCGCTTCCAACCTTGCGGCGCGCGTGCACAGAAGCGATCCGAGCGGACGTAGCGGACATGAGCGGAACAAGCCGACGGCGTTGTGCGCTGGAACGGCCAGGCCCAAATTTGACCGGCCGGGCGAGAAAGATAAGATAAGACCAGATCTTCGCTCAATCAGAGGATGTTTGATCAGCTTGTTGTTCCAACGCAACTCTGATGGCGACTGCCATCTTCGAACTTTCACTTTTTACACCTTTCTCTGCGCACTTTTTCCCTTTTTGCTGGTCTTCAGGACTGGCATTTGGAATTCACAGCTGCACTTCCACACAACAGCACCGCCAACTGGACGTCGTATATGCGCCGCCATTTCCCTCGCGTTTTCCGCTGACTCCTTCGTACTACCAGTGACAACGATGGAACCCAACTCGGATATCACATCCTGGAAATGGCGGCGCTCTTTCAGCAGCGAGTTTCCCCCACTCTCCCCACCGCGGACCAGCCCCACGTTGGTCAGCAGACGACGGTGTCTCCATCTTGAGCGGTGCTTGTGTGTTATGTGAAGCCCCGCGCCACTTCTGTGGATCGAGGTGTTGACTCCCGAACCGACCAACGCGTGCCACTGGCGTGAGCCACTCGTGCTGCCAAGTCCCTTCGATTTCTCAGTGGCTCGAGTCGTCGCGAGCATCCATCGCTTCGGCCGTTACAGGCTGCTTTGTCCATTCCACCACATATATTTGAAAGAGCTCGCGCTCATACGTTCTCATCTCATCCTCTCCTCCCTGATACATGTCCCGTAAAGATTCCAAGATGCTTGTTTCTTATCTCCGGACCCAGCTTCCCATGGCCACGTTCAGCAAACCGCCACCCGTGGTAGATTTTGTCAAACGAGCCCAAGACTGCGGTATTCCAATGTGTCTTCTGACTGAATTCGACGCAGCCAACCGGTTCAGGCATCTAGAGTCGATCCCTGTGGAGAGAATTCCGTGCTTCAAAATCGCAGTTTACGTGGGTCTCTCGCTCTACCGTCTCAGAATCGCTGCTGAACTTCTTCTTAGTGGCCCCAGTTGTTTACAGACGAGAAGGGCATACCTCAGCTCCGATTGTACGACTTCGAGGTGCCCCGAAGGGCGGGACAGGTGCACAAGGCGGATCTCGCCGCCGCGATCGTGCACACCTACCAGAGTTTCTTCAAGGTGCGTGCTTCTCGGTCTACTCACCGTCTCCCTCTCCCGGCGCTGACGCGCGAAAATCCCTTCCAGGATGCTGAGGCCGACCCAGCCTGTCGCTTGGTGCTGGCCAGGCAGCGTAAGTACCATCCGCACGCGTGCATCAGCAAAACGAGGGGTGCCCGATCGAGCGCTGTGGCGCCCGGCGAAAGCGGATGATGTCAGCTCGGCAGACGCCAGACATCGTCGGTCCGGAGGTCCAATGATCGGACACGATCGACTTACGTAGTGTAGGGCTCTGCTCGACCGGTGATAATCTGGTAAGACATTTTTTGAGAGAGCACTGGGGAGCCAGTTGTACTATGGTAGATGAGACTCATTCCTTGTTTCTTCACGCTAAGAAGGAGCTAGAGTGTAGTCAAAACATCCTCGGTACGGGCGCTGGTACTACTAGTCTCCCAATTCTATCCACGCGCGCGTCCGCAGGACTCGACTCCCGACCCCGCCACCATCGCAGACGCCCGCGCGCCGGCTCTCATTGCACCCTCGCCCTTCGCACCTACGTCGCGCCTCCCCGAAAATCGCCCTGCAAGGTGCCGCTACACAACACGCCATATCTCCGACTCACGAGGGACCCCGACACAACGCGCCGGTGTCACGCGCTCTCCGTCAAGCCTCGCGCCCCACCATCCCCGAAGTTCCCATCGTGCTTATCCTTCTCTCTGCTTGCTTTCCTCTCATCCCCTCCGTGTTCGCCCACTTCGCTCCCTTTCTTCTCCGCGACACCCTCGGACCTCCTGTCCCACGGTACTCGTGCCCTGATCAGATTCTCGGATCTCCATGTCTCATGGAATCGTCTCCCTCACCATATCTGCAATGATATTGGATTTGTCGGCCAGTTGATATTATTGCTGACGAGGCTCTCAGAGGCTCATGGGGGCCGGTGTCGCTATCAGTGGGTAAGGTGATCTAGATGTACATCCTCGTTGCCACCCGGTTCAAGCGCAGCTCATCTGGCAACAGTATCCTGGTCGACATGAACTCCGCTTAACAAGAACATTTATATCACTGGGGCCCGCACTGCAGCAGTACGAACCTCGTTTCCCCCGTTATGTTTCCCCCTGCTTCGCCAATCTTCGACAGACAGCAAGTGCGGCACCGCCAGTGGTGTTAAACCGGTTCATGAGGAGTGGAATACGACTTCTCAGGTGAGCGCCTCCCCCACACTCAACGCGTCCATCTCCCCGCGCTCAACCGATACACCCCTCCACGCCCTACGCGTCCACCTCCCTCGCTCCCTCGCTCCCTCGGTTGCCGTGTCCCTTAACCAGCTTCGGCCCCTCCGTCTGCGCCGTCCACTGGAATAACCCCAGGTTCGAGGCCCCCGCTGAGCATCAGTAATTCCGCACGCGTCAGACAGGTCAGAAATAGTCTGCCTCAGACCTATCTGACCCATTCTGACCCATTTCTGACCCATCTGTTGTCTGACGTCTGACCAGGGTCGAAATTCAATCTGACCCTCAAATCAGACACAAATCTGACCCACAGCAAAAATCTGACCTGATCTGACCTAATCTGACACACTATACACAACATGAAATTTAAGCACAGGGGCATTTTATTAACGGAAACTACTACTACTACTCTAATCACACACCCAACATAAGAACAAGTATCATACAGAAGTGGATGCGGGCGACGCAGTAGAAGAGGGTGGCGAGAGTGAGGTAACTGACGCGGGACGAGACGATGACGATGCAGGTTAAGTATGAGCGACGTGTCCGTCGTGCCCTACTCAGTGCCGCCGCTCACCGTGGGGCTGCTCCTGCTCTCAGTCACGCGCCTGCGGCGGTACACCGAGAGCTCACTCCCACCGCGAAGGCTTCCTGAGCGACGTCGCGGACCTCGAAAGCCCGGCGCGCGAACAAGTTGCAGGAGCGTGGTGTGAGCGACGCGGGCTAGGGCAACATGGGCGAGGGCGACGCGGGCGACGCAGAGGGCGACGTGCGCAACGTAGGCGCAAGGCGGGCGATGGAAATGACACTGAGGAGGCACGCGAAGTGCGTGGGGCCGAGGGCGAGACAAATAAGGATGGCGCGGGATAGAGCAAGACGGGAAAGGACGGTATGGGCAAGGACGAAGTGAGTGACGCGGACGGCAGTGACGTAGGCGACGGGACGAAGCACCTGCCAAAGAACACCTGCATAACGTTTCGGAAGGGTTGGACGAGCGTGGGGTGTGGTGGGAAACGAGCTTACCGAGGCCGTGTTCGGGTGCCGCGATCCCATCATGGCACACTGGCTAAGCTCGTGGATGCCAAACTTGCCCGCATGTTGCAAGCCATGGTTCGACGTGCCAGATGGTCGCTGATGCCCTGCGCGTGCATCTTCTGCATGGCGCGCTTGTACCCGTGACATTTCGTCTCAAAGTCGGCACAGATGTGGATGAAGAGGTAGGCGGTATCAAAGGATGTTAGCGAGAGCCTCACACATTTCTCAGCTGCTACACTCACAAGAACGCAGCGATGTTCGCAAGCGCACACTAGTGTGGATCGCAGCATGACCTTCTGAGACACCCTCGAGACCTGGCGTGTCTGCGTATGCTTCCGAGGAAGGGCCTTCCCGACGCCTGAGCTTGGTAAAGCGGCGCTCGGCGAAGTGCGTGGGAGGAACGTGACAGACTCACTGGGATGGGATATAGCGGGGGTGGGCGAGATGAGCGATGCAGGCGAATAACGAGGGCAAGGCCGGCGGAGCGGGCATGATCAGAAGGGGCGGGCGTGGGTGAGGATGAGGTGCGGGCACGGGTGAGCGAGCGTGGGCTCTTGAGTGCCTCCTCGTACGCGCTGTGGGAGCCGTCCTTCGGCATGGGATAAGGACCTGGGCAGCGCGTGAGATGCGGGGGCTGCTGGAGGGCTGGTGTGGCAAAGTAGAGGAGGAGGCGGTGGACCACAGACTCACCCATGTCGTCCTCGCTATCAAAGCCCTCCATGATGTTGTCCAAATCCATCGACTCCCTAGGGCGCTGAATTTTCTTCGTCGGCTTGGGTATGCAGGTGAGGCTGACCATCGCGACAGGAGTAGCGAGGATGGAAGGCGGGGAGGACGAGGGGGATGAGATCTTGAGAGCGCATGTGCTGGCAGCCGCCAGGTGGCGTGGGAATCTCAGATATCAGCCTCGTGGACTCTGCCAGCGCATCCTCCACCAGGTTCCGCCTTTCACCGTTCTCCGCCTCGCCCTCGCCTGCATCACCCGCGTTGCCCGTCTACACCTCGCCGGTCTCGCCCACATCGCCGCCCTCTCGTCCTGGCCCGTGTCACCCTTGCCAGCCTCGCTCTTGCTGCTCTAGCCCGCATCACCCGCGTCCCCCGCATCGCCATCGCCCACGTCACCCACTTCGTTCGCCTTGCTCAACTCGCCCGCTTCACGCGTGGCCCACATCGCCCGCATTGCCCGCGTCGCTGGACTCTTCGCCTGTGTCTCGCCCTTGGCCCGCGTCTCACCCCACGTCTCGCCCGTCTCGCCGTCTCACACCGCCCCTATCACGTCTGCCTGAC